CAGCTTGCTTTTATTGTAGCTTTAATCCATAACATTATACAGGAAAACACTACGTGAAGAAAACACTACGTCCACTATAAAATAATAGGTACATTTTGCTAGCAGCCGAGTCAAAGTCAAGGATATAATTCACGGATAACCTTTACCACACACAATCAAAATATGAAAAATAATAATAATTCCGCGGGTTTTTTAAGACACAAGTATGTTATATCTAAAAGCCACGCACTGCATGAACTCTCCAGGTTTGTAAATTTACGGCAGGAGAATTTGAGAGAAGTACCAAGTTGAAATTAATATAAGACTTTAAATACCTACTTAGTTTTTGAAGTTAATATAAACTAAACCTTCCTAAAAAGATAGAATTAAAGCCTAGATGGTACAAGCCGCATCAACATCGTTTCGGTTTTATATCAATGTTATTGTTCTTGGAAGATACCTAGACAGACACGGAAAGCAATTTTATTATATCCATAACTACGAACACAATATCAACAGAAGATAAATAACCTTTGACACTACTGTTTTGCATTTTTTTTTCATTCTATAAATTCGGTTTATCGTCACGTTATCGGGCGTAAGGTCACATAGCTACAAACGAGGAAGATTTTTGCGATCGTATGATTGCTGTTGGTCACGTAGGTATGACCTTATGCCATTACAGCTTACAGGAAGCAACACTGGGTTTGGGACGCGGGTTCTTTGGCGGGACCTTATGTTGGAAAAAGCGACACAGTCTAACGCTTTTTAAGGCATTATCACAGGCTTACGGTCCAAACTAATAAAGATTTCATAATTTAAAAAGATACCGATCGAGGCATGGATGTTTGAATATCGTCTGCATCCCTATCTACTTACTTGCTATTAAGTCTGAGGGACAAATTAGAAACTTCATGCGTGATTTGCACACGAACTCGTGTTCAAAGTATTTACCTACAGTGTAATGAAATCATAATGCCAATAATTTGTTAGTTTGAGTTTCGAATGGCCTGCGCAGACGAAGGACTTGTGCGCGGAGGAAAAAAATCCCTGAATCGCGAAGAAAATGTCCGCCGAGGGCTTGTAACGGAGTCAACGCACACGATGTGCGAACATCAATGTCGCCCGTAGTTCTACCTGCCGCACCAGCCATCCTCACCTTGCCGGCCTGCATGTTGCTTCTTCACGCCTCTTAAAGGATCCCAAGTTGTAATAAGGAGGGAACACGTGAGCGGGCAGAGCATTCCATTTACGGATACTGCGAAGAAGAAATGAGCCACCAAATTTCTTTGTACGCGTTGGAATTGTGGCCACAGTAGACGGTGACAAAATAAGCCAGCGAGCGTGGTCCTGGTCACACGAGTTCAATTTTTTCGGATGACTCGCGTACTTTTGCCCTGTCCGGTCTCACGGTTGTTCGGGGGACTATTGTACCCCGTACTTTTAATCCGTTGCGTGCGTTACTAATGCAGTTGAGTGATCTATTCGGCGGACAAAAGTACCTTGTCTGCGCATGCCAGAATGGTTAAAAAAATAAGTACCGGTCCAGGGGCCCATTCGCCTAACGGGATTGCTTTGAAAACGCTATCGCTTACGATTTCATTTTCTTATTTCTATCCACCTAAGGTTTTCAAATACCTCGCGCTCTATTTTTTTCTTTTGCATTGGTAATAACAATATTAAAGAAAATGAGCGTGAGGTATCGGCGGTCAGAAATAACAAACTGAAATCGTAAGCGATAGCGTTTTCTAAAGCAAACCCGTTAGGCGAATGGTCCCCAGTTGACTAAAGACTCGTTTTACGTGGCTGGGTAGAAAAAAGATATGTAATTTCGCAACAGCTATCTCAGCGGCTAAAATCCACTCATAACGTCTCTCTATCAAGTATCTACGTACATTGATATAGCCATTAATAAAACAGTTTATCAACCACTCGTTTCCTGCATTAATCATTATCGCGTGAATATCATATTCTTCAACTCTTGTGAATCAGTACTAGAATTTGGACAATAAACTTACACTATTCAAATTTCTGTATAATTCACATTAAACAGAAATATGACTAATTAAGAGCGTAAAATGGTTAAAGTATTCTTTTTTTCTGTTTTTAAATTAACTGCGTTTATCGGCAGCCATAATATAATGCGATAGCCAATCGAAAGCCTTTACACATGACATGAACTAACAGACATTGTAGCAGATAGATACATCCCGCAGCGGGACCGCCACAAAACATATTTCTGGCATCTATTTTGGTTTTTCTTATTTATTTAGAAGTAAAGGAAACAGGGCCGGATTTAGGATTGTGGAGGCCCCGGGCCACTTAGGATTTGTATTCTTGTTAACCCATCGAAATGTTGTTATTTCCTAAGCTGTTGTGGAGGCCCCTGGGCCACAGCCCCACCTGCCCTGCCTTAAATTCGGCCCTGTGGGCAAGTACCACCCCACTCAGCCATTAAGCGATTGGGGTACTCCCTCAAGATGGGCAGTGAATTGGAAGTGCTTATCAGGGCCATTTGAGATTTTGATATTTCACTGATTGCCTGATTGGAGTGAACAAATATAGATCAATGATTTCTGTTATTTAAGATTAATATAATCAAATAATCATGTATGTTAGATGTACAAAGTACTGTAGGCTGTAGGTAAAGGTAAAGGAGCAAAAAAAAAATCAAAGGAAAAGATGTTTACTAGTTGGAATTTGAAAGATTTTTTTCCCAAGTCTCTATTGTGGGGGCCCCCCGTTTGTGGAGGCCCCGGGGCTTTCGCCCCGGTTGCCCTCCCCTAAATCCGGCAGTGAAAGGAAAGTACTCAAGTTATTTCCATTTTCACGAGGGTACCTAACGGTATTATTAAGTAGACGATTTAAGCGATATGTCAAGTGAAAACTTATGCATTTGAAACGTATTTCTGGTCACTGTTTTGGTTATTTTTATTTAATTAAAATTTTATTGTTGGTTATTTTTATTTACTGCTGGATGTGTCAGCTATGTCAGCTTTATCCTATAAACAAGGGTCGAGTTCGTTTTTAGAGTTTATAAAATTACTAACATTTTTTATTAATCAACGACTTTCGCTAGTTAAATTTAAAGCTTGTTAGTGATGTGATCTTCTAACTAATGCGACAGTTTAACAGTTATTCTAATAGCCTGCGCAGACGATACACTTTAGTCCGCCAAAATAGATCGCTTGCAACTGCATTTAGTAACGTACATTTTAAATTCCGCGTACAAAAAGTCCCCCGAACAACCGAGGACGCTGAGGACAGAAGAAATGGCTGGCAGGAACTGGATGCGAGTAGTCCAAGATCGATCTAAGTGGCGTGCAATTGGAGAGGCCTATGTCCAGCAGTGGACTAGGATAGGCTGTTGATGATTATTGATGATGACAAGGCGCAGCAACGCACGCAACGAACTTTGTCGCGCTCGATCAAATGTTCGCGCACCTCGTGCGAGTTGTGTCCGTGACAAAACCTCGCCGGACATTTTTTTCACGAATCAGAGACTTTTGTCCTCCGCGGACAAATGCACTTCGTTTGCGCAGGCCATCAAGCTAACCTTATTGACCCCAGTACAGTTATACAAAGGAACAGAAGTGAATCATCAGTAATTTAATCAGTTCACAGTTTACGAATACCTGACCTTAAACTGACCATTAGCTACTATTTCAGTCAGTAAATTTTGGAATACCTGACCTTAAACTGACCATTAGCTACTATTTCAGTCAGTAAATTTTGGTACATCAGTGGCGTACAAAATAACATTGATATGAAATCGGCAACAGTTACACTATGGCAGTATTTGGAAGACTAAATTTTGGAGCCAACTAGTAACTGGGTACAGATAGTGCAATCCACGAAGATGCGTCCCACCAATTTTTGGTTGAACGATAATTAGTTGTAAAAAGATAATTACATAATTATCATATTATAATATTATTATTTATTATTATCATAGAAAATTAGTGTGTACCGATAACACTCAAATATTGGCAGAAGCTGGCACAGATTTACTAGAAACGGTTAGGAGGAATAGTGGGGTAAGAAGATCCCTATCCTTTAAATAATTAAAACAAAAATTAGTGCGAACTGAAGACTCAAAAAAAGAAAAAAAGCAATAATGTCAGTTGAATAGTCAAATGAGAGGACTGTATAACACATACTTTTCAAGCAAATATTATTATGTATTTTACTTCCCATATTTTACTAGCAAAGAATATTGTTATCATAAGTATTTAGGAGGAATAGCTGCTCAGTAGTACAAATTTTCCCCATAATTTGACCTTATTAAGTTTTTATTCATTATAACATTAATAATAGATTTTGATAGTATAAAAACAATAATGCACTCTATTTAAATCAGTCAAAGAAACAATAATCAATGATGTATTAACTGTATGAATCTAATTTTACATTTTTGATTAATATTGATATTCAATCATTTGTAAAAGGTAAAATTGTCTGTTCACTTAACCCAATCAATAGTCGATACATATTGACAGTATTCAAGTCAATATAAGCTAAAGCTAGAGGTTTGGTATTTCTCTCAAATGTGTTCAAATCTTTGGATTCTTATGCAGGATTATTTTGCTTCAACAAAAGCAATCATTTAGAAAATTGTAGCCATCACAATCTCACTATGTTTAATACATTGACTTGTTAAAATTTTCCTATTAATAACATTGAATTTCATCTGCTTCCATAAAATTTGTATATTGCAACAAATTTACTCTGCACATCTTGATATACAGTATTTGTATGATATTATAATCTTAGTTTTCCTTCATTTGGTCTTTAACAAATTTATATCATTCTTAAATAAATTCAATAAGGTTTTGTTAAAATTTCGTCCCAAGCCCCCTTTCACAATGACAATATAAAATCTAAAAGCAAAAGCACACAAATTACTGGTTTCAAGTCATGCCTCAATGAGGTCTTGTGTCTCAATAGTGTTACAACAACGATGAGACAATGTAAAAAACAAGCAGATACTGTGCAATTTGTATCATGTTGTCATAAGCAGGTCATCTCGTCTGTTCTTTTGATGCCATTGTCAAAGCTTGACCAACTAATACACGATCACCAGAAGAGAATTCAAATTTAAAATCTTTGGGTGCTTCAAACAGTAAAATTATCGTACTACCCATATTGAATTGGCCGAACAGTTCACCTTTCTTAATATCCAACTGGCCTAGGTCCTGTTCGTTAATGCGGTTGCGTTTACCTTTAGTATTTGTCTGTAAATCTGGATCTTTGTATATTTCTATAGATCCCACGTTTGTTGCCCCAACAGCAGTCATACTAAAGAAACCATGCTTCCACTCACCAACATAAACTGCTCTTTCGTTCATAGTGAAAAGGCCGGGGATGAGTTTCGCCATCCATGGGTTTACTGACAGGAGTTTACCGGAAAAGTGACGCCTAAACGTAGAAGTCCAATCACAAGGAGAATGGAAGCGATGATAATCACCTGGCGCTAAGTAAATTATGCATTGATGCAGTATATTCTCTTTGTTTGTCAACAATGACTCATAGTAACTGTTGAGTTTCCGTTTTGACCACTTATTGTCACCCAGGAACTCTTCTAAGCTGTATGTTACACCTTTTACTTGTTCAATTTTATCCGTGTCTGCGGGGCCACAGTTTAACACGACACCGTCACAAGGGGACACACAGGGAGCAGGGGATATATAACGGACACCTTCTCTGAGAGGACGCGTGAAAAAAGCTGACAAACTTTTGTAGTATGTCATGTCAGGTATAGCAGCTTCGTTCATGTTCACGTTAAACAACCGCGCGTAAGTTCCGTACACGAAGTTTCTCATTGAAACTGGAAGCTCGCACGCTGCAATACGACCCCAGAGTCGACTCGTAATACGGAATGGAAACATTTCGTAAAATCGGATTTCCACTTTCGAAACTTCATAGTCAATGCTGGCTCGTATATAGCACCAACCGACGTAAATAACGCTGCCAATAGGCACCCACCGTGTTATGATCGAGCGAAGATTCATCCATTTCGTCTTTTGTATCTGCGTATTCTTTGTTTGATTGTGCAGTGTCGATGTTTGTCGGAAGGGACGGTGTGGTCGTAGTTTCTGGCGAAACAGAGGGTTCATAACTGGAAGGCAGCTACGAATACGTGCCGGTGGAAACATTTCACATCAGAGCACCTTCTGTCGCGTTATAAAAATAGTCTGTCTGTGTGTCTGTCTATATAAATTAAATTAATAGGTATAACTTGAGTACTACTACGGGAATGACAACCAAACCAATACAATACCTCGACTCGACAAAACACAAACCACAGACATAAACTAATTTTAAAATTATTACACAAATGTATACCACAGAAGACGTAATACAGAGACAGACTGGTAGTTTTCTAATTACAGTGCATAATGCGACTCAGTGGCGCACAATGCCGAATTATGCTGATGCTTAATTGGAACGTGAATTAGTTTTCAAATGCACCAGCAGAGTATTGAAAAATGTAACTAAGTTCAGTGTTGAAAAAAAAAGTCAATGTTTGTACCTTCATCCATATTTAGATTTAATTTTTTAACACAGTTTGAATTAACTTTGATTATTTAAAAAAAACTATAATGAATTGAAAGTTTTAATAATTTTTCAACAATAAATACTATTACTAACGATAACATATAAATAAAACATTTCGATCAATGCCAACTTAAAGAAAAAACACTTGTTAATTTTCTGTCTCTGAGTTAGTACGATTGCAGGCATCACACGAAAGCATTACTTTTGAGAGTGCTCGATTGTGCGAAGCGTTTCTGTAGTTGAAACACTCAACGTTAAGCATTATGCCACATAATGCGCTATAATGCTGTAGTTGGAAAGCTACCACTGATGCGGGATTTCCATTACACAATTTAAGGGACCCTTACCCTGACTAAGGGTGGTGTAATGTGAGTTAAGGAGTAAGGGAAATTGCTACCACTTGCTGTTAGGGGCCACGCACACCCTATCGATAGGGCGCATACAATTGGGTAGCATAAAGCCCGGCTCATAACTAATAAAATGCACATTTTCGAAAAACAGCCTTGTTCAATGTATGTTTTAAAGGCTATAAAATAGCCAATTTTCAGATGCAAAAGTCAACCCGGGCAAAGTGATATAGTCATAACAAAGGCTATTTGTCTCGTTCTTTAAATATACTAACTTAAAAAATCCTGAATAAAAGGTGGTTTTCCAATTACAGAGCATAATACGACTCAGTGGCGCACAATGCCGAATTATGCAGATGCTTAATTGGAACGTGAATTAGTTTTCAAATGCACCAGCAGAGTGCGCTAAGTTCAGTATTGAAAAAAAAAGTCAATGTTTGTACCTTCATCCATATTTATATTTAATTTTTAACACAGTTTGAATTAACTTTGATTATTTAAAAAAAAAACTATGATGAAACGAAAGTTTTAATATTTTTTCAACAATAAATAATATTACTAACGATAACATATAATTAAAACATTTCGATCAATGCCAACTTAAAGAAAAAACACTTGTTAATTTTCTGCCTCTGAGTTGGTACGATTGCACGCATCACACGAAAGCATTATGGTGGTTTTCCAATTACAGAGCATAATGCAACTCAGTGCCGCACAATGCTGAATTATGCTGATGCTTAATTGGAACTTGAATTAGTTTTCAAATGCACCAGCAGAGTGCGCTAAGTTCAGTGTTGAAAAAAAAGTCAATGTTTGTACCTTCATCCATACTTATATTTATTTTTTTAACAGTTTGAATGAACAACAAACAATGATTATTTAAAAAAAAACTATTTAATGAAACGAAAGCTTTAATATTTTTTTAACGATAAATAATATTACTAACGATAACATATAAATAAAACATTTCGATCAATGCCAACTTAAAGTAAAAACACTTGTTAATTTTCTGTCTCTGAGTTAGTACGATTGCACGCATCACATGAAAGCATTACTTTTGAGAGTGCTCAATTGTGCGAAGCGTTGCTGTAGTTGGAACCCTCAACATTAAGCATTATGCCGCATAATGCGCTATAAAGCTGTAATTGGAAAGCTACCTATGCTAGCCATACACACTACGAGAAATCGTTACGATTAGACTGTACAGTCCGAACGGTACCGATAAATCGTAGCGTGTATGTTATAAAACTGCACAGTTTCCTATACGTACGCCACGTACGATAAACTGTTCCGTTCGAACTGTACAGTCTGATCGTAACGATTTCTCGTAGTGTGTATGGCTACCATTACTTTTGAGAGTGCTCAATTGTGCGAAGCGTTGCTGTAGTTGGAACACTCAACATTAAGCATTATGCCGCATAAGGGTGCGGCCAGAGTGCACTCAGATTCAGATTCAGACTCAGAAAACAAGCGCGAGAAATATACAGTGCAGTCTAAGCAGGTTGCCTGCTGCCACTATGGCCACCCTGCTTTAACTACACTGTTTATGGAGTCTGAATCTGTAGGGTACGGGTGCGGCCAGAGTGCACTCAGATTCAGATTCAGATTCAGATTCCGAAAACAAGCGCGAGAAATAAACAGTGTAGTCGAAGGGTACGGCCAGAGTGCATTCAGATTCAGATTCAGATTCCGAAAACAAGCGCGAGAAATAAACAGTGTAGTAGACTACAGGTTGCCTGCTTTTTCTCGCGCTTGTTTTCTGAGTCTGAATCTGAATCAGGAGTGCACTCTGGCCGTACCCTTCGACTACACTGTTTATTTCTCGCGCTTGTTTTCAGATTCTGAAAACAAGCGCGAGAAATAAACAGTGTAGTCTAAGCAGGTTGATTGCTTTTTCTCGCGCTTGTTTTCTGAGTCTGAATCTGAATCTGAGTGCACTCTGGCCGTACCCTAATGCGCTATAATGCTGTAATTTTTAAAGCTACCATATTTATCTTTTGTTAGAATTATTTTTGTGTCGCGATGTGTCAATACACGACAACGTAGGCTGATCCGTACCAAATTATGAACCCTTTAAACATTACTGACGCGTCACGACACAATACAACGGACAAATATATTTGCGGTTTTAGATAATAAGTAGGTACTTTGAACGTATTTATATTAAGGAAATTATCGATAGGCATCACTACAGCAAAAAAAGAAAATTGACAGCTGATTTACAAATCCGATCCGAGCGAGCGAGCGAGCGGAGCAGCGAAGCGATATGGCTGAATTTTAGTATGACAAGTAGTGTTGTTGACGTGATCGCTGTTAACATTAGCTTTTTCCTTTTGTTAGTTTATTTTCCCGCTTTAATTTTGGTTATATATGTCCTCGTATTGCAATGGAGTTGAGAAAATTACGAAAAGTCGAGCGGAAAAGCATAAAGCCGACGTTGATTGTGACTCAACTTTCGATGAAGAAAATATCAAGATTGAGGTTTTTCGAGGCTTCGAAAAGATACCGAAAGTGGTATTGGCGCGTTACGACATCACCCCTTACCTAAAGAATGAAGGTAAGCTTTCAATTCAAAACAAAACGAATAAGATTTATGACTCGCAAAATGCTTTGTTGTTAAATCATCTTATGCAAAATTGTTCAGTTAGAGTTGTAAGAGAAGACCTAGAGCAATTAAAGCAATCAATATTGACCGCGTCTCCTAGATCTGACATATCAGTCACAGGGCTTAACGAAAGCATGGCCAACTTGAAATGTAAAATATGTAACAAAGTCTATGCCAGTGAAAAAAAACTGCATAACCATCAGCAAAACAAACACATGATAGTTTACAAGCCAGAAGCAAAGCCACAGAAACGCGTCTCCTTCTCAGATCACATCATTGTTCATGAAGTCAAGGAATACCATAAATGCAGGAAATGTCCAAGGATATTTGAGGATTATAAGTCACTCAAAGTTCACATGAAACAGAAACATAAAAAGCGTAAATGTTACATTTGTCACTATTGTAACAAGAACTTTGTGGACCGAATGTTCTTTAAAGTCCATATTAAACTACATTGTGATGTCTGTGGGGAGTTATTGCCAAACAAGGCAAAGTATTTAGATCACAGACGCAATGTATGTAGAGTACTAAAAATGCACAAGTGTAAAACCTGTGATTCATCATTTTTTAAATTTATGGACTTGAAAGATCACAGCTACGAACATCTAAGTACGTTTTTTATTTGTGACATATGCAAAGATCAATTTGAAACCAAGTGTGGGGTATCTCATCATATTTCATTCTTACATTCAAAAAAACGGCCCACAGCTTTGTACATGATGAGAAATTTGGGCAGTGAACGTTTATATTTATGTAACTTCTGTGAAGAGAGCTCTGTGGACCGTGACTTGATCGAGGCCCACGTTCAAGTTCTGCCAGATCTTGCAAACCGTGCCATGACTGGGTATAAAGATTACTACTTCTGTGATCAATGCCTAAGAAAGTTTGATACAGAACAAGACATGCTTCAACACAAATGGACACATTTCCTCAAAACAAGCGACAATTCACAAGTACGGCCGAAGAGTATACTGAGTAACAATAAAAGTAAGATAAGAACTACTTATAAAGTTAATGAGAGTATACCGGACTATTTGAAACCGCAGCTCGTTCTGGAAAAAGTAAATATTGACGCTAACAATGCGAATAATTCTGAAAATATAAAACCGAAGAAAACTCTGAAGAAAACTATTTTCTCTAACCATCAATGTCAGGTATGCTTATTTATGTATTTCTGTGCACAATTATTATTTTAAAAAGTGTTCCTTATTATTATTAAAAGGACTTTGGTACAGATGTTCATTTCATAAAAATATAAAATATTATATTATTTATTTTTTAAGCATTCAATTGCTATATATTTAAATCTTCAGAAAATATTACTAGAAAAAAATCCATGCCAATTTCTTTTTTTGTAGTAATTTCTTTTAAGATATAAAATGTTTATAAATTATATCTAAAGAATGAATTCTAGCTAATATGAGCCAACCCATGAGCTGTGATTGCCTTTATGAACATTAATTACTTCGTTTTTCTTTTTCAGCAATGTGGCAAATACTATTCGTCCAATTATTGTCTGAATCGTCATATGGAAACACAGCACTCAGACTTTGAGAATCTGAGGTGCAAAGTATGTGAGGAGACTTTCGTGTGGCCCTCATTGTTGAGATCTCACAAATGTATACGTCTCCAAATACCTGAAATGCCATTCGATGATGCGAGACCTGAGATACACTTTGACAATTTGCATGAAATTTCACAAAATGGTTTCGATGATTTCAATATAAACGACAGTGATGATTACATGAACTCTATTGACTTTGAAATACCTGCACCTATTGTTGAACTAACAGAAGGTACAAACACTTTCGTGGCGAATATGAATTGTGTTACTCCATTACAGAACTTAGGATACAAAGTTATTATGCAGGAAGTACCCATAGAATTTTAATTAGTGTGTAAGTATAGGTATAGTATAATATTGTGTACATACATACAGAAGTTGAGTCTATAAAAGTGTAAAAAATATATTATTGAATGCTTGGTGTACAGGTTGTGACAGAAAGAAAATCTTTAAAATCATTCACCATAATAATTTAAATGATCTTGCTGTCAAATATATAATAAACAAACAAAACTTATGACATGATGGAACTTGAAAGAAGAGCTTGAAATGGCAATTACTAAGTATGTGAAATTAAGAAAGATTTCATTGAATTGATATGTATTGTGTTGCCAGACTTTACATTAATATTTATTAAAAAAGTATCTTTTTGATGAGTTAATTTTTCTGGAGCAACCTGTATATACGTTAGGTTTACGATTGATGAATCTTTATTTATTACCTTGATAAAAAGGCACTTGTTTTTATTTATTCCCTAAGTGACAATTATCCATAAGGATGTTGCCATAAAAGAACGAAAAATCTTTTTTTTTATGTTTTAGCATTAAGTACTGCCAATTTCTTCTTTTAAAATTGACAACGTGTGTATTTCTAAACAATTGAATACACAAAGTTATTTTCAAAAAAATTTAAGTATCATTTATCCCAATGGGACTAGTGTGACAATCATCCCACTAGTCACATCATGGGACTGAGTCAATGAGACTAATGGGATAGGTAAGATATCTCAGGAGGATACTTAATCACTAAATTTTTTCTCTCATTAATGAGTACACATCTGTTGTTATTTTTATTTGTGGACTGTTAGATTTACTATCATGTTTAATTCGTTATGTATTGAAATTTGTAATGTATGATATAAAATGTTAAGGAAGTGTTTGCAAGTTTGACAAAACGTATTGAAAGTTAATGTAAATATTGTTTATACATAGTTAGATTCCAGATGGATATTGTATAAGTTTGGTAATTAATAATGTATCAGATTCAAGGCATATTTGTAATTAATAGGTCTGACATCATGACTTCCAAACAACTGCTACCTATAGGTGATGTTTGTATTTTGGTATATTTTTATATTTCACTTTCTTCTTCCTTTAAATTCACGCTCTGTTGTATGATAAAATTCTAATAGAAGGTTTTCTGCAAAATAATTTCGTTTATTATATGAGGAGCTGGCGAACAAAACGGTATGATTACTCATCTGGTCAAACCACTTTTTTTTACAGTCCGCAGGTATCAGGCCCGTTGAATTTGAACCTTAAATAATTTTCAACAAAACAGTGTTAAAATTACTAAATTTATAAACTTCAAATCCATTCCAAAAGCTCACTGAAGGAATGTCATTCAGTTTTATACAGCTCCTGTAACCGTTTTGTTTGCCAGCTCCTCATATATAACGTCTTGTTTTGCTAATTTTATTTACATAAATTTGAACCAACATTAATGGTCAGAATATATAATGATAGAATAAAACTGGTAAAACATAATTTGTAGGTAGGAACTAGAGATCATTCGCATTTTTTTCACACAATTTGACAGCTTCATTTTAATTAGACAGCTTAGATTAAACTGTTTTTGATTTTTTTAGTTAATTTTGTTTTTGTTTATGAGATCAACGGTGTCGACTTTGGCATGATTTTTCAGGTTATTTAAGCGATTGCTACCTTGTACCTTGTTTTTAGCGAGCGTTTGATATTTCGGCACTGTTGCAAGTATCAAGATCACGGTGTAACTAAAGTTATTGCGGGTACGATGTAAGTCTGACATATCAGTCTACCCTCCGACAAATCTTATTGCGTTCGATACCCGTACCACTCTTAACATTCTCACTATTCACTCGAAACTGTTCTGACTATCGACATAACAGGAACAAACGGTATTATTCTCGTAAATAACCTAAATTACTATAATGTTTCTGACCCATGAAAGTGTAAAACAATGGTTACTTATATGTTTGATTAAATTATAATGAAGAAAAGTAATTGCTTGGGCATTTGGTTTTTTTTGCTAGCTACAATATATGTATTAATTTTCGGTGCCTGTACCAATTTCTCATTAAAATCCTGTGAGTATGTTACTACTAATTACATTCTTTGCATGTCAATATTATCCAAACAGCATATCGTTATGCGCTGAATGCAATTGTTATAAAATGAGCTGTCTTGCGTTGCTATATGGTTAATTTTTTCGCATAATTATGTGTAATTTTATTTGTTGGTGACGGTACCAATTTCTCATTCATATATTAGTACGTAGGTACTAAGCAGATTTTATTCTTTGCATGTAAATATTATCTAAACAGTATAATTTTATGCGCTGCAGGCGATTGTTCTAAAATTAGCATTACTGCGTTGCTATATGGTAAAATAAAATTAAATAAATTGGACAAAGCCTTGAGTTTCCTAGTCTATCAGACTTTCTGTTTATATTACTCAGGAGAAATAGATTTTTCATCCCACCACCTCGGAAAGTGTAATTTTGCGCTTCGAAATCTGGCTGGAAAATTCTATTTTATTCGCTTGAGCGGCAAAGTAGATTTGAATTTAGAACATCACATATAATGAGTACTCAATATAATTGTAAATTCAAAACGTCATTAAACCTATTTAATGTAACCTCTATGGTGCCAAATTTATGATTAGAACTTTTTAAATTGTGAAAAAATTTAAATTTGGAACCTTCTTGGTTTCTTTGTTTTATTTGCGTGCTTCGCGCCATTCTAGTTTTTCACGTTTTATTGCTTAAATATTTTGTCATTATAAATTGTTTTCTTTTTCATTTTGTCATTTCCTCGCTGAGGTGGGATGAAAAGTTACGTATTGCACTCGAGTGGAAAGATTTTTCACCTTGTGCTCGTTTGTTTCCCTCGCTGACGCTCAGGATTCTAATTTAGAATCACTCGCTGCGCTCGTGATTCAACTTTAGAATCCTTCGCTTGCTCGGTCATCCAAATCGAGCACGCGGTTAAAAAGGAACTTTCCACTCTTGTATAATAAATAACTATTATTGTTTGTAATAGCTCAACTTTTTTATATCATGTAATTTAGGATAAATTTCGCCCAAAACATACTTTATTTACACAGATTCCTTTCTCAAAAAAAAAATAACAGAATTTGACGTTAAGTCTAACGTAAAATTTTGTATTTTTTTTTACTTTGACATTTGAAGGTATACACCTGGCAATTTTTTTGAGCATCGACCATCATCGACAAGTAAGCCTGCTGCGCAGTAGCAATTCTACATACAAAAACGTCTACTACGCAAGTTTATTTGTCTGAGGGATTGCTCAAGAAGTTTGCCGCTACTTAAACAATTTTAAAATATCTTTCAAATGGCAAATCAAATGCCGGCACTTCACATGGTTATTTGTAAACTAGACAACAAGTCTCCTTTTTATGAGTTGCTGACGACTTTAAATCGGACGAAATACCCGAATTGACACCTTTTAATTTAAATATTCTATAGAGTACAAGGACAGGCTGCTGGCATAATGATAAGTAGCAAATACGGAGTGCTAACAAAAAGGTATCAAGATGGTATTTATATTGAGTTAAAATTTAGGTTCATATCAATGTAATTGTCAAATATATATACTATAGGTACCTAGTCATTATAATGTTGAAGAAACTTCGTAAAATATGTACAGCAAAAAAAGAAATCAGATTGTTTTGTTACTACTTTATATTACTTTAACCTAAAATGTATGTAAGCTGCCTATGAAGGACATTGGCAATGAACGCAAGGTGGGTTAGTATTTTTTGAATTAAAATTTATTCCAGTTATCATAAGTGTTCATAGTTGTTTTCTGTAACGACTTAGGAGTATTTGTTCTATCTAGTTGTCTCATTTGGGTAAAAGAAAAAAAAATATTTTACGTGAATCGTGTCATCGAAATATATTTTTATACAAAATTTTCTTCACTACAATCGTAGTGATTTTGGTTCATATAAATATAGTCATCGTGTATTTTTAGTTTAGTTAATATAAAAAAAAACAGTACCTGAAATATGAACGCGATCGTGACGGTTTTTGACGTGAGGATTCTTTAGATCGTGGATGGGCAAACTTTTTCCTTATCGTGGATTGACTAAAACTGGAATCATTATAGGATCATTTTGTTGTCCGTCTGTCCTTCCGTCCAAAGTCTGTCAAGACCTTTTATCTCAGGAACGCATGGAGATATCGTGTTGAAATTTAAACTATATTTTCAAGTCTATAGCCCCTTGAAGCAGTGAAAAACCAATCTTCTAAGTTAACATAAAAAATGATACGGCTGCTTATCTGTCTGTCTGTCAAGATCCTTTATCTCGGCCACGCGTGGAGGTATCGTGTTAAAATTTAAACTATATACTCAAGCGTATGGTTCCACGAAGCTGTGTGAATAAAATTTCTATGTTAACGTAAAAAACTGATACGGCTGTTTATGTTGCGTACCTATAAATGTGTACGGAACCTTCGGTGGGCGCGTCCGACTCGTAGTTGTCCGGTTTTTTTATGGCCCCGGGTCATATTTTAACCATTCGAGGGTCGGAGATGGCCCACTGGTCGTAGTTTGCCCATCCCTGCTTTAGGCAATGGCTAACGTGGGTCTTAGCCACCCGCGGCGAAATTTGTAACAAGTAACTAGTTGGTTCAAACCACGCGCAGACACAGTGATGCTGCAAAAGCAAAAAAATAACATTGATTTTTCATTGACTCGTTTGGCAAATATTGTCACGCAAAATATTTTTTAACATTGATTTTTCATTGACTCGTCTGGCAAATTTTGCCACGCCTTGATTTGGCACCACCCCAAAGATACAATTTATTCAAATAACTAGTTTCGTCACCAACCTTACGCTAAAGTATTTTTAAAAGTTTTCTTAAAAAAAGTGCCGGCTTTCCCCTGCTACTCTATGCCGCTGGTGCACAAATTATATATGTATTCCAAACATGAAACTGCCCAAGAAATATCAGAGGGGTAATCTTACGATAATAATTTAAATGTTCAAGGCGCCATGTTCTGGATAGTCTACTTGCCTAAAGACGTCTCGATATTTCTGTTTGTGTTTCTCGTATTGTTTTCTGATATGATTTATAAATGTTTAAGTTTGTCATGCCTGATAAATATTTTTTAAGTTTAGTTCATACGGTCTGTCAAAATAGTCATAGAAAGTACACAATACAATACCATTTAAAATGTTATTGTCACACCTACATAAATATTTAATGTATATTAAAGGGATTATTACATAAGTATTGGTTTCTAAGAATCATCGGTGCCCTTTTGGAACGTTTTATATTGGATAAGAGACTTTTATTTTAGTAAATAGTGTTATATAATTACCAATGCAGCCCATTGAAATTAAATAATTCTATTATGTATCTTACAAATTTTTTGGTGAAATTAAAGTTTCTTTGGCACAGTATCTAGTTGTGATTTATTTCAATATTTTTATTCTAATTTGCACAGTTCGACAAAAACGAAACAAATTAAAGGTTGTTCGAGGTCGCGGCTCCTAACTCAAGCGCTGAAAAAACGCGGAGGAGATATGTTATATGCTCTAAGCATGAGTACGACTGCAGAGCAGAGCCAATGTACGATTGGAGAGCCAATCGGCGCAACGCACGCCCACCCCCGCACCTCGTTTCCCCCCAAGACATCTTAATTTTTATTTTATGTCAGCGCTACATCTGCCGCCCCGGGTATTCTGACCACGCCCCCGCTAACGTCAGATTAGAGACAAATGTGAAGCCTAACGTTTCTACGTATATTAGACTGGGTGCCGCGATTCCTGATCAGGGAACCATACACGTGGGCCCAGTCTTAGCTACGTTAATTAGCCGTTGATGATTCTTTTGACTGATACTGTACTCGCTAGGCAATAATATGATAATTTCTATCCCTTTGATTTATTTATATTATCAACTACGTAGTTCTATCCTTAAATATTATGTGTAAGTAAAGGGAATATAAAGGCAAGGCGGACGTGAGGTTTAGATATCAGTATTGCCCTACCCAACGGATGAGAAACGGATTCTTATTTATTTAAACAGGTCGCGGCACGTATAACTCTAGCGCTGAACAAAGCGCGGAGGGAATAACTGCGCATGGGTTGGAGTACGACTGGAGAGTCAAGCGATGCACCGCACGCCCGCTTGTGCACCTCTGTTTCCCCCCAAGATATCTTAATTTTTAGTTCTGCGCAATAACGGTCAGCGCTAGAGTTTCGTGCCGTGACTTATACCTCAATATTAAATCTACATCTACATGCACGAATAAGACAGCTAGTGCCTAGCCCATAATTTATCGCTCCATCTATTACATTCATTATTATGAGTATGCACCTATGATGTTTCTGAACGTGTCTTGCGCGTCGCCATAGATTCAACCAGTAAATTACGGTAAAATACCGTAAAAATGATGGGTTTTCGAAAAAATAATAATAAGAAATGTAGTTTTTAAATCAAATTACTTTATATGTTTGTAATGATAATAATACTAAAGAAAATAAACCTCATTTTTGTAGTTTATTAGGTAGTCTAAGATGTAGATAGTTTCAGTGTATCGATAAAAGTATCCTGAAAACGGCTCTACACTCCAGCTACTCTGTGACATCTGTATCTAACTATCTACTAAAATCTGTGTTTCTAATTATAACCTCTGATGACAATGGCTGTATGGGCTTAGATCCCCTTGCCTTCCCTGAGCAGGGAAAAACAAACCAAAAAAAATGTCAAAATTAGGGAGGATGTGGTGTTTTGTTTTGTAATTTCGTAAATAAACTCTGCTGATTAGCTTCAATTCGAATATAATTTGATATTTAAATACAGTACATCAATATCGATTAGTTAGCAGCGATATATTAACTCAATGGAGATGGTGCAGTAGATATAAAGCAGAAGCATTACGTTTCCGGTAGTTGTGCTTAAAATAGTAATTTCCGAGTGATTTTGTGGGAAAAACTATGTCTGTGAGTGAGAAAGTGTCTCTTTCCGATGCTCTGAGCAACGTAGATGTGTTGGACGAGCTCACATTACCAGGTAAAGTACTTTTTATGAGAGAAATGATTCATGCTAATGGAGGGTGTGTATTACAGTTTTCTAATAAAATCTTCAATCTCGAGTTCCTCCGTGCTTCGGAAGGCACGTTAAGCCGTTGGTCCCGGCCGCATCTGCAGTCGTTAGCACCCACCAATCTGCACTGGGCCCGCGTGGTGGATCATGGCCCAATCTCCTTATTCCATCCATAGGGAAGCCCTGTCCCCCAGCAGTGGGGGCATTAATGGGCTGATGATGATGACATTTACAGTTTTAACTACATATTTATCCCTAATGGGGCCAGCAGTTTATCTAAGGGAGGGGCTATGTATCCTTCTGACGTAATGGGGCCTAAGGAACGTGTCTGATTCTACAAGTGTGGAAGTTAACCAACTTTTGCAATGGTGAGATATGAAATTGGTGACCAAAATTTTATTATTACACACTCTTCTATGCTTTGGAAGGCACATTAAGCTGTTGGTCCCGGCTGCATCTGTAGTTGTTAGCACTCACCAATACCCACTGGGCCTGAGTGGAGGCCTAATCTCCCTATTCCATCGATAGGGAAGGCCTGCGCCCCAGCAGTGGGACTTTAATAGGCTAGTGCTGATGTATCTCAATCTTTACGTTTGATTGCAACACCACTATCATAAAATATATATCTTATACCTGCAGCTTAGATTTATTATTACAGCCAACTTTAATTTCTTTTTTACCATAAGAACATCCTCTTTAAAAGTGGTACTAACCACTTCTAAATCATCAAAGATTAAACATAGTCTGCAACATATTATTCAAACGTTAGTCTGAAATTCATAATATAAATTGCAAAAAAAGTTCTTCAAGTTCTTTATCCAGTGCAATTTTTTGCATGGGAATTGAATGTTCATGTAACTATTGTTTTAGACGAACAACCATGCATAGAGGCTGCACCATGTTCGATTCTGTATCAAGCCAACTTCGATACAAACTTCGAGGACCGCAATGGGTTCGTCACCGGTATTGCCAAGTACATAGAGGAGGCAACAGTTCATGCCAACTTGGTAAGATTCATCATTATTAATGTATCTTCAGCCACATCTAAATCTGGAGTTTTACACCAGCCTATTTAGCATGAGCTCCATGATATGATTAGGTATTTAGGTCTCTGTCAAAAATCATTTTAATGCTGATCAACCCACTTATTCCATGGAAAATATAAGATTCATTCTTTTTGCTATCACCTACATTCTTATATCAATTTGTAGAGGAAAGAACAGGCTAGCTATCTAGCCATTGATTAAGTCAACTGCCATATGAAATATTTATACTGTTGTCTGTGGAAGTTCGTCGTTTGCCGTTTTTTGTATAAAAAAAAAATATGCTATGTATTTAGACCATTTAAAGTGTTTTTCAGTGGTATTTTAAAAAAAAAACACCATACCTGGGCAAGTTAAATACATTAAGTTACTCTATTTTGATGTTTTGTTGGCGGGTTTACTTGTTTTTTTTTTAATAACTTTTTTGTTCTCGACCTCGAAAACCAAAACCATAAAAAAAAGGGTTTGTGGCTTATGTTTTCATGGTGATAATTTCGATAATAATTGTAATGTTTTAATTTATAATTATTGAATAAATTATTCATGAATAATATTTCGAATACAGAGAATCTCTTGAGATAGTATTTTTGAAGAAATAAAAAAAAAGTGTAATGATTGTTCTAAATTCAAATATTCGAATGAAATATTTTTTCATATTATTTTCTTGTATGCAAGCTAGTGATTAGTTTTTGTTTATTCTATAGCAAATTTAATGTACATTTTGATAAAAGAAACTGTTTATCAAAATTGTAAGTACTTTTCGTTTTATCGACATAAAACTGAGATGACTGATTTGTAGGCGATTTTAAAATGCCTTGTTGCAAGTTCTTAAAACTATAAAATGAAAAAGGACTTTTCATGCCACACTTGTTTCTAAAGTGATGTTTACAATCTTAACTAACCGTAAACCCATAAATAATGGCTATTAGACTGCCTCTAATCTTTATCGCCTACTCGAAACCCGACACCTGTTTTTTCTAACGCGTGTTTGTTTACGCATCTGGCGCGTGGATTGTGAGAGCTATAGTGTAAAATTAAATTGTTGGAGTATGGTATATTATGATTTTTGGTAAGTTATAATAGAATGTGCAAATAACCAAAAAACCTGGACATGAAATTTTAAAATTTTGAAGATATACTCCATTTTAACCATTTGAACGCCTTTTTTTATCTTTCCCGAGTTTACCGTAACGTATTTAAAATAGATTATACGCACTGTGTAAACACTGTTTTATACAAAATTTTATGGAGAATCCAAATATATATAGTTTGATTTTATTTATTTTTTAAGCATTTAACTGCTAGATGTTTAAATTTAAAGAAAAGTTTACTAGAAAAAAAAATCCACATGGACCAGGCAGCTGACGGGACTCCAACCCACATCCTTCGCTATCCGGGCGAATGCACTGACCATTATGCTACCACGGCCCTATTAGCCGCGTCGCGTCGCGTCGTCGTCGCGTTTATTTCTAAATAAATAAAATCATAACTATAATTGCTATTTCTTCTTTCAAATGTTTAATACTTGAAAAAGTATTCATTTGACATTGTGGGTTACCTACAATGCGAAGAGATGGCGCTGCCTTGCAGCTTAAGGCTAGAAAAATTTCGACGCGGCTAATAGGGCCGTGGTAGCATAATGGTCAGTGCATTCGCCCGGATAGCGAAGGATGCGGGTTCGAGTCCCGTCCGCTGCCTGGTCCGCGTGGATTTTTTTTTCTAGTAAACTTTTCTTTAGATATATAGTTTGTATAGGGTATTCATACAAAATAACAGAGATATTGGCGAAACAATGCAATCGTTCCCACCCAGCGGGAGGCCCTTAGGGACGTGCGAGGATAATACGTTTTTATCATGCGCAATTGTCAAATTACTATGGAGTTTGGCAGTTGGGCGCAATAGAAATTGTGATATAAGGGGCTGTCCATTAATCACGTGAAGCTCGAAAGGGTGGGGGAGGGGTCCATAAAAAATTACGAATGTCACCAAGGGGGAGGGGGATCAAAAATAATAAAAAAAACTTCACGTGATTAATGGACGGCCCCTAATGTAAATTGTGGTCCTCATGCTATGGAAACCAAAACTCATTCAGTTGAATTGCACCAAAACCTTGTATGATTGTTTTGATTAGAACGAATTGTTGGAAGAAGGCAACGCTCACGCCGTAATGCTGTACACCTGGAGATGCTGCAGCCGCGCCATCCCTCAGCCCAGGTCCAATGAACAGCCTGACAGGGTCCACATATATGAGAGGACCGTCCAGGTCTTAGCTCCTGAAGTCGACAAACTGCTGCAGTTCATGTACTTTCAGGTGAGCTGGAACCTTAGACATAAAAAGAAAAGACTATGAATTCCTTAGCCAGCTGTCAGATAAATTTAAACGTGGACGCCCAATCTTTTCGTCTCTGCCACACTTTTCACACGCGAGGCAGGGTTTCCAAACATATGAGAACTCTAACGTTCGAGATTTAAAGCGATAGAGCGGTTCTGCGGTGTAGTGCGCCACGCGGAGAAGCGGGGCGACTTCATGTCGGAAGCCTACTTGCTTACTGTGCGCATGTGCATTTCTTAAGGCTTGCGTAGCGAGCGTCAGCGACGCCGCGACAGAGCGTCAGATAGGATTTCTTTACAAATGTCAATGTCAGCATCGGTCAAAACGGCACTGACAATGTCATTTGCATAGAAATTATCTCTGGCACTCTGTCGCGGCAAAGGCGGATCCAGCTTTGGCGCCAGGGGGGGGTCATATAGCCAGCTTTGGCGCCAGGGGGGGGTCATATAGTCGTGGTATATTAAATATTGAAGGTACTTAAATAAAATCCCCCTGGGTTTGGTCCATCTGTACCCAGCCCAGGGAGGGGGGGGGGGGGGGGGTCATGACCCCCATGACCCCCCCCCCTGGATCCGCCCTTGTGTCGCGGCGTCACTGACGCTCGCTTCGAAACCTTACCTTTAATATTAAAATTACTTTTTCATATTGCTATGCCAGTTCTAGACCCGGATACATAAATAGCATCCATTGTATTATACATAAGTCTTAGTATTATGTAGCTTAGATAAATTAAATAAGTACTCATTGAGTTAAGCGTATGATTATTCGTCAGCGTAAAGCGATAGAGCGTTTCTGCGGTGAAGTGCGCCGCTTGTGCCACGCGGAGAAGCGGCGCGACTTCGTGTCGGAAGCGTACTTACTCACCCTGGGCAAGTTCGTGAACATGTTCGCGGTGCTCGACGAACTGAAGAACATGAAGAGTAGCGTGAAGAACGACTATTCTACCTACAGGAGGTATGTAAATTGTTATTAGAAAAAACACACACCAATTTGTCTAGCCCAAACTAACCATTGTAAGGCTTGTGTTATGGGATACTAGGGTAACGGATGAAAGACGAGGGCACGAGTAATATTTTTGGTATTGCAAGCGTCTATAATCTATGGCGGCCGCTAACCTTTATTTTATTTTTTATTTTAACAATTGGGAACATAGAACAGTTATACACCAAATATTACTAAAATTTATAATGTAGATACTAATTAGGTAAGTGTTCAACCCACCCACACCAATGTCCACAAATTAATGATGAAAGGAGAAGTATAATTATCTTCTCTCTACCGAATATTAAAAAAAAACCGCGATGAATCGGTACAGATACAAGTAAGATACCAAATTCCATCAACCCGTTCTAATTGGTAATGTTTCTGCTGCCGTTTTTTTAAACTTTATTGTTGAGAACCTAAATATAATGCGATTCAAATAAGAATAGCAAAGCCAATGACCTCCATCTGTCAAATGTCGCTTAACAAGTACGGTTTGCAAAAAAATCTAGGAACACTTTCTCGCACTCGGCTAATTCTAGAATAAAAACCAAACGTTTTTAAACAAACAATAACAAATGTTGATAATTAATATTAGTTGATTTTTTTTCATTTATTGTGCTTTGGCTATGAATGGTTGATAACCTAAATCGTCAACCAAATGTCACTTTATGTTGCGTTCAAAAACTCGATTTAAAACTTTCGTTTACATATGGGATGCATGTTCGTATGTTCGTATGTGACCTGCATGATTATTCATAACTACTCCGGCGGTAATGCAAAGATGAGCGAAATTGAAGAGCTAAATTCTGATAAATATTTTTTTTCAAACAGTCTTAATACAGAAATATTATTAAAAATCGGTTGGTTTTTTTTTCTCAATCTTAGTAAATTAATTTTAAAAAAAAATCTGATGTTTTTTCTCACTTAATCTTAGTAAATAAGTTTTATTAAATAGCAACTTTTTTTGCTTACTCTACCTATTTGGTTTGAATTAACAGCTATGACGTCAAAATATGGCGCCCAGTCGATCCTATTCTTAGTTGAATCTCATTATATGTATATTTCTGCAAAGTTTGTCTTATAATCATCTAATAGTCTTTAGGCAGAACATATTATGCTTGTTGTCAACTTTTAACATTAAAAAACTGATTCCAACAAATGGCAGCAAAACTCAAAATCGAGCGTATATGCGCGAGCACAGTAATAAAAACCTTTAGCAAAAATATATCACTTTTTGTTTAAATCAGTTTTTTAATGTTAAAAGGTTGATAATAAGAATAATATGTTCTGCCTGCAGGTTAGCGGTCGCCGTAGATTATAGACGCTTGCGATAACAAATATATAACTCGTACCCTTGTCTTTTCAACATTATTAATTGTATAGTTAACTTGCTGACCCAGCGAACGTCGTATCGCCATAAAAATATGGGTGTTAGAAGGATGAAAATTTAGGTCTGTATATATTTTTCAATGGCAATTATAAAAAAGAATAATAAAAAAAATAGTTGTGAACAACCTTTATCACTTACGGGTATGAAAAAATAGATAGTAGCCTATTCTCAGACCTACTGAATATGCACATAAAATTTCATAAAAATCGGTCAGGCCGTTTCGGAGGAGTATGGTAACTAACACTGTGACACGAGAACTTTAAATATAAGATTTGGTTCTTGAGACAAACGGACGATTTGTTTTTGATACCTCCCAGGCGAGTCCGGGGAGTAGGTGAGAAAGCCATCACCTACTAATCTTGTGTTTGAGTCTTTCTGACTAAAACACATATAGTAGGGGCTGCCTTAAAAGCTTTTAATGCTACATATAGCCATCGACAAATAAAAAGGTGACGATGCTCAGCAGAGGGTAGGGTTCCGTTGTCCAATCAAACGGATCCCTAAAAATTTAACAATTTTTCTCCAGTAACTCTGCTTAATACCGCAGGGCTGTATTGTTTGGTGCAAGCCTTGAAGGCTCACTCCGCCGCAGCAGGTTGAGAGCAAGTCGGCGGCGCTTGGCCCGCCAGCTATTTTACTAGCCTCCAGGGGGAACGGGGGGTTCCCCTACCCTTTTCAGGGAAAGGAAGAAAGCGCTGCTCCACGCGAACGACCACTGGTCAACGTGTATGGCGGGCGCTGGATGGCTCATTCGGAGTCATAGGGGGACGAGAGAGGGACGGAGAGAATAACGCTCTCCCTCCCACTCTCGCGAGAGCCGCGAGTCTGCCCTGGGGGATGACAGGTCCGCATTGTACAAGCTCTCTGGACGTCGATGCCCCTTATGCTCCGGGGCATCTTCATCGGGGCGGGTTACTTCACGGACAATCACCTTGCGGGTGCGTGGCCAGTTGGAAATCGGGTGCCACGACCACGCCCGCACTCCCGGCGCGCAGGGGGGGGGGACCTCGGTCCCCAGAATGAATGTGTGCCGGGTGAACGGTGCAAGAGCATTGTCTGGTTTTAGTGGCCCTGTTCAGTTCAGGCTATAATAATATAATATATTTATTTATTTCTCCTCATAACATGATGCTATTGTAATAGGTGAATACAAAAATGATAAACCTGTAGGTTGTGAGAAGCTGGTGTCTGACATGGGTATAGAAATACCTGTATTACAGATCACCAGGCCCTCGGCCAACCAGAATGAGATAATTACAATACAACTTAACCAAAACAATTCTACAATATAGGAGAACTTATATAAAAAGACATTAAATATTAGCCTAGTTGTTCGTTTACAGAGATTAACATATCAAAGATGATTGAATGCCACACAAAGTGCAAACAAGTATAGCTGGAAGTTAAATGGACAGTTTCTATTGTGTTGTTTGTTGATACATTTACTTAATTACTTTAAATTACCTAATGATTAACATTACTTTCCTTTACATAAAAATAAAAATTAAAGATACTCATTTGCTAGAATTTCATTGAGAAAGAATCTAAGAGAAAGTTTAGGTAGGGCCTTGCTCATTTTATCCGGCCCAAGGGCTGGCTGAAATGAGCAGGGAGGAGTCCCACATACCTTCTCCCCGCTCTCCCGGTGGTTGAAGGATGCGTAAGGCATTCCCCAGACACAAAAAAGGGCTGTATTGTTTAGATTTCTTTTTCACCAACAGAGCGGCGCAGTTTCTGAAAGTGATGTCCGACAGTCAAAGTCTGCAGGAGTCGCAGAATCTGTCCATGTTCCTGGCGACGCAGAACAAAATACGGGACACGGTGAAAGATGCCTTGGAGAAGATTAACGGTGAGTCGACATTCGATTGTACGTCTCTTTTACAGAGCAGTGAGTTAGCTTCTTAACCAATAAAACTTATTATAAACAAAGCAAATTGAAAAGGAATATGATTTTCCTCCGTCGAAAAAAATAAAAATCAACAATAGTGATATGTCATTTTCTTCTAATGAAGATACTGATGAATCTCTTTGTGAAGAAGAAATAGGAGAAGAACAAGAAATTGATGACGAAATGATAAAGAAAGACACAAACAAAACACTTTCTGTATCACCTTCAGAAGACCACAATGTGAGCATTGTGAGCATTGTGAGCGATGCATCATTCAAATATTTTCTCTCATCACAGAGCATAAAAAAACAATTTGTCATGGTCACATTCTTCAGAAGTGATGAAAGATGTTCCTTTGGTGTAAACAATGAGAGGGGAACTTAAGTTAGGCCAAGCACGTGTCTTTGAAAGTGATAAAAATTTTTGAATAGGAAATCATAGTATGAAAAGACTGCAGGTTTACACCTATGAGCATTGGTATCCAATAGAAGCATTCTGTAATTTTGCAAATCTTCTTCTGTAACGATCTCTAATTGTGGCCTCTTTTAAAGAACAGTTCCATCAAACTTTGTAGTCGTTTTTATACTAAGATTTCCTATTAAAATTGTATCATTTTCAAAGACACGTGTTTGACCTAACTTAAGTTCCCCCTCTCATTTTTTACTCCAAAAAAACATCTTTTATCACTTCCGAAGAATGTGACCATTTCAAAGATTGTTTTTTTTTATACTGATTTATACTGATACATATAAGCATATTTTTAATCTAGGAATATATTTAAACATCCATGACAAAGGTACAAGTGCTCGTATTCATCATACTAACATTTGCCCCCACCGGGTTTCGAACCAGGGACCACTGAGTAGGCGATACCATGAAACACGGCGTATATACCACTCGGCCATGCAGGTCGTCACGCGGTGGCTATGCAATTGGAAAAGAAGAATTCAGAACATTGGTTCCGCTTAATAGTCCCTCGGCTGCTATGGATTCTCTGTGCTTGCTTTTGCATTTTAATTTATTTTCTGGAACTGTTTTTAACTGGCTTTAAAACGAGGAGAACTTTTCACTGACAAACAGTATGCACATAGTTATTGTGTTTAATTTCTTTATTTATTTATTTTTATATAGCGAGGTAGTCATCCCTCCGGATTAGTACGGACAAGTCCGGACTTCTAGACTATAGCCCTTAAGACCTTTAAATTGTCCAGATTTTTTAAATTACATTGAAGATGAATAAGAAACGTACGTATTGATTTAAATACCATACCAACAATGATTTAAACTCACTTAGTTACAAAACTAAGTGATTAATGGTCTATTTTGTGACTTAAAAAGTCCGGACTTTTTTGCGAAATGTCAGGACTTTTGAAATTCCTAAATGGTTACCATTTAGGATCCCACCTGATAATCCCACCTGATGTTAAGTGGTGATAAAGTCCAAACGCGAAGATAGTTGGTACAGCAGTTTTTTTAAGCATTTAACTACTAGATGTGTAAATCTAAAGAAAATTTAACTAGAAAAAAACCACTCGGATCAGGCAGCAGACGGGACTCGAACCCGCACCCTTCGCTATCCGGGCGAATGCCCTGACCATTATGCTACCACGGCTGCAAGGCAGCGCCATCTCTTCGCATTGTAGGTAACTACAATGTCAAATAAATACCTTTACAAGTATTAAACATTTGAAAGAAGAAATAGCAATTATAGATATATTTATTGTTTTTATGGGTTACCTACAATGCGAAGAGATGGCGCTGCCTTGCAGCCTAAGAAAAGTTTAGAGTGTTCAATTTTGTTTTGTTTACTTGCCGTGGTTAAAGACTTATTTATATAATATCTTTGTACAGGCTACGAAGACTTGTTGGCAGACGTTGTCAATATTTGCGTCCACATGTTCGAGACCAAGATGTACCTCACTCCATCTGAGAAACACATGCTTGTCAAAGTAAGTGTTTTTTAACGGCGAATATAGACCTTATTAGTACCTACATAAGGTTCAATATATACTTTTTCATAATATATTGCTCACATTAAAACAAAAAGGGAAGATACGGTATACCCAACTTGCATCAAATAAAATATGTTCCGACTCAACCACATACGCAACTCTCACACGCACACGTCTGTATATAAACATTCAATGGTGCGAGCGAGACAGAACTGTACGCTTCATCGCAGCGCGAGCGAAACGGCGTGTCCGCTTCCGAGTCCGTACGGCTGAGCAGTTTTGTTGTCCTTTTCTTGATAACAAAATGATGATTACGTAATAACATTTACGAGAAACCGTGATTTTTGAGAAAAAAATGTTTTTACAGTTTTATGAATGAAAAATGTTGCCGAGGCATTTGTTATTTGATTTTGAACTATTTGTGTTCTTCATAAAAGCATCGAAGGCATGGTTTTATTTTTATAGTACAGAACGCAATATTGTTATATTGAGTGCACATGTAGCGTGTTTGAAGGTCCAATTCTAGACGTTTTCGTTCACGTGACAATAGATAAAAAATACTTTCTATTTCATGATTTTAGTAATATTATTAACTACTTTTTTTTGACCAAAAATTTACTACCTCGAGCTCCTCCATACTTCGGAAGGCACGTTAAGCCGTTGGTCCCGGCTGCATCTGCAGTCGTTAGCAGCCCGCGTGGTGGGTCATGGTTCAATCTCCCTATTCCATCCATAGGGAAGGCCTGTGCCCCAGCAGTGGGGACATTATAGGCTGATGATGATACTTATTTTTAAACACACATGCATATTTTTGAATAAGATATTATGATTATAATGTTTTATTATTTTTAAAGCATGTAACTGCTTGATGTTTAAATCTAAAGAAAATATAACTAGAAAAAATTCCACGCGGACCAGGCAGCAGACGGGACTCGAACCCGCACCCATCGCAATCCGGGCGAATGCACTGACCAATTATGCTATTGTGGGTTTACCTATAATGCGAAGAGATGGCGCTGCCTTGCAGCTTAAGAATAGCTAGACGGAATTTCGACGCGGTCCGTGAGGGCCGCGGTAGCATAATTGGTCAGTGCATTCGCCCGGATTGCGAAGGGTGCGGGTTCGAGTCCCGTCTGCTGCCTGGTCCGCGTGGAATTTTTTCTAGTTATATTTTCTTTAGATTTAAAGATATTATGAGTTCAATATGTACATTTTATTTATTAGATAGAATTAAGTGACAATCCAATAACAACCGTAACTAAGTTACGTCATCACAGCCCAAAGAGAATATATATGACACGCCTCCGAGGCCATTCCTGGCTACCGCACCAGAGGGGCCGGTAGCAACTGGTCCAGTTGACGTCTCCATACCTTACCACTATCCGTCGTACCGAGGAGCTCTATGCCGCAGGTGGCTAGCGCGTTCGGCTGCGATCGTTGAAGTTAAACAACTTTCGCATTGGTCGGTCATTGGATGGGTGACCAAAAATTTACTATCTCGAGCTCCTCCGTGCTTCGGAAGGCAAGTTAAGCCGTTGGTCCCGGCTGCATTTGCAGTCGTTAGCACCCACCAATCCGCACTGGGCCCGCGTGGTGGGTCATGGCCCAATCTCCCTATTCCATCCATAGGGAAGGCCTGTGCCCCAGCAGTGAGGACATTAATAGGCTGATGATGATGATGATGATCCGTCGTAACTTCATAATGGACACGCCGCAGCCGTCGTATCACAGTGCGAAACTCCCATCTGTGGATGCCATTATAACTCCGAGCCTGAACACGGTCAACCTGTTTGAATTGTTTCCTTAAATAATAACAATAATAAATATTTCCGACACACACCAATTAGCCTAGCCCCAAAGTAAGCACTACAAGGCTTGTGTTATGGGATGCTAGGGTAACGGATAGAATACATATACTGTACATATATAAGTATATTTATATAAATACATATTAAACATCCATGACTGGAGTACAAATGCTCGTATTCATCACACAAACATTTGCCCCCACCGGGATTCGAACCCGAGACCTCTCGAGTCGGCGACAGCCATGAAACCCGGCGTACAAACCACTCGGCCACGGAGGTCGTCATAATAAATCCATAAATCCTTAATTCTATCTGCCTTCTCGTGTCTCGAGAGTCGCTTGCAGCTGAGGGTTGCTGTAACATGACATGTAATTTTTTTCTTATCTCACGCCCGATCATAAGTTGATAAGGTGACTGACCATTGGAATTCGGTGTACGTCTCAACCGAGCCTTGAGAGTGTTCAATTTGTCGTTAATATCGCATAAGATATTATTAGTTCAATATGTACATTTCATTTATTTGGTAATTAAGTGACATTCCAATAACAACCGTAACTAAGTAACGTCATCACAGCCCAAAGAGAATATATATGACACATATATTGGTACTTTATTGTCAAATAGCCTCTACTGCCATAGTCGTTCCAAGTAGACTGGGATGGGAAGGGAAATAAGTTCATACGGTTTAATTTTTGATTGAAAATCTGACTATATTTTTATATCTTGTTGTAAATAAAAATCACACTAATATTATAAAGGCGAAAATTTGTGAGTGTGTATGTTTGTTACTTCTTCACGCCTAAACGGCTGGAGCGATTTTAATAAAATTTGGTATGGAGTTAGCTGATATTCTGGATTAACACATAGGCTACGTTTTACTGCGGGAAAATAAACCTTTACTAAAACTATTATTATATAGTTTTAGTAAAGGTTTCCCCATCTCTTATCTATTAGACAAGTCCGTCTGTCTGTGGTGCTGTTTCAGCGGCCAAACCGTAAGAGATAGATAAAGAGAATATTTAAGTTATAAGTTAAGAATAGTCTGATGAGACTACAAACCGTATTTGAGTAACGTAGCACTTCCGGTTTTCGAGAAATCAGGTTTTGGTGAACATTTGGTTCACTGGTTTGCTAGTATAACTCTATTAGGCTCAAAACGACTACTGTTCTTTGCAAGTTTGTTTTTTATAAACTAAATATTTTAATTCATGTATTTGCTTGCCAGGTCATGGGCTTTGGTTTGTTCCTGATGGACTCTGAAGTGTGCAACATTAACCGATTGGATCAGAAAAAGAAGATTCGTTTAGATCGCATTGATAGGATTTTCAAGGTAATAAATATCACCTATATTAATATGTGAAGGAGAGGGAAGTTGTATGGCGCAAGTAAAGAGCAACACGGAAGGGAGTTGCCATAGCGTAACGGTATTAAATACCCTAGATACACCACGTGCGCTCAAAATGTGTCCCAATCAAGAAGTGCTTGAACTCCACTCAAGCACTACTTGGTTCACAGTCACGCGCGGACCGCTGATAAGTCAAGTTGCCGCAGAGCTTCGTGAAAAAATGCGATAAAAATACGTATAGTACGTAAAGTGCCGTTTTTTCGACAGGTGTCTAATCAATGTTTGTTAATTTAACGCATTTGAAGCAAATTTTGTTCTAATACTTACACTATGAACTGATTTAATAGAAAATATTTGTGATATTCAAATGCATAGTCGGTTATATAGGCATCTCTTTTCCTCGCGGTCTGTACCTGCTATATTGCTAACAGCGCATTCAGAATAGGGTATTTAACAAGTTTTAGAAAACGATCTCACGTTATTGTCTAATGTTTATGGAGTCCGTAAAAAGAGGATATTCATCATTCTGTTGTGTATTTAAGTAAAAATAACCAAATCAAAAACTCCATTTTCAAGTTGCCGCGAAAACGTTTCTCTTCATAATATGGCGTCTTACTAGTGTGTGACGTCACACGACTGTCATTAAAACGTCAAATAATACAATCAAATGTCATTTTAACCGGAAATATACTTGCGTGTGAAGTATATTTTCGGGCTCCACCAATCCCAAGCGTTTTGTGTCACGTGACAATAGACAAGAAAATTATTATTTTTATCGTGGGTTTTTAGTAAAACTATGAATATTTTTTCTATAAAAATAGTAATAATTCCTACCAATATTCATTCTAAATACATATGCTAACAATTGGCACTTTATTTTTAATATTGTCAAATACCCTATTCTTATATCAACTTTTTAGCTGACTTCAAAAAGGAAAGGGAGCAGTTTCTTAACTCGGTTTGGTGTTTTTTTAAATACAATTATTCTTTGCTTATAATTTTGTTTCAGAACTTGGAAGTAGTCCCATTATTCGGGGACATGCAAATAGCTCCGTTTAATTATATCAAGCGTTCGAAACACTATGACCCGAGCAAGTGAGTATTGTGGAGGATAGTTGATGAAAGAAAGAAAAAAAATAGGTCAACTGCGAGTCTGACCCGTACACGAAGGGTTCCTTACCAATATCTATACAACATTAGACACTATATCACACTAATATTATAAAGGCGAAAGTTTGTGAGTGTGTATGTTTGCTACTTCTTCATGTCTAAACGTCTGGAGTGATTTTAATAAAATTTGATATGGAGTTGGAGCTGACACCTTGGATTAACACATAGGCTACGTTTTACCGCGGGAAAATGTCCCTAAGCAGACCCCTCTTTCCCAGTGGACACTTTGGGCAAGTGCCCAGGGCCCCGCGACCGATAGGGGGCCCCCTCAGATCAAATAAAAATCCCTAGTTCCTGTTAAATCACCAAACGGAAGTCAAAGGGGCCCATTATCCTAATATGCCCAGGGCCTCCAAAAGGTCAAAGACGGCACTGTCCCTAATAAACCGCGGGTAACACCGCGGCACACAGCTAGTTATAGATAATCACGAGCAATAACGACAAATAATAATCACACCTGTTGCATGAGAGCCCCCCCTTAAATAATCATTTTGATTTAATTATTTATTTTGAAACTGATTACAAAACTATATATTCTGTGAATATTTCTAGCGTGTTCCTGTAGCCGTTATATTATTGATTAAAAAACGCCCCAAAATTAAATATTTATTTTATTCTATTTTTAGTATTTCTTGCTTTAGCGGCGACAGAAATACATTGGTAGTGAGAATTTCAATTGTCTAGCTATCACGGATTGTGACATACAGCCTGGTGACAGACAGACGAACAGACGGACAGTGAAGTCTTTGTAATAGGGTTCCGTTTTTACCCTTTGGGTACTGAACCTTAAAAACAAAATGTTTATAAACAGTCGTTTTCATAGATGGCCGTTGTCCTCGAGCCCTAATCCGCCTTCGCCCCAGGCCGACCTGATGGTCCACCTGCCTCAGATCAGGGAGGAACATCAGAACTATATTTCCGAACTGGCCAGATATAGCAACGAGGTAAGCCTCTAAAAATAATGTGTTTTTGAAGTTAAACTTCTTTTCGAACGGGGTAGAAATGGAAAAAGGAAAGGATGAAACGGAAATGCGTCACGAGTGTCACACGATTATTATTTGTATGTATATGTGGGATGTGTTTGCAGCACTTCCTGACGAGCATGAAAGTTGGAGGGTAACTCGGCGAAGGCTGAAAGGCGACGAGAGTACCACGCGACAAAAAAAAAAAAAAAATTGCATCACACATATTTTTTACAATCGTGAAGTACATTTGGTTGCTATCCAATTATCACTAACAGGGGCTCAAGTTGTTGGAACACGAGCTACCTTACTAAGTTGACAAGACAACTTGTATTAAGGGAGCTAGGCTCGACCCATGTGTTGGCTGAGTTTACAATTGGCAGTTATGGGTCACAGATATGATTGATAAGAAAATATATATGTGGGATGCGTTTGCAGCACTTCCCGACGTTAGTATTATAAATATATACACTAACTGACCCAGCGAACTTCGTACCGCCATAAAAAAATAGGGGTTGGTGGTAGAAAGTTGAAAATTTAAGGATGTATGTATTTTTGTATGATGTATCATAAAAAAATTAAAAAATAAAATTATCTAAAATTGAAAAAAAAAATTTTGGGTTGGATTACCCTTAACATTTAGAGGGATGAAAAATAGATTACATCCGATTCTCAGACCTAATGAATATGCATATAAAATTTCACGAAAATCGGTCGAGCCGTTTCGGAGGAGTTTAACCACAAACACCGCGACACGAGAATTTTATATATTAGATATTATGAGTGATGCGTGCGCTGCTCCATTATCTTTTGCCTTATGCACCGCCTGATATTAGATTATTTAAGAAAAGAAGTTTCACTTCAGATGAGTGTGTCCGTGCACCCAATTTTTTTTTATTCTATACTTCCTACTAATATTGTAAATGTGAAAGTTTGTATGTTTGTTTGCTCAATCACGCATAAACTACTTTATCGTTTTCTTTCGAACGTTCACTGTTACATAATGCTGTTAGCATTAAGCCCGCCTTTTTTATCATTGCCATTTATTGGTAAATTAGTTTGATAGTTCAATGAACAATCTTCTTGTTGTTTAAGTTTTTATTTTTTAAGCATGTAACTGTTGATGTTTAAATCTAAAGAAAATATTATTAGAAAAAAATCCACGCGTCCCGTCTGCTGCCTGGTCCGCGTGGTTTTTTTTTCTAGTAATATTTCTTTTCTTAATCTTCTTGTTGTATATACGTATGAAAGGCAACCATTACTGACTGATCTATCAACGCACAGCTCAAAGTGAACGGATTGCGCTGAAAGGAGATTGCTCAAATTGACCCAAATGTACAAAAAATATTGACAGTCCCGTCCAAACAAACCATTAGACACGAAATTTTTGAGAGCTTACATCTATTAAATAAAGTTCATGCAAAATTTGCAGTCAATAGGTCCAAGGGATAAGATTTTACGAACAAAAGTTTTTTTGCATATCACGCCTGAGGCTGCATTTCAAAAAAATCCCAGCTTATTACTTGTCTGGGCAATAATAGGTCTGTCCTGTCCAAATTTCATCATTCTAGGTCCAGCCGTTACGGCTGTACGTTGATAATTCAGTCAGTCTGTCAGTGTATTCTTTTATCTCTTTATATAATAGTATAAATATGTATCAGTATATGTATTCTATCCGTTACCCTAGTATCCCACAACACAAGTCTACAGTGATTACTTTGGGGCTAGGCCAATTGATGCGTTAAAAAATTTAAATTGTCTCAAATCCAGGTAACCACCACCTTCAAAGAAGCAGGCTCGGACTCCGAAAACAAAACAGTCACCGACCTATGCCTTCGGGGCTTACAACTGCTGTCCTCCTGGTGTTCAGTATTAACAGAACTTTGTTCTTGGAAACTGCTGCACCCTACTGACCATGCCACCAACCCGAGATGCCCGCCCGACGCTGAGGAGTATGAGAGGGTGAGTAATAAATCTAAGGTGGACAGGCAAAATTATAAAAGCCAGATCCAATTATTTGCAAAACCGAAAGTATATGCCATCACCAATCCAATTCTCTACTAAACGGAACGTAAATGCCACCACTAATTCAATTTTCTGCAAACTGAAACGTAAATGTCACAACCGATCAAATCATGGAGGTTAGAGAGAAGGAGAACGATCGCTGTAAAAAATAGTGTCCCAGAAATATGGACAAAATAAGTGAGGCGCTGCGATCGCTAAGTTGTCCCAATAAAAGCGGGCTGTTGTGCGCTAATATGAAATGACCAATGCCGCGAAGAAAATTTGTACAATATTCAACTAACTTCATCTACTTGTACTCATAAACAGCTAACTTCACAGATACTACTTACCGACGGCAGCGCGGCTGGTGGCTGAAAAATGAACTATAAATTCTTCAAATTTTCAGGGACAGGCGGGCTAATGCTTTAGCACGTAGCAATCGTTTTCCTTCTCTCCAACCTCCATGTATCCAAATCTCTGAAAAAAGGAACGCCTGATGTTAAGTAATACTTAAAGGTAAGGGATAAATTAGGATAATCCAAGGAATTAGAAATGATATGGAAGCATTACTCTAAACAAAGGCCGCTAAAACATAGTTCCAAACGCATACAACTAAACTTCAATACGAACGCGATACGCACACAGACAATACAAAATACTTTGTCCAATAAAATACCAGTACCCCTAGCACGAACCATTATCGAATTCGAATAGTTTGCAAACCGAAATGTCAATGTCAAATTTTGTATGGAAACTTGAACAGCAGCGCCACTTTGGACGTAACGGGAACTAAAAAGCAGTACACATTTGACAATGACATTTCGGAATCGCAAATGTTACGAATTCGATTTTGGTTCGTGCTAAGGGTACTGCAAATGAATTCGGCTATCCAATCATTGGTTCAGATAATATTAAACGTAAATCTCAACCAATCGGTGATCGGCGTGTTGTTCATCGCATTTTTTGAATATAGTTTAGTGTAATGTATTTTTTTATGTAAAAAGGATAACAAACATGTTAATTTATCTGATAATTATAAATGTAAATATTGTTTTATGTTTAAAAGCATGTAATGGATTTGAGAAAGTTTTGAAAACAATTTCACGTTATTTGCTAATATTTATCGAGTCCATAAAAAGTGGATATTTTTAATTGCGTTGTGTAATTCAGTAAAAAAAAAAAATGCAATTTTCAAGTTGACGCGAAAACGTTTCTCTTGAAATGAGGATGCGTTACGATTTTAATCAAGTATTCAGATTTATAGACCTAAAGATTCAACAAAATACAGTGGTTAAATTTTTGTTCTACGACAAATATTAACGAAGTTATGTTGTCACACGTCACACGACTGTCATTAAATCGTCAAACGATACAATGTAATGTCACTTTGGCCGGAGGTTTACTAGCGTGTGACGTCATTTTAATCTTGGCCAATCCCAGACGTTTTCAGTCACGTGACCATGGAGCAAAACACGACTTGTACCCATAAATGAGTTCAAGTGTCACATTAAAAATTGTTTACTTAAGAAAGGCTATTATACTATTAAAGAATACTTAAATGACAAAACTGCATGGCTGTAACTGTAAATTTGTTTTGTATTTGTTTGCAGTATCGTACAGATAAATTACCTGAATTCTAAGTAACTATTTTACTTGGTTTGAGTGGTTATGGGTAGTCATGCTCTCTTAAAAATCTCTTCGGCGGTGTCGTGTGAGGCGGGTCGTTGCGTTCCCTACAATATGGTTGAGCGAAACGATGGCTGGTTCATGCGTCATGCTCGTGAACGGGTGCTGCCAGCGGAGATGAGTCTGCTCTATACTACTTTATTATTATTATAATGATTGTTCAGGCAAGACGATAAGAAATTCTGCCTGCACCGGAACGTCGCATCATCTTTCTACCAGTAAGAGCAGCTGTGACCCACGTGATGAACCCCCCCCCCCCCCCCCCCCTATACCTCTCTCTACGCAAAATTCAAATTTTTGTACGCTCAACGTTAACAAGCAATTTTTCGTCTGATATATTTTATTTTTGTAATTTCTGCATAATATACGCATTTTACAAAACAACTGCGCTTTATTAAATAACTACGCATTAACGACGAAACATTTGGACCTTCGGAGCCGCATAAAGACCTGCTAAAACGCATCCAGGCAGATATTTGGACCAGGATTTGGAATATTTCACGCCAACCGTCATACGCACTTGTGATCAGCTTCAACTTGCCAAGGAGGAGCTGAAGAATAGCCGCAAATTGGAGGATTACCGGTCTCGTACTTGATAACGCGCATAAAAGGTACGACCAGCCATCCTGCCTATCCATCTTCAACTCCATTTCCACTGTGTAATACTGTGCTTTTCATGTGATTTCAGTGAGAATTTCTGCTGGTGTATTGTGCTTGCTACCTAATTATTCCACTGAGGCAGTTGCTTTGCAAACGTGAGTACCGAATCCATTCCATACTTCACCAAAATGAGCTTAGAATCTGGTCATGTTCGCGATAAGTCTCCCTACAAATCAAGTAATGATACCTTGTTCAGAGACTTAGTAAAGAAGCGAGGTATTGTGAAGGGTAGATTGACTAAATTTTCAAATTATATCAGTTTGCTCAATCTAGATTCTATATCGGCACAAAACCGCATAGACCTAAAGTTGCGTGTTCAGGGAGCAGCTAATTTATTTGGTGAATTTAGTGACATTCAAAATAAGCTTGAAGAGTTAGCCTCTGATGTAGATGAGCAGTTAACGCAAAGGGAACTGTTCGAAGACAGTTACTATGCCATCATGTCGCAAGCTGAATATTTATTAAATCCTAATCAGGTCGCTGACAGTTCTAATAGGTGTAGTCACAGCATTAAATCTGTAAAGTTACCTACTATTTCGATGCCTACCTTCAATGGTTCATGCGAGCAGTGGCTTGAATTCAGAGACACTTTTCTATCTTTAGTGCACAATTCTAACGAGCTTAGCAATATAGAAAAGTTCCACTATCTCAAATCATCCCTCAAGGGAAGCGCGGAGTTAGTTATAAATTCAGTCGAATTATCTAGTGATAACTATATCGTTGCGTGGGAATTGCTTCTCAATCGATATAATAATAGCAGACTGTTAGTGCATAATCACGTTAAAGCATTATTTACTATGCAATGTCTAGCTAAAGAGTCGCATGTTCTTATCAGAAGGTTGATAGATACAGTGCTAAAAAACTTACGTGCTTTGAAAGTTTTGGGTGAGCCAACTGAGTCGTGGGACACCTTGATTATATACATGATCGTTTCTAAATTAGACCCTACTACAGAACGCGAATGGGAGCAGTATAAAGTCACTTTATTTTCGAGAAATAGTAGTCCTAGGGCACAGCTTACAGTGGATGACCTAATGACCTTCCTAAAGGACCGCGCCGACATGCTGGAAACACTGCAACTATCACATAATAAAAATAACTTCGAAAATAAAAAACAGTTTACACAAAGTTCAAGCAAAATCCATTGCGCTGTTTATAGATTTATTGATAGGCGCAGACAAATTTTGGGATTTGCTCAATAATAATAATAAAATAAAATTATCTAATGGCCCTTTCTTATCAGATACTAAGCTTGGATGGATAGTGTCTGGGCCTATTAGCTCTTATTCGCACTGCCCCAAGGTCGTAAATTGCAATTTCACGCAAGCTATCGAGACGCAATTACGTCAGTTTTGGGAGCTTGAGGAGGTGTCTTTGTCTCGGGATACGCGCACCGATGAGGAACGTTATTGTGAGGAACGTTATTGTGAGGAACATTTCGCCGAAAACACTACGCGCAATAATGACGGAAGGTTCTGTGTACGCATACCTCTTAAAAGGGGCCCTGAGGCATTAGGCGAAAGTTATACGCAAGCGAAAAACCGTTTTCTCGCTTTAGAAAAACGATTGCAACGTAATCCCAGTTACAAAAAATTATACACAGACTTCATTCAAGAATACATAGGTCTTGGTCACATGACTCGTATAGAGCATTACGGGAGCCCAAATTACATTATGCCGCATCACGGTGTTTTTCGTGAACACAGCACCACAACAAAACTGCGCGTGGTATTTGACGCTAGTGCTGTTTCAAGTACTAACGTTTCGTTTAACGATCTGCAGATGGTAGGTCCGGCGATACAGGGCGACCTCGTTGCTATACTTCTGCGGTTTAGGTATCACAAATACACTGCGTGCGCCGACATTGAAAAAATGTATCGGCAGTGTTTAGTTCATGAAGACCAGAGGGATCTTCAATTAATTTTGTGGCGCAACGATCCGTCAGAACCATTACATATTTACAGATTAAACACCGTCACTTACGGGACCGCCTCAGCCGCTTTCTTAAGCTGTCGGTGTCTTAAACAATTAGCCATAGACTGCGCGCCTGACGTAGCCAGGTTGATCAACGAAAATTTTTACGTTGATGATTTTATTTTTAGTTGCGATAAAAAAGATCAATTACTGGCGTTATGTTCTTCTTTAGAAAAGGTTTTAAGTTCCGCATGTTTTCCACTGCGCAAATGGATGTTTAACTTTTCATTAAATAGGGATGAACATGATATCAATAATTTATCTAAGGATTTATCACTAGGAGAAAACGCTAGCTCAAAGACTTTAGGTTTAGGTTGGTGTAATTTTAGAGACGAATTTCATTACAGTACACAATATAAAATTGAAAATAACATTATAACTAAACGATACATAATGTCAACGGTCTCGCAAATTTTTGACCCGTTAGGTTTATTAAGCCCATTCATTATGATAGCTAAAATTATTCTGCAACGGTTGTGGTTATTAAGGCTAGGTTGGGACGATGAGGTGTCTGGTGACGTCGCGCAGACTTGGAACATATTTTCAAGTTCTTTGTACAATCTTAATCACATACATGTGCCGAGACATGTTGTGGGGAGTGATCCTGTGTGCCGTGAACTTCACATATTTTCTGATGCCTCAGAATCCGCATATGGAGCAGCAATATATTTACGTACAATCAACAGTGACAAGTCTGTAGTTGTTAGATTGTACTGCTCAAAAGGAAAGGTTGCACCATTAAAACCTGTTAGTATTCCGCGACTGGAATTATGCGCGGCATTATTAGGCGCTAGGCTATATAAAAAATTATGCGATTCACTAAACTGTACGTTTGATAATATAACTTTTTGGAGTGACTCCACCATTGTACTAGGTTGGCTGCGCATGGCTCCTAAATTATTAAAGACTTTTGTTCAGAATAGGGTTGCTGAGATACAAGAACTAACTCAGGAATTACCATGGTGTCATGTTAATGGGAAGGATAACCCTGCTGACTTGGTATCCAGGGGAGTAAAATTAGATGATCTCAAGTCTTCTAGTTTATGGTGGCAAGGTCCATCATTTTTACACAACTATAATTTTAATCCATGTTCATTGAATAACAATGCCTCGATGACAGATTTACCAGAAACAAAGCCGACGGTAGTCTGTACATTTTTTACAGAAAATCAAACGTTTTTGTTTCCTTTTCAAAGGTTTTCCCAATTTAGTCGTATGACACGAGCTTGTGCATATGTACTACGTTTTATTTATAATACCCGAAATAAGCGCAATAGACGTCTCGGAACCCTCACTGTTGACGAGATAAGAAGCGCAACTATTACTCTAGTTAGGTTGTGTCAACAGGAATCTTTTTCGGAGGAGTACAAATTATTATCCAATAATATTAGCTTAAATTCTAAGCATAATTTAAGTAAATTTAATATATTTTTCGATAAAGATAAGGTTTTACGAGTGGGTGGGAGAATTAAATATTCTTGTTTTAACTACGATAAGAAGCACCCAAGCTTATTATCGTCTAAACATTGGTTTTCGGTTTTATTATTTCGCCACGAGCATAAGCGGTTGCACCACGCTGCACCCCAAGCGTTGCTGTATAACGTGCGGGAAACATTTTGGCCAGTAGGGGGTAGGAACCTCGCTAGACGCACCGTACATAGTTGCGTTACTTGTACACGATTGAGAGGCAAGACCTTAACTCCTATCATGGGTAACTTACCGGAGGAAAGAGTAACTCCAAGCTTTCCTTTTTTGTATTCTGGGGTAGACTACGCTGGGCCAGTGTTCACATTGAACCGCAAGGGTAGGGGCTCGAGATTAGTAAAAAGCTACATATGTTTATTCATATGCTTCGTTACTCGCGCTATACATTTGGAGCTTGTCAGTGATCTTTCTTCAGACGCTTACCTTCTCGCATTAAAACGGTTTATTGCTCGACGAGGCAAACCTGCACAAATAGTATCTGACAATGGCAGGAATTTTGTTGGTGTTGCTAACGAATTCACTAAATTCATTAGTAATTGTTCCCATGACATAATAGAATACGCAACTAGTCAGGATATCAAGTTTTCTTTCATACCGCCGCACACACCTCATTTTGGTGGATTATGGGAGGCTGGTGTCAAGTCTTGCAAATACCACATATTACGGGTAGTAGGCAATGCACATTTGACTTTTGAGGAATTCAGCACAGTGTTATCACAAATAGAATCCATCTTGAATTCCCGACCTATGAGTCCCATGTCATCCGATCCCAACGACTTCCAATCCTTGTGTCCTGCTCATTTCCTGGTTGGTCGTCCCCTCACAGCGCCTGTTACAGACCAGTTGACTGATGTTCCTGCTCATCGGCTGACACGCTACCAGAGGCTAGAGCAGCTAAGACAACATTTCTGGGTTCGTTGGAGTAAGGAGTACGTCTCGGAGATGCAAACAAGGTCGAAATGGAAGGTGAATGCAGATGCCTTACGACCCAATCCCCTAGTTGTCATCAAAGAGGATAACTCTCCACCTCTGAAATGGAGTCTAGGCCGTATCATTGCTACCAAGCCAGGGCGAGATGGAGTTACGCGAGTAGCTGATATCCAGACTGCAGCGGGAGTAGTACGACGCGCATTTCCCAGGATCTGTCCATTATTTGGGTTTGAGGAAGATACTGATGATAGTTAGCTGGTGTTGGACGCTGGTACTTCCAAGGCCGGGGGCATGTTCAGGCAAGACGATAAGAAATTCTGCCTGCACCGGAACGTCGCATCATCTTTCTACCAGTAAGAGCAGCTGTGACCCACGTGATGAACCCCCCCCCCCCCCTATACCTCTCTCTACGCAAAATTCAAATTTTTGTACGCTCAACGTTAACAAGCAATTTTTCGTCTGATATATTTTATTTTTGTAATTTCTGCATAATATACGCATTTTACAAAACAACTGCGCTTTATTAAATAACTACGCATTAACGACGAAACAATGATAATTAATTATTTAAGTTAAATTTTATTTGTAATTGTATTTATACTGTATGGCACAGCAATCAGAAACAAAAAATTTAGGTGAACATTTATTATTTCTGAGATAAAGATTTAATGGTGGTGTGGATTCTGGCATGGTTCTCTAGACCTGAACTTTGGTTTTGCAGCGGTGTATCCTTGTCATTCTCTATACAGAGTGAAGGGGGGGCACTCATGTTGGGTTTGGTTTTGGGTTTGGAGGGTAGTGGCAGAGTCGACACTAGTGTTTAGGTAACCACATGCATGTGTCCTACAGTTGTGTTTATAGTTTTTTATAGTAATGTACACTGGTACTTAATTTTTTTTTTCCCCTATTTTGCTACCTAGTATCCATATGTGGTTATGGGTAGTCATACTCTCTTAAAAATCTCTTCGGCGGTGTCGTGTGAGGCGGGTCGTTACGTTCCCTAAAAAATGGTTGAGCGAAGCGATGGCTGGTTCATGCGTCATGCTCGTGAACGGGTGCTGCCAGCGGAGATGAGTCTGCTCTTGCTACATTGGGTACTATTAATCGTTGTATTTAACTTTAATGGTACATTTGTTTTTATGCCTAAACAGTGGGACACGGCATTCCTAAACTTTTTTTCATTTTTAAATCTGTTTTTTATATTTTTTATTTTAAAGTCATAATTGTTTTATCATTTACATTTGTAATGGAAAGTGACTTCATGGGTTATCTCATATTGAACTCATTTTTCAAATTGACGACTCTGTATATAATACAGGGAGAAAAAAACAGCCCTTGCTGAGTTTCTTGCCGGTTCTTCTCAGTACAAGGTCTCCCGCCGTAGATTTGCGAACCGATGGCGTAGCTTTTCGACATTCACAAGTGCTTGTAACAGCCTAGACTGAATAAATGATATTGAATTTTAAATTTTTTTTAAAAAAAAAACATTACTTCTATGATTTAATGATTTTATAGAAAAGTTATTATGTATTTGTTCTTGCAGAATAGGAAAATCTCTGCTAATATTCATATTAAATACAGATGCCAACAATTGGTACATTATTTTTCATACTGTCAAATAGCCTATTATATAAAGTTAAACTTTGTAAAAAATAATATTAAAATATTTAAGGCCAGAACTCGTGAACTTCATATTGGAAAACTTTGTTTATTCCATTGTACTACGGCACTATTTAGGAAAAGTGTGTTTTGCAATGCTCCTTATATTTATAGTAAATTACCTGAAAGTCTGCGAGAAATTACCGTGACCAATATATTTAAAAACAAATTACAATATTTTTTTAATCGAAATTTTTTAGTATACAGTCCGTAAATTTTTGAAAGACAAAAGTTTTTAGACTTACTATAGAAAAAAATATATGCATGAAATAAAAACAATCATAAATTTATCGTTTATTGATATTTTTAATAAACTATGTAAAATTTATTAATTTGACATTGAAATAATTAATGATTTATAGAAATATTATATTGCATACTGATAAGGTAGAATATATACGACCTCCGTGGCCGAGTGGTTTGTACGCCGGGTTTCATGGTGTCGCCGACTCAAGAGGTCCCGGGTTCGAATCCCGGTGGGGGCAGATGTTTGTGTGATGAATACGAGCATTTGTACTCCAGTCATGGATGTTTAATATGTATTTCTATATAAATATACTTATATATGTACAGTATATGTATTCTATCCGTTACCCTAGCATCCCATAACACAAGCCTTACAGTGCTTACTTTGGGGCTAGGCTAATTGGTGTGAGTGTTGGAAATAATTATTTATTTATTTATTATTTATATGCTGCCTGCAATAGCAGAAAAAAAAATCTGAATTTAAAATTACGTCTTTCTTCATCTAGGCCACACGCTACAACTACACATCCGAGGAAAAGTTCGCCATGATAGAAGTGATAGCCATGATAAAAGGTCTACAAGTACTAATGGCTCGTATGGAGACCGTATTCTGCGACGCTGCCAGACGTTCAATTTACGCTCAACTGCAGGACTTTGTTCAGTTGGCATTACGCGATCCACTACGTAAGGCGATCAAGAACAAGCGCGACTTGATACGCAGGTGAGTTTGTCAATAAAGTTTCCGAAACACAACTTGTTTCCGAATAACGACTGACGCGGTTATTGTGTCTGTTTATATGAAAAGAAATGTGGGAGAACAGTTAGTTACTTACATATTTACTACTAACTTATATACTTACTAGTGGCCCACCCTCGCTTCGCTTCGGTGTAGAGCTGTAGTGTAGATTTGAAATGAAATGAAAAGTCATTTATTCAGTCTAGGCTGTTACAACCACTTGTGAAGGTCAAGAAGCTACGCCATCGGTTCGCAAAACTACGGCGGGAGACCTTGTACGGAGAAGAACCGGCAAGAAACTCAGCAAGGGCTGTTTTTTCTCCCTGTATTGTTTATACAGAGTCGTCAAGTAGAAAAATGACTTCAGAGATACGTCTGAAGTCACCTTCCATTACATCATTTAGAATATAAATATATAGTTACAATAAATTTTATACTTAATATTATATTTAGTATATAGGAAGCGGCATTAGATAGGTACAATATTACTGTTATGAAAAATTACTAATACCCATTAAATAACAAATTATAAGTAACACTATGTATTTAAATGACTCTTCATATAAGTAATTATAAAAAATCTGAAAATGGTATATTTGCCTTTTCCAAACTTCTATTCACATCACGTCGCTCAATTGTTTTGCCTTCCCAGAATCTCTCCACTAACATTTGAAATTTATGGTATGGTATTAAAGTTCAAATTGACTTAAGTATTATTACGAATCGTTTGAATGGCAGTATAGAAAAGTGTAGTTTTTGGACATTTTCTACATTTTCTCTGCGTAAGAACCATCCTCGTACTTCAAGCAATATTCTAAAAAAAGAATTATCGAAATCGGTTCAGCTGTTCTCGAGATTTGCGCTTAGTAACACATTCAGCGATTCATTTTTATATTATAGAATTATGCTATAATTTGCTGCACTCAAAATAAAACACTGTCCACTACATTAACAGAAATTGTAAAATCTTTGTTACTCAATTTTTACATTCCCAAACATAGTAACGGAAAAATTATTACACTATCATAGATAATTAAGCCTAACCTTATCCCTCTCATGCTTTTACATTTGAAGTACCGAATATACTTACACACTCGTTGTAGTTATAACATTAAAGCAAGTTGTTACTTGTAGGCTTTGATTATAATCATAGCTTTGTAGGTATTTATTCTTATTTTAAGCGTAATCGTGTCACTATTGTAAAATTAGTTTAATTTTTTTCTAAAAAAATTAAATGTTTTCCTTTCTTCCTATACCTACAATACTAAATGCAAGATCAATGACCCTATAATTGGCTCACTGTGCATTCTCCAGGGGAGGGAGAGTCCTGGTGCTCTGAGATATTCGATACATACACCAAAATATATTTTTTTACAATTTTTGGCTGTCTGTCTTATCTGTTTGTTCCAACTAATCTCTGAAATTGCTGGACCGATTTTGTCGGGACTATTATTGGCAGGTAGCTGATGTTATAAGGAGTAACTTAGGCTACTTTTATTTAAAAAAATCTTATTTAAAAAAAAAAAAGAAAAAACTAAAAGTAGACGCGGACGAAGTTGCGGGCGGCCGCTAGTATCCTATAAAACTTTGGCTTACTTCAACCACCATCAAAACTTGGTGCAGATACAGCCGTGATCAACAGTATAACCTGCTTTCCGAAGCATGAATGAAGGAGTGAGACATAATCGACTTTTGATCACACATCCTATGACCGGTATATTTGTCGTACAAACATGTACAGACCATTACCCTTAGAACGAACCATTATCGAATTCGAATAGTTTGCGAGTGCGAAATGTCAATGTCAAATTTTGTATGGAAACTTGAACAGCAGCGCCACAAAGTACGTAACGAGAATTAAAAGTCAGTACACATTTGACAATGACATTTCGGACTCGCAAACGTTACGAATTCGATATTGGTTCGTGCTAAGGGTACAGTTCCACGGAAGTCGTCAAATTATTATTTCTTCCACAGTATAATAGTATCGGTAAGGGAGACTTGTGGCGATTGGGCCCGGGGCTGCGAGCCTCAACAAGACCCGGCCTTGAAGGGAAAGAAGGACGGAGAGGCCAGCTTCACCATTAAAGTCCCGCGGCGGAATGTTGGTGAGTCGGTCGGACACGCTGAATAAATGGGTGGCGACGTAATGCTAATGAAATGAATTAAAAATATGTATACCTTATATTGTTTTAAACTTTGATGGTCACTTACAATGTAAAAAGAGCGTCATACGACTATACTATATATATACCACACACACACATGCACACGCACACACACACACACACACACACACACACACACACACACACACACACACACACACACACACACACACACATACGTGAGCAGCTCTTTCCGACAAGAATGAAAGTTGGAGGGTAACTCGGCGAAGGCTGAAACGCTACGCTAGCGTCACACGCGACAACATTATATATATATTGGTCTACCCTCCGACTTCGTCTTTTATTGCGCTCGATATTACCCTACCACTGGTCACATTCTCAATATTCACTCGTGAATAGTGAGATATGACCAATATGTCTGCCAAAAACAGCCTACCCGCAATAACTTCAGTTAATCCGTAACCATGGCGCTTGCAACAGTGCCGAGATATCGGAGACTCATAAAAAAAAACCTGGCCAAGTGCGAGTCGGACTCGCGCACCGAGGGTTCCGTACAAACTCAATTTAATACGCGTTCATGAGAAAAGAGGTAGTAACTTTAAAATTTTCATAAATATGTTTTATTATATGATGTAACTAAAAATTTTCGGTTTTCGCAATTTTTTCCTAAGACGTTACTTCGTACCAAATTTGAAGATTCTAAGTTCACGGGAAGTACCCTGTAGGTTTTGATTCCCGTGCGAGTTTCGAAATTATGCGGATATTTGCGGCATTAACGGCTGTATCTTTTGATTGCTTTGGCTTAGAAGTTTGATTTTTTCACAGCTCCAAGGGAGAATATTAGATATGAATTTCAGTTTAATACCGTTCCTGAGAAAAACGGTGTTGACAGACGGACGGACGGACGAACAACAAAGTGATCCTATAAGGGTTCCGTTTTATCCTTTTCAGGTAGGGAACCCTAACAAGGTACTATCGCGGATTTAAGCGCTCTGTCACTTGGCGAACAAAATGCTTTGAACGGTTTTCTACGGTAGTTTTTACTACGCCCCGCCTTCGCGTCGGACGCGCCAATCCGGGCCGCCGCACAAAAGTAAGACAGAGAGCATTTCATTGATTGAATAATGAATTGAATTGCATTTGTTTTAGTCATGATCGCGACAGCGCTGTACGAAAAAGCAAGACAGCGATAATTACATGTCTATGAATGATTTTTTACTACGCCGCTATCGCAAGCAATTATGGCATTATGGGTGACAAAGCGGGTCTTTCCGCGAGTGTACATGGTAACAATCCCATTAATAGCTATAATGTTAGTGACCATGAAAGTTTAAAACAATATGTCGTAAATAGGTACATTAAAAATAATATACTCATCCCAGGTCCGTCATCAACGCAACTCTACATGGTCCGCACCCAACTGGAGGCCCTAATATCGGACAAATCTGGTGGCAGAAGAACTCTTCGCAAAGATCTGGACGCCGGAGTACTCCAGCATATCGAGACTTTCCATCGCCAGAGCTTCTACTGGGGTTATTTGTTGAATTTATCAGGTGATATATTGTCTTGACTATTAAAATTAAATACTTTTGGATTTTATACTGTACTAGCGGTCCGCCCTCGCTTCGTTTCGGTGTAGAGCTGAAGTGTAGACTACAGTTTTTGTTCTCAGGCTTGTATTATACACAATGGCATTCATCTATGATTCTTCTTATACCTGCATGCAAAGTCTCAGCCCGATCGATTTAAAATTGAAAAAGTTTCATACAAACTTTCATTCCCTATTTTATCTTATAGATTTATTTTATAGAATTGATCAAAATCCTTTCTTAGCGGATGCCTACGTTATAACATCTACCTGCATGCCAAATTTCAGTGGTTTGGGCTGTGCGTTGATAGGTCACTATGTCAGTCAGTCATCTTTGAGTTTTATATATATAGATAACAATATTTGAATGATAAAACGGTCTGGTTGTAATCACTGGTAGATAATTTTTCAAAAGTTTTATTAATACTGGGGGCCTTAGACAGAGTTATGAAGAGAACCTTGCACTTACTCCCTTTCATATACTTGTTCAATTGGTTTTGAGGATTGTTTCTTGCTATTTTGGGACTTTTCTATACACTTATTGTTAGTAAATTCGTTTATTGTCTATTGTTACCTATTTGACATTATGTGATGGAAGTTGACCTCAACACATGTTTGCAAGTTTGATGTCAACTTTCAACTTGACGACATTGTATGAAATAAAACAGGGAGAAAAAAGCAGCCCTTGCTGAGTTTCTGGCCGGTTCTTCTCAGTACAAGGTCTCCCGCCGTAGTTTTGCGAACCGATGGCGTAGTTTTCGACTTTGACTTGTGATTGTAAAAGCCTAAACTGAATAAATGTTTTTTTAATTGAATTGAATTAAAGAGTAGTCTTAATAGGGTATTTCGCTCTACTTGAGAAAAGAATCTATAAATGTATTATTGCGATAGTTTGAGGAGCTCGATGGTGCAAGTGGTTAGCGCGTTCGGCTGCAAACGTTGAAGTTAAGCAACTTTCACAGTGGTTGGTCATTGGATGGGTGATTAAACGTTTACTATCTCAAGCTCCTCCCTGCTTCGGAAGGCACGTTAAGCCGTTGGTCCCGGCTGCTGCATATGCAGTCGTTAACACCCACCAATCCGCACTGGGCCCGCGTGGTGGGTTATGGCCCAATCTCCCTATTCCATCCATAGGGAAGGCCTGTGCCCCAGCAGTGGGGACATTAATAGGCTGATGATGATGATGATAGATTAGGCAAAAGGGAGTCGGATAATGTTAGTTTCAGTTTATAAAATAACAAAATGCATTTTAAAATTCAATTCAAACCGTTCAGTTTTTTTAACCTGTTTGAAAACACAATGAAATTGTAGACGTAGTAGTCACCATATTATTACGTCACATCGCTGGTATATGCCAAAGTGTAAGCTGTCAACTCAGTACTTTTAATGTGTTCGTTACTAAGGTTACAGATTAATTTACAGTACTAATGACGTCAATATGACAGAGCAATATGGCGTCCATTGCGTCCAGCGTATTCGTTTAACTACGTACGATATTAACGACGTAGTAGTCACCATATTATTACGTCACATCGCTAGTATATGCCAAAGTGTCAGCTGTCAACTCAGTACTTTTAATGTGTTCGTAACCAAGGTAACACATTAATTTACAGTACTAATGACGTCAATATGGCAGAGCAATATGGCGTCCGTTGCGTCCAGCGTATTCGTTTAACTACGCACGATATTAATAAATTGTCAAATTTAAATACATTTAATAAAATCATAACTTAAATACATTTTTCAGGCACTTAACGATTGAATAAAAAAAAATATTAAGCTTTTTAAGTCGCACATTATCTCTTTAGAATTTAATTGTGACACATTTCAAAAGTGGTTGTAATACCCACAGAAAGAGTATTTTTTATTGCATATACTTTAAGGCAAAGAGAAAAATTACTAGTACAAAAAACTAAAAACACGCTTTTACTTACTGCACTAAAAAATCAAAAATAAACAAAATCTACTCTCTGTTTACTTCATTAGGGCTTTAGAGTAGGCCATGTTTATAGTTGATTTTAAGATATATATGTATATATATAACTGAAAAAGCGTGGGGCGCTTTTCATTGTTATATTTATCAAATCAATTAATATATAACGTGATGCATAATGTTCAACAATTCGGTTAAAGTTTAATATAGGATAGCGAAGGGGTTACAGGTTCGAGTCCCTTCTGGCGGCTGCCTGATCCGCGTGGATTTTTTTCCAGTAAAATTTTCTTTAGATTTAAACATCTAGCAGTTAAATGCTTAAGAAATAAAATAATCACACTAATATTATAAAGGCGAAAGTTTGTGAGTGTGTATGTTTGTTACTTCTTCACGTCTAAACGGCTAGACCGATTTTAATAAAATTTGAAATGGAGTTAGCTGACATCCTGGATTAACACATAGGCTACGTTTTACTGCTGGAAAATATCCCTAATAAACTGCGTGTAACACCGTGGGACACAGCTAGTATAAATATATACTTGTTTTCAGATTCATTGCAGAAGTGCTGCGACCTCTCCCAGTTGTGGTACAGAGAGTTCTACCTCGAAATGACGATGGGGAGAAAAGTCAACGTAAGTTAATATCATAATCATTAATGACTTTTGTTTTAATAATAATTTTTGATTTTGAATAGTGGATAGTCTTTGTACTACCCTCGCTCTAATCTCGTGTCGGCTGTAGTTTTTATTTTGCCTCTTCTATCTTTATATATATAATTCTTCTGTGAGTGTGTATGTCACTGAACTTCTCTTAAACGACTGGACCGATTTTGATGAAATTTTTTGTGTGTGTTCAAGGGGATCTGAGAATGGTTTAGATTTACAATTTTGTCCGCTGGACAATGTTTTTTTAATTATTTTTTTTTATGACGGTACGAAGTTCGCTGGGTCAGCTAGTTATATATATTTTAGTTGCTCAAGTTGTTCATCAGAGCTATTAAGGCCAGTAAGCATCACCCAGGAAGGACGAAGTGTAGTGGAACTCCCATACAAATTTTTGTTGATACTTTTTTTTGCGTCCGAAAATTAATTATATGTTATATTATAGAGTTTAGATTCTCGATTTAATTCGTCTTATTTCTTTTATTATAGGAAGTGCGGATTTAAATATATTCTACTTTGAATTTTTGGAGGTTATGTCATACCAAGTAATACAAAAACGAACTATGAAAGTATTTTCAAGAGTATTTTTAGACCAAATAAAAAATACGTGAAACAGAACTGTAGAAGTCCCGTAGATTGGTGACGAACGTTTTTTTTATAATGTATGATCAGCGGGCGTGGTTATTGACCGACCGCGTCAAAATACTCAACAGTTAAGGATTATTATTGGGTTCGTATACAATATCTGTGCTGTAAGAAGTACTTAATACTTTGAAAATGCCCACAGATGTAGGGGTCGGTGGAAATGTACCTACTCTTGCCTAAACCTAATGAAGCATAAAAAAGCAATTCTAACAGTGTACTAATGGGGCATTAATTAAATATGAAACAGTTTTTGTTATATATTTTGTATTCTACATCTTCTTTAATCACAATATCGTACATATTAGATACAATAAAATAAATCCAAATTATGAGACAGAATCCTGGTCCAAAATCCACAGCAAGAAGCCGTTCAAAATAGCAGAGATTCGTAATTCTTAGGCAAGCACTACTACTGTCGCAGGGGACGATATCGAAAATCCAGAAGCAGTCCACGTTACATAAAAAAACAAATTTCGGAAAAAATAACAATACGCATGCACAAGCAACGACAATGATAATAAAAAAAAATGGATGCGTGTAACTTATGTACGCGCGTGAGAAGTTATACTTCTTTAGCATCATTAAAATATTTTATATTAATAATTACATTACACAGTTAACACAGTCAATTAAGTTCAGTTTTAATTTGAAAAATTAAATAAATATTCAAAATATTCAATTAAAATCACTACTGAATTTAAGTTATTAGTACATATGTAACTGTAGCACTTGTAAGTAACTAAAATACGTTGTGTCTATATAGAAACTAGAAACATGTGGATAAATATGAAAAATAATGGTGGATTATTAACCACTAAGTGGTTAATAATCCACCATTATTAGACACTAACATTCATAACGCGCCCGCGGCCAACTTCATGGTGTTACTATTGTGTTACAGTGATGCGCGCGCATCTTGAAATTTCACTCACATGATTTTTTCATAACGCGCCCGCGGCCAACTTCATGCTGTTACTTTTGGGTTACAGTGATGCGCGCGCATCTAAAAATTTCACTCTCATCATTTTTTCATAACGCGCCTAAAGAAGTATAACTTCAACAACAACAATATGATGACAGGCATGATAGTGACAGTTATAGTTTTTAACGTTAGAATGGTCGCCATACTCTTTTTGTATTGTGGAGATTATATATTATGGTTTCATTATAATATTGAATAATATGTTTCACGATCTTTCTGATAGATAATTAAATATAGTTTAAGCTTAAATCGGTGCAAAACAAACGAAAAACATATTTGTTGGTGGTTTATGTTTTTTTCTAGTTATATTTTCTTTAGATTTAAACATCAAGCAGTTACATGCTTAAAAAATAAAAATTATAACTATTATTGCTATTTCTTCTTTCAAATGTTACTTGTAAAAGTATTCATTTTACATTGTGGGTTTCCTATAATGCGAAGAGATGACGCTGACTTGCAGTTTAAGAATGGCTAGAAGAATTTCGACGCGGCCATCAGGGCCTTGGTAGCATAATTGGTCAGTGCATTCGCCCGGATAGCGAAGGGTGCGGGTTCGAGTCCCGTCTGCTGCCTGGTCCGTGTGGAATTTTTTCTAGTTATATTTTCTTTATATTTAAACATCAAGCAGTTACATGCTTAAAAAATAAAAATTATAACATAATTGAAGTTTTATTTAATAACTAAAATCATTTAAAATAATACGCTCAAAAGTCATGTTGATAAGCCACAATAAAAAATAATGTGATTATTTAATAATATAGTCAATTGTGTTTCCTCTTTTTAAGTTTTTAATTCCAGTCTTAGACAACCCTGCTCAATCATTTGATAAATATTTTGAAATTATTTGCTTAACATTTTGCTTAACTAAAATGACATCTTTAGACGCTAAAGATTCATTCCTCCAACAAATATTTCGCCACTGCCATTTAAGATGAATTAAATCAAAATGAAATAAACATTATTCATACTCTGTGCTTTATAGATAAAGTAGGGCCAACGAGAAGCAATACAAAAGTTCATTCACCTTCACGGGACTATAGAACTGACAGTATACTTTAGTTATTTCCATAGTGTAATGTCTTACGGAATTTTATTGTGGGGAAACGCCGCCGACATTCAAACTATTTTTGTGCTGCAGAAGAGAGCTATTCGATCAATTTATTATTTTAAAGTTAAGGATTCCTTAAGAAATAGGTTTAAAGAATTTGGTATAATGACGGTCGCATCACAATACATTTACGAAAATTTATTACTTGTAAGAAAAAATATTAATTTGTTTCTTAAAAACAGTGATGTTCACACACTTAATACAAGAAACAAAAATAAACTAACTTTACCTGCTACTAGGCTTCACAAAATCGCTTAGTAGCGTGTTCGCTTATACAATAAAGTACCAAGCAATATCCAAGAGTTAAGCATAAATAAATTCAAAGATAATATAAAAAAAAGCACTTATTAAAAAAGCTTATTACAAAGTGTCTGATTATATTACAGACAAAAATGCTTGGGTTTGAACTGTTCCAATCATTCCAACAGGTTTTCTATATTAAATAAATCATGATTGTATTGACGTTGTAACAACATAATGATTTGTAAATGTTGTTACATTATGCTTTTAATGTTGTGGAGTTTTTTTCGCTTGTTTTTCTCCGCAGCCAAAAAAATATGTCCAATAACGAGTGGTAGGGAAAAAAAATGTTTGGACGATTCAAAAGTGTTGTACTATACATCCAATTTGAATAAAGATATATTGATTTCTGATTTCTGTTTAATAACTGCATCTCTGAATAAATGAAAAAAAGTAATATAGAAATGGTAAATTGTTGTCCTTCTTTAATAATTGATTTAAGCAATTTTAGCTTTTAACTTTATTAATTATATTTATACATAGTTTGCTACATTTTATTGAAATATATGCCTAATAAAATGATAAAAGTCGTATGGTAAATTTCATAAATAAAAATTTATTTTTAAAAATGTTGCCAATCCCTACATGGGCTAATTACTTTCATCGACATTGTTTACATTTTGTATCGCTTCTCGTTGGCCGTACTTTCAGACAGATAGACAGACGTGTAAAAAAACCCTTACTAAAATCATCATGATCGCAGTTTACACGGAACCACTTTTTAAGCGCAGTTCGTATTCCATATTGATTCGTTGGTTGTCACACAGAAATGCACAGTCCGCCATCAGCACAACGAGGAGTGCAACGATCTCATCACCATGGAGAAGAGGATCCAGTTCCCCATAGAGATGTCTATGCCCTGGATATTGACTGACCATATATTGCGTAGCAAGGAGCCAGCTATGATGGAGTGAGTATAGAAGGCCTAGGAACTTAAATCAAAATCATTTATTCGGAACAGTCATAGACACAGACAAATGATTAAACTTATACATATATATATATATATATATATATATATATATATATATATATATATATATGTATAAGAAGGACAATAAATGACGGACAGCATAAAACTTATATTACATCACATGTATCCACAGCTGGACCGAAAAGGACCCAGTTCAGGAATGTGTCAGTTTGCACTGACGCTGGTTTTCGACTGGTTCCTTTTCTGACATGTGGATGAAAGACAGTAAGAAAATTAGTTTAAAAGATTTTGTACGAAATGAAAAAATAACAAATCTGATGGCAAGGCTGTAAGAGTTCCTTGCTCTCGCCTACATTGATGAATCTATGCTATTTTCTCTGATTGAAAAGTTACGAATTTTATGCAAGAAGAGGCTGTATGGGCTATGCTCTTTGCCTTCCCGATAGGGGAAAATTGACAACAACAACAAAAAAAGTAGAAATGATCTATGAGTGTTGTGTTTTTGCCACAAAAAAGAAAAATATATGTTAGGTTGGGCAAAATGTTTAATTATCACTATATATACTATAATAAAAATTGCGTAAAAACCTTTTGCTCTTTATTTTAGATACGGTCCGTCAGAACTTAAAATGCTAGGTGTCCGGAATTGTATTATGCCATACATCATCATCATCAGCCTATTAATGTCCCCACTGCTGGGGCACAGGCCGTCCCTTTGGATGGAATAGAGAGATTGAGCCATGGCCATTGTGGAAGGTGCTGGTTGGAATCCTGCTTGATACCCGGACCGTGTGAAATTTCTTATAGCAAAATATATGTTATATAGATTTGAAAAAAATTTTACTAGAAAAAAAATATCTAAATATGCTTGAGAACAAGGTCGAGTCTGCTGCCTGGCCCGCGTGGTTTTTTTTCTAGTAAAATTTTCTTTAGATTTAAACATCTAGCAGTTAAATGTTTCTAATATATATATAACTATGTTGTATTATTTAGATGTATTTATCCAGCGGCTTTATACTTGATAATTAAAATATATTAATACTAACTTAGTAGCTGGGTTTAAAGTTTAAAATAGATTCTAAACGTCTTTCCCACAATAACCCAATTTTTCTATCCAGGTACGTCCTCTATCCGCTGGACTTGTACAACGATTCGGCGCAATACGCGCTGACCGTATTCAAGAAGCAGTTCTTGTACGACGAAGTGGAAGCGGAAGTGAACCTGTGTTTCGATCAGTTCGTGTACAAGCTGTCCGAACAGGTTTACTCGCACTACAAGCAGCTGGCGGCCAGGTGAGTGAGATATAGTTCTATCTATATCTAGAGATACAAAATGTGTTTGATAAAAGAGTCAAGAAAAAATTTCAAAGAAAAATATGACTAAAAAAAAAATATTTATTTTATAAAAAAGAATAATAATCACAACTTATCCAAAAATTTGCAAATTGTAAGCATTGTGGTTATTGCTTGTTGACTTTTGTGTAGTTATGGCTTTGTTAGTTAAGTTTTTTTTTAACTTTGAGTAATGAGAACTTGAGTGAGTGATTAAGTTTCCCAGCAGCTTTTAATGTTGAACGATTTGAATTCTCGAAACTTTTGGTATGAACTTGTACTTGTAAAACGTTCATTAAGAATGAACAAAATACAATTAAAATAAAAAAATACTAGAAAAAATTCCACGTGGTCCAGGCAGCTGACGAGACTCGAACCCGCTCCCTCCGCTATCCGGGCGGATACACTAACCAATTATGCTACTGCGGTTTTAATGGCCGTGGCGAATGTCCTCTAGTATTTATTAAGTTGCAAGACAGTACTCTCTCTTTACACTGTAACCCACATTTATCTAGTAAAATTTTCTTAAGATTTATATATAAATCGAGCCGTTGAATACTCAAAATAAATATAATAATCCTACAATTTGTTGTCAGTATGGTGCTGGACAAACGTTATCGTGCCGAATGTGCCGCCCGAGGGGCTAGCACTGCCGCCGGCGCCGGCAGATATGCTTCCTTGCTGCGGCAGCGGCACGTAGCCTTGCTGGGGCGGCATGTAGACCTTACTGCATTGGTGAGTTATACACAATACTGCGGCCACAGACTTAGATATAAGATCTATCTGTAGAAAACCCTGATTTTACCTGATTTCCCTGATCAACTTATATATTAAATACTAGCTGTCCCAGCGAACTTCGTACCACCATAAAAAAATAGGGGTTGGTGGTAGAATGGTGAAAATTTTGGGTTGTATGGATTTTTGTATGATGTGTCATGAAAAAAAAATAAGGGTGGACCACCCTTAACATTTAGGGGGATGAAAAATAGTTGTTGTTCGATTCTCAGGCCTACTGAATATGCATATAAAATTTCAGGAAAATGGGTCGAGCCGTTTCGGAGTAGTTCAGTTACGCACACCGTGACACGAGAATTTTATACATTAGATTATAAGATGGTTTTGCAATGTTTTAGATTATACCAAATAATATCTAAAACTTAGTGACCTGGTGAACTTCATACTGACATTTTCTTTTATATTCAATTTGTTTCTTGTCCTTTATGATAAAAAAAATAAATAGATTTTTTTTTTACACAAATCTTAGCCTGACAATATCGAACACAAAAAAGGAAAAATTTCATGCAGTAATTCAGAATTTATGCGCATACATAATTATGTATATTTACACCATAGCTACATTTTCATTCGGCTGCGATCGTCGCGTTTGGCTGCGACCGTTGAGAGGAGCTTGATGGCGTGGGTGGTTAGCACGTTCGGCTGCGATCGTTGAAGTTAAGCAACTTTCGCAATGGTCGGTCATTGGATGGGTGACCAAAGATCTTCTATCTCGTGTCCCTCTGTGCTTCGGAAGGCACGTTAAGCCGTTGGTCCCGGCTGCATCTGCAGTCGTTAGCACCCGCCAATCCGCACTGGGCCCGCGTGGTGGGTCATGGCCACGGAGCACCCCCACTAGAGTCCGCATACAAGGGCAAGCGCTTACGCCAAGCTTAAGTAGTATTTTACCTATGCGTGAGGCACGCCTACAGACGTCGCGATACATCGTTTCATTCGGTAACCGAGCGTTGGTCGAACTGCTTCGCTCGTTTTCGTGTTAAAATGCCGTACTGTGCAATTAAATTGTGTGGAAAGTCGAGTACAACTTCCAGTCTTAAAAAAAATGGTATTACTTTTCACTGGTTAGTTTAAATGCATTACAAAAAGACAAAAATACTGTTATATTAAATTGGTCTTAATTGTATTTATTTTTTGGTGAACGCGTTGATGTCTTTTTACACTATCCCTTTCTCGCATGGGCTACATCATATATGCTATCTCGCTCTCACACCGGCACGTGTATTGCTAGTGACTCAGACGCAGCTCATGTCTCAACGCGTAAGTTTATCGATAAGTTTGTCAGCTATGGAAATTGAAAAAATAAATAAAAACTCTTTATTTCATCGTATACAATAATAGATGTCATGAGTATACAACCAACAGTTTTTATTTGACTTCAAACATATCCTAATAAAATTGAAAAAACGCGAAAATTTGTATGCATATTTGTTACTCTTTCACGCTAAAACGGTTAAACGGATTTGTATGAAATTAAGTGCGCATAGTTTATGACCTAGATAAAGACATAGAATTAACGATATTAAATACCCTAGAAACACCACGAGCGCTCAAAATGTATCCCCATCAAGAAGTACTTGAACTCCACTCAATCGCGGACCGTTGAAAAGTCAAGATGCCAAAGAGTTCCGTGAAAAAATACAGAAAAATACTAATAGTACGTAAAGTGTCGTTTTTGGACAGGTTACTAATTAATGTTTTTTAATTAACGCCTTTAAAGCATATTTTATTGTTGTAATACTTACTATAAACTGATTTAATATAAAATATTTGTGATATTCGAATGCATGGTCGGTTATACGTCGCCCTTAGCCATCTCTTTTCTTCGCGATCTGTACCTGCTATATTGCTAACAGCGCATTCAGAATTGCGCGCGATAAGTCAAAAAAAATAAGGTCTATATTCTTTCACACATAACAATAAATCGTAAAATTTTACGAACTTGACGCATGCATTTTAATTAAGACCTTATGCCGTATGCATTAAAGGTGACTTTCAATGTTTAAATAAGGCATTATATTGTTTTTGACCACGCGATCATCTTACGGACCTCCGTGGATCGTCCAATGTACCTTTTGGACAGGTTTCGGCCACGATTTTGTTCGTGTTGTTGTATTTAGGGTAGTTAATATCGTTGCATTAATACTTCTTGTCCTGGGCGTGTTTTTTTTTGTGTTGCTTATATATAATTTAGTATGTAGTTACTAGTCGCGTCATGTAATTAGAACGCTGTAAGAAAGTGGAGAGGGTATGATTACGCATTTGCTTACACTCGCGCACCAAAGTACTAGGCCTCTATTCTAAATTGTTTATCGATAGAAAATATCGATATTTTCTAAAATCGATCTTACCCTCATCACTTCGCTGCACTGAGTATATGATCTGACCTTGACGCGTCCAATCACAGCGGGGCTGACCTCCCTGCACCCCACCGACTTTGGCGATTTTGATTCCAAACAAAATTTGTGTGATGCGGAATCTAGTGGGGGTGCTCCATGGTCATGGCCCAATCTCCCTATTCCATCCATATGGAAGGCTTGTGCCCCAGCATTGGGGACATTAATAGGTTGATGATGATGATGACATTTTCTCGAAAAGTCTTGCTTTAACATCTCTCAGTTCGCTTTGAATTTAAAAACTTTTTAAATATTTCTGAAGCTAATGTTAGCGTCCATTGTTTTAGGTAGCGCAACGTATTAATGCTGACATGCACAGAGCACTGGACACAGCGGTAGCGAAGTTCGAGGCCGGGGACATCACTGGAGTTGTGGTGAGTCATCTATACAGGGTTAATTTTAAAACACCAACAATAGGGTATTTGACAGTATTAAAAATAAAGTGGCAATTGTTAGCATCTGTGTTTAGAATGAATATTGGCAAGGGTTTGTACTATTTTTACAAAAAAAATATTCATTATTTTACTAAAAACTCACGAAAAAGATAATAGTTTTCTTATCTATTGTCACGTGACCCAAAACGCTTGGGATTGGCGGAGCCTAAAATGACGTCACACGCAAGTAAACTTCCGGTTAAAGTGACATTACATTGTACCGTTGGACTTTTTAATAACAGTCGTGTGACGTCACACACTTGTAAGATGCCATATTGTCCAGAGAAATGTTTTCGCGGCAACTTGAAAATAGAGTTTTTGATTTCGTTATTTTTACTGAAATATACAACAGAATGATGAATATCCACTTTTTACGGACTCCATTAACATTAGTCAATAACGTGAGATTGTTTCTAAAACTTGTCAAATACCCTATTTTTATATGGGACCAACGCTGAAATCGCGAAAAAATAATCTACTGTTTCATACAAAAGTGCATCAGCTAATCGACCGAAATGTATGAAACAGCTGATTTTGTTTTCGCTATTTCAGAGTTGGTCCCATAATAAAAGTTGTTGCTGTTGATAAGTAGAATCACACCCTAAGTGGTTGTTGATGTTTTAAAATTAACCCTGTATATACGAGTATACTAATATTGGTGAACCAAACCAGAGAAAAACTTTATTCTCCACCAGTGTTGTCAGATCGTACCGCTTTTTTGCCTTTTCTCCCGACTTTTCGACAGTGAATTCGTGTTCCGCTTTTTACCTACGTGGATCCGTGCTCCGATGGATCCCACGTGGATCTTTTTTTTTATTTTATAGCCACAATAAGAAATACCGCTACCTATCGCTTTTTTGTTGAAAAATCCGCGTTTTTGTACTCACCCCACCGTGTTTTTGTACTCACCCCACCGTGTTTTTGTACTCACCCCACCGTGTTTTTGTACTCACCCCACCGTGTTTTTAATTTCCACATCTGGCAACACTGGTCTCCACTGAACAGAATGAACTGGAATCATGTTTGCTCAGAGGCATGGACAGGACAAGTTTGTATCATTTGTGGCCGCTCCGTTTTACGTAGAAGACAATTTACTATAAAGAATAGACCGTTTGAAAAAAACTTGAACTTGGATTGCCAAGCGGGGAGCTTTGGATTTATTCAAGCGCGACAGAATAACATAAGGGTGCCCACCCTTGCACCTTGTGAAGTACTCTCATAATACCTGAGCTCTCTCTAGGCTAGGGTCGAACTAACTAAATTAGTTCTGTAGGCTAGGGTCGAACTAAATCAATATAGTACTTGTACCTATTTAGCTTAAAAGAACTAAAGACCCCAGGGATAGAATTTGCTGCGCTTTGGCACAGATAATCATGACTATAATACCTTTCAAAAAAAGTTGTCTAACTCGGACGTGGGTGTAGCGTTCATACATTTTTGGCCAATGTCCTTTGCCCTACTTTTCTATTTATTGACATGAAACAATATGACATTGAACGTAATATTGTTTCGCCCAGGAACTGGAAGGCCTCATCGCCGTAAACCGACTCTGCCACAAACTCCTCAGTCGTTATTTGACCCTGGACGAATTCGAAGCCACATTGCGTGAATCGGACCACGGCGTATTAGCGCCGTATGGCAGGATCGCTTTCCATGTGTTCTGGGAGCTCAACTACGACTTCCTGCCCAATTATTGCTACAACGCTGCTACGGACAGGTGAGTGTGGCTACGGAACGTTGCAGTGCTACGGTGTAAGCGTACTATAAACCTTTAGTGAAATAAAATGTTTTTCAGTTCAGTGTACATTACTTGAGTTCGTATGCTAGTATGGAGTAATTCTCTCTTATTCCATCTTCCTCTTTCCTTCAGAGGACCACGCGCGCTGGCCTTCGTTGTCACCGTCTAACTGTGGCCACAATTCCAACGCGTACAAAGAAATTTGGTAACTCATTTCTTTATCGCACTATCCGTAAATGGAATGCTCTGCCTGTTCACGTGTTCTCTCCTTCTTACAACCTGGGATCCTTTAAATGAGGCGTGAAGAAGCAACATACAGGCCGGCAATGTGAGCATGGCTGATGTGGCAGTTAGAACTGCTGTACCAACTATCTTCACGTCTGGACTTCACCGTCACTTAACATTAGGTGGGGGGCAATTATTTGTCGGACCTATCTATAAAAAAAATGGAAGAAGGAGAGCCTTAAGATATTGTCTATCAATCTAACACCGGCATTTAGTAATATATATTTTTAAAACTCTGACCAATTAACCAAGCCTCAAAGTAAGATAGAAATACACTTTCAGACACATCTACCATTTTCAGTTTTGTGGGTGTCTAGTTAAAAAAAATGTTACATTAATCAAAAAGTTATTACTTATTATCTACGCAGTTTTGAAGCTGATTTATTAACCATCGAAATCGTTAAGTTACTGCGCAACCATAAACATATTTTTGATATAGATCGTTGAAACTTATGATACTAAGTGGGCTGAAAGATGTATATAGACAATTATACATTTAGTATATTTATATAAAAATATTATTTTAATGTAATCAACAGCCATAACTCAGGTAAACATGTACGTATTCATCATTGAAGCATGCCTCCGCTTTCGAACCCGGGACCTCTGAGTAGGCGACTCCTTGAAAAATGGTGTTCTCTAACAAACTGTCGAACTTTGCACTTAAATGTCAGAGAGACCACACGATATTCTAAGTAAAGTATTAGTTGTTTATTGTATCTTTCTATGTTTATTGTCTCTTTCTAGATAATAATCAGTTTTTTGCTCAGTCCATTTCTTCATGTCTCTTACACCTCGGAGGTCTTCATTGAATATTATTCTAGAACACGATATTTGAAAGTATGAAAAATCAAGTACCAATTTTTGATATCTGTATTTAATATGAATATTAGCAGCGCTTTTACTAATCGACGACCTCCGTGGCCTAGTGGTTTGTACGCCGGGTTTCATGGTGTCGCCGACTCGGGTGGTCCCGGGTTCGAATCCCGGTGGGGGCAGATGTTAGTGTGATGAATACGAGCATTTGTACTCCAGTCATGGATGTTTAATATGTATTTGTATATAAATATACTTATATATGTACAGTATATGTATTCTATCCGTTACCCTAGCATCCCATAAAACAAGCCTTACAGTGCTTACTTTGGGGCTAGGCTAATTGGTGTAAGTGTTGGAAATGATTATTATTATTTATTTATTCTTTAGAATATTACCAAAATACAGTAAATGGCGGACTTAATGCCATCTAGGCATTCTCTACCAGTCAACCAGTATGGGTGTATGAGACGGATGTTTTGGCGATAGAGTGCGAGCTACTAAAGTTAGAGAAAAAAAAAAACCTATCTATATAAAATCTATTAATCTGAGAGAACAAATAAATAATATATTTTCTTAAAAATCATTAAATAGAAATGATTTATTTGTTCTATGGTCACGTGACCGAAAGCGTCTGCGATTGGCGAAGGCTAAAATGACGTCACATGCTACCAGTAGTAAACTTCCGGTCAAATTGACAGAACATTTTATCGTTTGACGTTTTAATGACAGTCGTGTGACGTCACATACTAGTGAGACAACATCATGTCTGGACTCTGGGGAGACATTTTTGCGGGAATTTGAAAATGGATTGGCCGTTTTTGTTTTTTTTTTTACTAAAATACACAACAGAATGATGAATATTTTTATGGACTCCCTCAATATTAGTTAATAACGTGAGATCTTTTTCTAAAACTTATCAAATATCCTATTAATTAGGTTCGTGAAATGCCGCGGCATTCAATTTGCGGCCGCTGTGCAGCGTGAGAGACCTCAACAAGCAGGCCACGCCCTACTGTGGGGTTCCAAACAACTCACATTGGCGTATTCGGCCCAATACGCCCAATACAATGGTCAGTATACACAGTAATAGGGGTGATGACGGGGTACAATAAACGAAATTCTATTAAGTCCGTCAGTTAAATGATCAAAAAATAATGGACACTTTTTTTTTCTTTGGGCAATCAACCAAAAAATGACAAAGTTATAGCGCGTCAAAGTTTGGGAGTAGGGGCTCGTGACGTCACTTTTAAGTGAAAATTGTACCAAAACGTGACGTCATGCGACTTTTCTAATCGATATATCTCTGCAATGTTTATATTATGTGAAAAAAGAAAAAATACGTGTCCAATACTTTTTGATAATCTACCTGATAAACGAAGAAAAAAAATAGTCATCATCCCTATTGTCCTTCTGATATATTTGTTTTAAGTTATTCACTGCTGTTCATTCGATGATTTATAAAAAGTTAAACTTAGTTGTGTACTTTATCTTTGTGTATGTACTTAAACCAGGGGGCTAATCGCCTAAACGGATAGCTATGACTATCGCTATCGCTTACGATTTCATTTTGTTATTTCTAACCGCCGAAGGTTTTCAAATGCCTCGCGCTCGTTTTTATTTTATTTTGACGACCTCCGTGGCCGAGTGGTTTGTACGCCGGGTTTCATGGTGTCGCCGACTCGAGAGGTCCCGGGTTCAAATCCCGGTGGGGCCAGATGTTTTGTGTGATGAATACGAGCATTTGTACTCCAGTCATGAATGTTTAATATGTATTTCTATAAAAATATACTTATATATGTACCAGTATATGTATTCTATCCGTTACCCTAGTATCCCATAACACAAGCCTTATAGTGCTTACTGTGGGGGTACTAGGCTAATTGGTGTGAGTGTTGAAAATATTTAAATATTTTATTGCATTGGTAATAACCTCATTAAAGAAAATGAGAGTGAACTTTCGGTGGTCAGAAATAACAAAACGAAATCGTAAGCGATAGCGATAGTCATAACAATCCAGCATGAGCACCGCGATATGCTATATAACGCGTTTTTATCACGCTGAATTGTCAAATTACTATTCTGTTGGACAGTTAGACACGATAAAAGACGTGATATAATGTGTATCGTGCTGCTCATGCTACGGGGACAGGTGCGGTAAAACGAACTGTACCTCTAGCACGAACCATTATTGAATTCGAATAGTTTGCAAACCGAAATGTCAATGTCAAATTTTATATGGAAATTTTAACAGCAGCGCCACAAAGTACGTAACGAGAACTAAAAATCAGTACACATTTGACAGTGACATTTCGGACTCGCAAACGTTACGAATTCGATATTGGTTCGTGCTAAGGGTACAGTACAAAAAAAAAAGTAAGTTTTTTTTAATAAAAGTGTTGAAAACAAGTAGCATTTTCTAAGAGAGTAAATAGGGCGCTTGTAAATACAATTTCTCACAAAAAATGTTAACCTTAATCTGTCTTAGTTATTATAGCAAAATAAAAATTAAAACCAAAAGGGCGATCCTGCTATCCTCGAATATGATTACAATAAGTTTTGCTTGAAACTGTCTTGCTGCCGTTTGCTTTTAGAATGTAACGGCAGTTTACGTCTTTCATTCACTCCTAGTCTAAGGATTATAGAAAATCGGAGTTTATATATATATATATATATAGAGAGAGAGAGAGAGAGCTCGATGTGGCGCCAGTGGTTAGCGCGTTCGGCTGCAGTCGTTGAATTTGAGCAACTTTCGCAGTAGTCGGTCATTGGATGGGTGACCAAAAATTTACTATCTCGAGCTCCTCCATGCTTCGGAAGGCACGTTAAGCCGTTGGTCCCGGCTGCATCTGCAGTCGTTAGCACCCACCAACCCGCACTGGGCCCGCGTGGTGGGTCATGGCCCAATTTCCCTAATCCATCCATAGGGAAGGCCTGTGCCAGCAGTGGGGACATTAATAGGCTGTTGGTGATGATGTTGTTTTAAATTTTTATATACTACACTCCTTATCTAAGTATTAAGGCCAAATTAGACGGTTCGTCAAAAGTGTTTCATCTTTACAATGCATAGTAAATGATGAACAGTAAAATGTATTGTTTGTATAGACGCATCGCTTTAGATGAAAGCTGATATTCCATTCCTTGTGGAATTCCCGCGTGAACATCATCCGTGTCGACTTATTTAATTAAAGAATAAATACCGAGACGGTGAAAAAACTGAACTGTGAATGAGTTGTAGCTGTTAAGACGTTTCACGTGTCATCCATTGCCGATGAATGATGACAGATGCAAGAACGATGCTAGTGAAAACAATCGGTAGTCGGACGCTTTCAAGGAGGTTAGAGAGAAGGAGAACGATCGCTGTAGAAAATAGGGTCCCAGCAATATGAACAAAATGAGTGAGGCGCTGCGATCGCTAAGTTGTCTCAATAAGCGAGCTGTTGTGCGCTAATATAAAATTTGTACATTATTAAACTAACTTCATCTACTTGTACTCATAAACAGCTAACTTCACAGATACTACTTACCGCCGGCAGCGCGGCTAGTGGCTGAAAAATGAACTATACATTCTACAAATTTTCAGGAACAGGCGGGCTAATGCTTTAGCACGTAGCGATCGTTCTCCTTCTCTCTCACCTCCATTGACGCTTTCCTCAATAGCGAACGAACGAAAGTCAATTTAGACATTTCATTTTCCGTCTTACATCGTGGAAGCGTCGTTAATGAAAGCAAATATGAACCGTCTAAATTGGGCTTTATTAAAAATACGAGAACATTTTATTTACAATTCCATTCAATTCAATTCAGCATTTATTGCAAACCGTAATAGAGTTACAAAGGTGATAATTTTAACAGATAAAAAATGCATTATGGGCCCTGTAGTGTTGGGTATCGCAATTGGAAGAGGAGAGGACGTTTAATTCATAGTTTCTTATTATGACATAATTTGTTATTCCAATGTATTAAAACCAACGATATTAAATACCCTAGATACACCACGTCCTCTCAAAATGTGTCCTTATCAAGAAGTGCTTGAACTCCACTCAAGCACTTCTTGGTTCACATGATGATGATGATGATGAAAGTGTCGTTTTTTCGGCAGGTATCTAATCAGTGTTTGTTAATTTTACGCATTTAAAGCAAATTCTGTTTCTTAGGTTTTCACGCACATCACTAGTTAAATAAAACTAGTTTTTTACGGGTTAATGCACGAAACTTTATTTATTTATTGACGTTTCGTAGCCTTTACAGGCTACGCGTCGTCAGAATCAATTTTTTTTTTTTGAAAAATTTACCTGCTATATTGCTAACAGCGCATTCAGAATTACGCGTACAGTCAAAGAAATAAGGTTTATATTCTTCCGCATATAGCAATAAGTCGTAAAATTGAATGAGCCTGCATTTCGAACTGTCATAACTCTTTGACGCATACGTTTTAATTAAGACCCCATATAGTATACATTAAAGGTGAATTTCAATGTTTAAATAATTCCTTATATTGTTTCTGACAACGCGATCATCTTACGGAGCTCCGTGGATCGTCCAATGTACTTTTAAGACAGGTTTCGGGCACGATTTTGTTGGTGTTGGTGTATCTAGGGTATTTAATATCGTTGTTTAAAACCCATAAAAATTATCTATTCATACTGCTACATTTTTGACTCAGGTTTCGTCGGTGGGGTACATTTACACGCGCTAGTACGCTTGCTAGGCTACCAAGGTGTAGCAATGGTGGTGTCCGAACTGCTAGGAGTTGCTAGAGGATTGCTACATGGAACCCTGGCTCAGTTTACTAGGGCACTGCAAGCTGTAATGCCTAGGCATTGCAAACTGCCGAGATATGATTATGGATCCAACGGTGAGTCAAACTTAAACTCAAAAATATCTTTATATAAATGGACTTTGCTAAGTATGTTAAGCCGTCGGTCCCGGCTGCATCTGCAGTCGTTAGCACCCGCCAAGCCGCACTGGGCCTCGCTTGGTGGGCCATGGCCCAATCTCCCTATTCCATCCATAGGCAAAGCCTGTGCCCCAGCAGTGGGGGTATTAATAGGCTGATAATGATGCATGCTTCCATATCATTTCTAACCGACGAACTCCATGGCCGAGTGGTTTGTACGCCGGGTTTCATGGTGTCGCCGACTCGAGAGGTCCCGGGTTCGAATCCCAGTGAGGGCAGATGTTTGTGTGATAAATACGAGCATTTGTACTCCAGTCATGGATGTTTAATATGTATTTCTATATAAATATACTTATATATGTACAGTGGTGCCAATTCTGGCGTGATTCTCTAAACTTAAAACTAAATTTAACATCAGTCTCTCCTTTTCATTCTGTATAGAGAATGACAAGGATACACTGCTGTCAAATTTAAGTTTAGGTTTAGAGAATCACGCCAGAATCGACACCAGTATATGTATTCTATCCGTTACCCTAGCATCCCATAACACAAGCCTTATAGTGCTTACTTTAGGGCTAGGATAATTGGTGTGAGTGTTGGGAATATTTATTTATTTATTATTATTTATTTATAATTCGCTGTTTTTCTCTTTATTTCCGTATAGGCGTGTTGGGTTACTACCACGCGCAGCTGACGGACATAGTTCAGTATCCGGACGCGCGCACGGAACTGTTCCACGCGTTCAGGGAACTCGGGAACATTATACTGTTCTGTATGCTGATTGAGCAGGTGAGATCCAAACTTAATTTTATCGCCTTCGGTTTCTTTAAAGAGATGGCGCTGCCTTGTAGTGTAATGCTAGAGAAAATTCGACACGGCCGTCAGGGCCGCGGTAGCATAATGGTCAGTGCATTTGCCGGGAAAGCGAAGGGTGCGGGTTCGAGTCCCGTCTGCTGCCTGGTCAGCGTGGATTTTTTTTTGAGTTCCAAACTTAATTCTATTGCCATCGGTTTTTTTAAAGAGATGGCGCTGCCTTGCATCCTAATGCTAGAGAAAATTCGACACGGCCGTCAGGGCCGCGGTAGCATAAGGGTCAGTGCATTCGCCGGGAAAGCGAATAATGCGGGTTCGAGTCCCGTCTGCTGCCTGGTCCTCGTGGATTTTTTTTGTGTTCCAAAATTAATTCTATCGCCATCGGTTTTTTTAAAAAGATGGCACTGCCTTGCAGCCTTATGCTAGAGAAAATTCGACACGGCCGTCAGGGCCGCGGTAGCATAATGGTCAGTGCATTCGCCCGGATAGCGAAGGGTGCGGGTTCGAGCCCCGTCTGCTGCCTGGTCCACGTGGATATTTTTCTAGTAACATTTTCTTTAGATTTAAACTTCTTGCAGAAAAATATAAGTATAAATAATCTTGTGTTAATATAATTGCCAGGCGCTGAGTCAGGAAGAAGTGACGGATTTGCTCCACGCTGCGCCGTTCCAGAACATTCTGCCGCGCCCTTACACAGCAGGTAACAAATTAATTTTTCGTGAGAAAAGTAGTAGGCTAATTTTTGTAATTTGTTTGTATATGAGAAAAAATCGGCCAAGTGCGAGTCGGACTCGGACTCGGACTCGGACTCGACGCACCGAGGGTTCCGTACAAACCTGTAGGTATCTCTTATCTATTAGACAAGTCCGTCCGTCCCTCAGTCTGTGGTGCTGTTTCAGCGGCCAAACCGTAAGAGATAGATAAAGAGAATATTTAAGTTATAAGTTAAGAATAGTCTGATAAGACTACAAACCGGATTTGAGTAACGTAGCACTTCCGGTTTTCGAGAAATCACGAATTTCAAACGGAACCACACAAAATCTCCGAAGTTCTCAATTAATTAAATACATTAAATCAGGTTTTGGTGAACATTTGGTTCACTGGTTTGCTAGTATTTTAATAATTATTAAAAAATATTTTTTATTATATGATGTAACTAAAAATTTACTGTAAAAATTAACTGTACTATAAGACGTTACTTCGTACCAAAATTCAAGATTCTAAGTTCACGGGAAGTACCCTGTAGGTTTAGATTCCCGTGCGAGTTTCGAAAATTTGCGGCATAAACGGCTGTATCTTTTGATTGCTTTAGCTTAGAAGTTTGATTTTTTCACAGCTCCAAGGGACAGTAGACATGAGTATTAGATATGAATTTCAGTTTGATACCTCCACGCGTTCCTGAGAAAAACGGTGTTGACAGACGGACGGACGGACAACAAAGTGATTCTATAAGGGTTCCGTTTTTTCCTTTTGAGGTACGGAACCTTAAAAGTAGTAGGATATTTTTGGAACATGTTTTTACCCATTTATCGCTATACCAAAATTCATCATTTTATTCGTTATGCCTGCTACACATGTAACGATTTATCGTAACGATTAAACTGTGCAAATCGACTTGCGCAGATTTATCGAACGTGTGTATGACAAATCGTTGTCAATTATCGTTCGTCGGTGGCAGTTGCAATTTTTATTAGATAAATCGTCGTCGATTGCGTTTGCACAGTTTTATCGTCGCGTGTGGATGGCGATCGCTCAGTTCGGCTGTAGGCTCGCAAGAGTGCGCACTTGCGGATCGCTCTTATATCGCAACATGTCTGAAGAAGAAAGAGGTGGACACCATGAACTAATGTAAGATTTCATAGAGAGCTATAGAGTGAAGCCAGTCTACACCACACACTCCGCTCCTTTTTTTTCTTTAAACACATAACTAGGCCTAATATCGCTAGTGCGTCATAATCTTCCATCGTGGATGACATGTTCCTCGCGTGAGCTTCTGCGGAGAACAGACCGAACAGACAATCGACGCCGATATCGAAGGCGTGTGGAGTCACTAGGAACGTTCGATTTATCTGCACAGTCTGAAATCGCTACGATATATCGTTACGTGTGTACCGACCATTAGAAGAGAAGACTTTCTTCTGTCCGTGTTTATGTAAAGGAATTGCTCCAAAGTAGCTGGACAGATGTAGTCATTTTTTGGGGTTCTCTACACAAATTATGAAAACGGAACCCTTTTACTAAGACTCCTCTGTCCGTCTGTCTGTCTGTCACCAGGCAGTGTCCCATGAACCGCGATAGCTAGAGAGTTGAAAATTTCACAGATGATGTATATTTGTTGCAGCTATAACAACAAGTACTAAAATGAAATCAAAATAAAATGTTAAATCCGGGCTTCCATACAACAATCGTATTTTTTCTCTCTATATTAATAACGGCAACATGTAGACGTTTGAAACGTACACAGAATATTTAGTTGTAATTTCATTTTTAAAACAAATATTAATTAAATAAAAAAAACTTAAATAAGGGGTATCCCATACAACGAGGAGCTCGATGGTGCAAGTGGTTAGCGCGTTCGGCTGCGATCGTTGAAGTTAAGCAACTTTCGCATTGGTCGGTCATTGGATGGGTGACCAAAAATGTAATATCTCGAGTTCCTCCGTGCTTCGAAAGGCACGTTAAGCTGTTGGTCCCGGCTGCATCTGCAGTCGTTAGCACCCGCACTGAGTCCGCGTGGTGGGTCATGGCCACTTCGTACTTATTCCATTCATAGAGAAGGTCTGTGCTCCTGAAGTAGGGACATTAATAGGCTGATGATGATGATGATGAATGGTTCGGAACCTTCGTGCGCGAGTTCAACTCGCACTATTTCAAAAGTCGACTAAATTCAATATAACCACTTGAACCATTTAATGTTGCTCCTGGTCCATCATAAAGTTTTTGTCTCCCGGACAGAGGGCGAAAAACCAGAGACAAAGCAGAAGCGTCTCGAAGCGAAGTACTCGGCGCTCCAAATAGTGACAAATGTGGATAAATTCGGAACTGCCAAGGTAAGTGTTATAATCTATATATATATATATACATACACTAGCTGACCCAGCGAACTTCGTACCGTCATAAAAATAGAGGCAGGTGGTAGAAGAGAAAAGAGTAGTGTTCTATCAACTTCCTGGGATAACATTCCTCTTAACCCATATGAGAACACTACGTTACAATACCCAATAGTTTGAATTTTAACGCGAAGGCGCATTGTAGGTTTCAGAACATTACGTAACAGGTGGAAAACCATTATCACCCAGGATATGAAAAATAGATAGTAGCCGATTCTCAGATCCACAGAATAAGCATATAAAATTTCATAGAAATCGGTCAGGCCGTTTCGGAGGAGTATGGTAACTAACATTGTGACACGAGAATTTTATAAGATACTAGCTGACTCAGCGAACTTCGTACCGCCCTAAAAAAATAGGGGTTGTCCAGCGGACAAAATTGTGAATCTAAACCATTCTCAGATCCCCTTGAACACACACAAAAAATTTCATCAAAATCGGTCCAGTCGTTTAAGAGAAGTTCAGTGACATACACACTCACAGAAGAATTATATATATAAAGATATCAATTGCTATTCGTTAGTCTCGCTAAAACTCGAGAACGGCTGAATGAATTTATTTGATCTTGGTCTTGAAATGTTCATGTAGGTCTAGGGAAGGTTTAAAAGGTGAGAGAAAATCTAATAAATGCCGGGAAAACCCTAAAAACAGCGAGCGAAGCCGCGGGCAAAAGCTAGTTTAGTATAAAAACGTATATCACTTGTTAAAATTTTAAGCAGGCTACTCGGAAGTTAATACAGGAAAATCTATATACAGGGCGTCCCACGGTTTTGTCACACGGAGGGCAAGTATGTTAAATATTGAAGATAGGATATTTAACTGAATGAAGACATCATTTTATTTTTAATATTAACTAGAACTGCATTCACCGATTTAAAAAAAAACCCTGCTTCATCTGGGAAAATCCATGACGTATTTTATTATAACCATCGAAAGGGTTAATCACAAGGAATATTTTTTTTCTAAACAACATAGCATATGAAATGCAGTTCTACTTATTACTACTCAGTAGTTCTACTGAGGGAAAATATATTATATACTGTCTGATGCTTGGACCGATTAGACTTTTTAATTCGAAACTTCTCTACGCACGCTCGACTTGGGTGGTAAGTTGGCGAATGTGTTACGTTATATGTATCTGGCGTTACAAAAAGTGTGTTTGGGCGAGGCGAACGGGAGTTGAGTGAGCATGAAATGCAATATGTGTATGTACATACATGTATATATTGTATACATATATATATTGTGTATATATATACACATACAGATGGAGCTAAAGAAGTTTCACTTCAGTCGTGTGGTGATAGGCACACCATTGTTTTTGTTTTCTACTCAAGTTTTGTTTAAAAGTGGATATCGTAACCTCCTTTCTTACTCTTTCTATCAAAGCAAAGTCAGCTAGCCTGCGAAGGGGAACTTCTCACACGCGAGCGTCTATGCTGTGGGCTATCCTTGTTCGGTGTTGTGTTGCGCCGCCTGCGCGCCGTGCTGCAGCCCCCGCACCGCCCAATTCCAAAAAATATTTCCCGTATTTAACTACAAAAGTGCAAACCGTTTTGAAGTTCCTTATTTTAGGAGGAATGTTTTTCCAACATTTGGCCGCTGCGTAAGGGCTCTTTCAATTTATGCGTTTCTTGACGATCTGCTGCGGTGCCGAAGCGTTGCGTTTGTTGTATAGCGTACGGACGATCCTTTTTTTGTCCACACAAAACGCGCGGTGCGATAACAGTGCGGCGCCGGTACCGCGAACGTTCGACAACAGGACTGATGCCGCATAAAGAAACGCATAAATTGAAAGCGCCCTAACGAAAAGTATCCTAACTAAAAATCTTGTCTCATGCTTAGACCGAAATGATTTTTTTTCTACTCAAATTTTCTTTATAACTGGATATCGTAACCACCGTTCCTACTGTTTCTTACTGTTTCTTACATAGCAAAGTCAGCTAGCCCGCGAAGGGGAGCTCCTAACACGCGAGCGCCTATGCTGCGGGCTATCCTTGTTCGGCGTGGTGCTGCGCCGCCTGCGCGCCGCGCTGCAGCCCCCGCACTGGCCCGCGCCGGCGCCTGCGCACGCGCCGCCACAACCCGACGATACCAACGAGTTCCATAGGTACGGGTGGAAATGTTGAAATTGTCACTTTCAGGAGAAAAAATTACACTTTCAGAGGAAGAAATTACAGTTTTAGGGGAAGAAATTACAGTTTTAGGGGAAAATGGTATATTTAGGGGAAAAATGGCACTTACAGGGAAAAATTACACTTAGAGGAAAATTGACACTTTTAGGGGGGAAATGTCCCTTTTAGTGGAAAAATGACACTTTTGTGGAAAAAAATAAACTTAGGGGAGGGGGGAGGAATGACACTTTCAGGAGAAAAAAATTACACTTTTAGAAGGGGAAATGACACTAAGGAGAAAAAATGACACTTAGGGGAAAAGTTACAATTTTAGGGAAAAAATGATACTGTCAGGAGAAAAAATGACCGCGATCATCTTACGGAACTCCGTGGATCATCAAATGTACATTTTGGACAGGTTTTGGCCACAATTTTTGAAGGCCAGACTAAGTATATTTTTAAAAATCTGAATTAGCCTTTACAAATCCTTGATCATGTTTGTGTTTGTGTTGTGTATCTAAGGTAATTTAATATCGTTAATGGGAGAACCTTTGGGCAACGTAGCATCGGAGGCAAGAGCGCCCGTTATCAAACACAGGTTTCTACTTGTTCTTTTTTTACCAATAATTTTATATTAAAATCACAGTCGTTTCGTAAGCAGTTTGGCGGTGGACATAAGATTGTCTCCTTTTTTATCGATTGTCAAATTATTATTTATAAAACATAGCTGCCAGCCGTTGGCAGTGGACAAGCAGACAGAATGGTAATGCTGCGGTCGTTACAGTACGTGCACTTTCAGGGAATAAAGTCGGCTTCGGCACAATCTTAGGAAAAAACTACACTTTTAGGGACCAAATGACACTTTATGGAAAAAAAGTCATTTAAGGGGGACTAACACTTTTAGGGAGAAAAGTCATTTTAAAATTTGGGGAAAATGACAATTTCAAAAAATAAATGTCACTTATAGGGAGAAGGAATGTTACTTTCAGATGATTTTTGAAAAATTTTGGTTTTGGATTCTAACAATAGGCTAAAATTTTAATAATAACAATTTTGTCTGCAGGTTGTGGTCGGCTTTGCAGTTCCTCTACTGTATCCCAGTTGGTGACACACAATTTACTGTGGAGTGAGTACTTTTTATACTTGTTATATTAGTTTGCACTCCGGTTTCCAGGGCTTTCTCAGAGATCCTGCTCTCCTATTATTAGCACCGCGATATGATATGTAACTCGTTTTTCTCACACTCAAGTGTCAAATTACTATGGAGTTTGACAATTAGACGCGATATAAAACGTGATATAATGTAAATTGGTGTGGTTAGTGGTACGGGGGCTGGGTTGAATCCCAGTCAAGTAAATGTTTGTATGATGAATGCGAGCATTTGTACGCGAGTCTTGGAAGTCAATATATTGTTATATTTCTACAAATATATAACATATATATTTATGTATTATATTGTGTAGTAATTTGAACTATTAAGTGGAAGGTGCGTCCAGACCAGTCCAGACTTTATAGCACAATATTTTATGTAACATTGTTATATAGCATGTTATGCAATGTTGGTAAAAAATATTAAAACATTAAGATTGATTGTACAGGGCGTTCCACAACATTGTCCCATAGAGAGAAAGTATTTTACACATTGTAAAAATAAAATAAAAAATAAGGCATCATCATCATCAGCCTATTAATGTCCCCACTTCTGGGCCACAGGTCTTCCCTATGGATGGAATAGGGAGATTGCCACCACGCGGGCCCAGTGCGGATTGGCGGGTGCTGACGACTGCAAATGCAGCCGGGACAAACGGCTTAACGTGCCTTCCGAAGCACGGAGGAACTCGATATAGAAAATTTTTGGTCACCCATTCAATGAACGATCACTGCGAAAGTTGCTTAACTCCAACGATCGCAGCAGAACGCGCTAACCACTTGCGCCGTCGAGCTCCTCGACATTTGTCTACCCCGTTGTAGTAACCAACTTACCGCACTAATATCATAAATAACTATTTATATCGAAAGTCCTGTACTTATTTCACTGTTCCCGCATCTTAATTGTTTTATTGAAGTGAAACTTCTTTACGCAAGCTTGAGTTGGGGGGAAAGCTGGCGAATGCGTTACGTGTTACGAAAAGAGTGTGCGGGCGAGGCGAACGGGAGTTGAGTGGGGGATATAAGCAAGAGAAAGCAGTGCGCGCGCACATTTTCTTTCTCTCTGTCTCTTATAGCTAGTAAATGAAATATGTATATGTTCATACATGTATATATTGTACATATATGTATATATTGTATATATATATATATATATATATATATACATACAGATGGAGCTAAAGAAGTTTAACTTCAGTCATGTGGTCATAAGTACACTCGTTTTTCTTGTTTCTTTGTGCAGAGAGTTGTTCGGCGAGGGACTTCATTGGGCCGGATGCACTATTATAGCGTTGTTGGGGCAACAGCGGAGATTCGAAGCCCTTGACTTCTGCTATCATATCCTGCGCGTGCAAAGAGTCGACGGAAAGGATGAGCCGGTCAAGGGGATTGTGAGTATTGTAACGTGTCAGGATGGGGTTCGAAATTATATGCCAGTTCACGCTTGACAGTTCTTTATTCACCACTCAGTTCACACAATTAACACACAATGTTAATTACAAAACACTCACTAAGCACTGTATTTCACAATACAAGTCACTAAACTATCGCACTGGAATACTTTTGTTGCACTTTGATCGCCTTTGGATTCGCTCCGAAATCGCTGTTGAAACTCAACTGTTGCAACTGCGGCGCCAATCGCGCTTATAGGTATACGCCGATCGACGCATTCTAGAAAGTACCTGTTAAATTGCGAATTAGCTAACACCCGCGAGTACGAAGTACGTACTTATACCTGCGCAGGTAACGCGCATAACTTGTAAACAAGTACAGATGTCGTTGCACTTTCGCATTTACGCCGCACTGCATAAGGCTCATTTTAGAATGAGCCGCATTAGTCGACCTCTATCGCGACATTCGATCTCTAGCGCATTCGCGGTTCTGTTTTGAGAGCGTTTGTGACAGTATCTTTAAAATGAACCATAATTATAACTGTCAAATGCAGGATATCATATTGGTTAGACTTACGGAAATTATAGAGTGACACGAAGTTATGAATAATTTCACTTATAATTTTTATTTTTTAAGCATGTAACTGCTCGATGTTTAAATCTAAAGAAAATATTACTAGAAAAATATCCACGTGGACCAGGCAGCAGACGGGACTCGAACCCGCACTCTTCGCTATCTGGGCGAATGCACTGACCATAGATTTAAACATAGAGCAGTTACACGCTTAAACAATAAAAAAACCGGCCAAGTGCGAGTTGAACTCGCGCACCGAGGGTTCCGTACAAACCTGAATTTTACAAAATATCTTTTATTATATGATGTAACTAAAAATTACGGTTTTCGCAATTTTTCCTTTATCTGTACTTTAAGACGTTACTTCGTACCAATTTTTTTTATAATCTTTATTTAGAGGCTTTTACCTTATAAAGATATTATTTTATTTATTTTTTAAGCATTTAACTGCTAGATGTTTTTAAATCTAAAGAAAAGTTTACTAGAAAAAAACTATTTTTATTTAATATAAAACTACGACGACTCATTGTTGCAAAATATATACCAAATTTCAAAATTCTAAGTTCACGGGAAGTTTTAGGTAGATTTAGTTTCGAAATTTTGGCGATTTTTATGTTTTTTTTATAACGAGGTAGGATAATGACTCTACCCCGCCTGATGTTAAGTGGTGATAAAGTCCAAACGCGAAATTGAAATTTGCGGCATAAACGGCTGTATCTTTTGCACGGAGCACCCCCACTAGAGTCCGCATACAAGGGCAAGCGCTTACGCCAAGCTTAAGTAGTATTTTACCTATGCGTGAGGCACGCCTACAGACGTCGCGATACATCGTTTCATTCGGTAACCGAGCGTTGGTCGAACTGCTTCTCTCGTTTTCGTGTTAAAAAACTGTAAAAAATGCCGTACTGTGCAATTAAATTGTGTGGAAAGTCGAGTACAACTTCCAGTCTTCAAAAAAATGGTATTACTTTTCACTGGTTAGTTTAAATGCATTACAAAAAGACAAAAATACTGTTATATTAAATTGCTGTTAATGTATTTATTTTTTAGTGAACGCGTTGATGTCTTTTTACACTATCCCTTTCTCGCATGGGCTACATCATATATGCTATCTCGCTCTCACACCGGCACGTGTATTGCTAGTGACTCAGACGCAGCTCATGTCTCAACGCGTAAGTTTGTCGATAAGTTTGTCAGCTATGGAAATGGAAAAAATAAATAAAAACTATTTATTTCATCGTATACAATAATAGATGTCATAAGTATACAACCAACAGTTTTTATTTGATTGAAGTCAAACATATCCTAATAAAATTTAAAAAACGCGAAAATTTGTATGCATATTTGTTAGTTACTCTTTCACGCTAAAACGGTTAAACGGATTTGTATGAAATTAAGTGCGCATAGTTTATGACCTAGATAAAGACATAGAATTAACGATATTAAATACCCTAGATACACCACGTACGCTCAAAATGTGTCCCAATCAAGAAGTGCTTGAACTCCACTCAAGCACTTCTTAGTACATAGTCACACGCGGACCGTTGAAAACTCAAGATACCAAAGAGTTCCGTGAAAAAATGCAGAAAAATACTAATAGTACGTAAAGTGTCGTTTTTTCGACGGGTATCTAATTAATGTTTTTTAATTAACGCCTTTAAAGCAAATTTTATTGTTGTAATACTTACTATAAACTGATTTAATTTAAAATATTTGTGATATTCAAATGCATGGTCGGTTATACGTCGCCCTTAGCCATCTCTTGTCTTCGCGGTCTGTACCTGCTATATTGCTAACAGCGCATTTAGAATTGCGCGTGTAAAGTAAAAAAAAATAAGGTCTATATTCTTTCACATATAACACTAAATCGTAAAATTTTACGAACTTGACGCATGCATTTTAATTAAGACCTTATGCCGTATGCATTAAAGGTGATTTTCAATGTTTAAATAAGGCATTATATTGTTTTTGACCACGCGATCATCTTACGGACCTCCGTGGATCGTCCAATGTACCTTTTGGACACGTTTCGGCCACGATTTTGTTAGTGTTGTTGTATCTAGGGTAGTTAATATCGTTGCATTAATACTTCTTGTCCTGGACGTGTTTTTTTTTGTGTTGCTTATATATAATTTAGTATGTAGTTACTAGTCGCGTCATGTAATTAGAACGCTGTAAGAAAGTGGAGAGGGTATGATTACGCATTTGCGCATCAAAGTACTAGGCCTCTATTCTAAATTGTTTATCGATAGAAAATATCGATATTTTCTAAAATCGATCTTACCCTCATCACTTCGCTGCACTGAGTATATGATCTGACCTTGACGCGTCCAATCACAGCGGGGCTGACCTCCCTGCACCCCACCGACTTTGGCGATTTTGATTCCAAACAAAATTTGTGTGATGCGGACTCTAGTGGGGGTGCTCCGTGATCTTTTGATTGCTTTGGCTTAAAAGTTTGATTTTTTCCCAGCTCCAAGGGACAGTAGACATGAGTATTAGATATGAATTTCAGTTTGATACCTCCACGCGTCCATGAGAAAAACGGTCTTGACAGACGGACGGACGGACGAACAACAAAGTGATCCTATAAGGGTTCCGTTTTTTCCTTTTGACGTATGGAAACCTAAAAATAGTAAAATATTGGACGATTTAAAAGAGCCTTCAAAAAGTCAATTTGAATCTCTTATCTATTAGACAAGTCCGTCCGTCCGTCCGTCTGTGGTGCTGTTTCAGCGGCCAAACCGTAAGAGATAGATAAAGAGAATGTTTAAGTTATAAGTTAAGAATAGTTTGATAAGACTACAAACCGGATTTGAGTACCGTAGCACTTCTGGTTTTCCAGAAATCACGAATTTCAAACGAAACCACACAAAATCTCCGAAGTTCTCAATTAATTAAATACATTTTTTTTTAAATCAGGTTTTGGTGAACATTTGGTTCACTGGTTTGCTAGTAAAGTATAATTACGTTAATTAATTTCCTATGTTTTCATTCACAGCCCCTGAAACGCATGGTGGATCGTATTCGTCGATTCCAAGTGTTGAACTCTCAGATATTTAGCGTTCTGTCGCGTCACATCGCCGCTGACGAGGAGCGCGCCGGCGTCGAACATGTTCGTTGTTTTCCACCACCAGCGGCCCATCATCATGCGAATTAAACACGAAAATCAACGACAACAACAAAAAAATCTGTGGAAAAAAAACGCCAATGAAGCGTGAAATCATAGGAAACGAAACGCTGATAAAAGATTTATTCGATATTTCCCACCATCATAAAATAAATACATTGCTAAGATAAATTATGTTTTCCACCATCACACATTTCTGCTACACACAATTCATACCTACCTTAATTATTTATATTATCACGCGAATTAAACACGAAAATCAGTGGAAAAAATAAAGAAAGAAAAAACGCCAATGGAGCGTAAAATCATGGAAAACGAAACGCTGATATAAAAGATTTATTCGATATTTCCCACCATCATAAAATAAATACATTGCTAAGATAAATAAATAAAATTAAGTTTTCCACCATCACATCACACATTTCTGCTACACACAATTCATACCAACCTTAATTGTTTATATCATCACGCGAATTAAACACGAAAATCATTGGAAAAAATAAAGAAAAAACGCCAATGAAGCGTGTAATAATAGGAAACGAAACGCTGATAAGAGATTTATTCGATATATCCCACCATCATGAAATAAATAGACAAAAAAAAAGTTTTCCACCATCACACATTTACATACCTACCTTAATTTATTATTTTTGACACCATTCCAAATAACACAAAATTGCAGTGTTATTGAAATCAAGATATTTAGCTTTCTGGCGGGTCACATCGCCGCCGACGAAGAGCGCGCGAGTGTGAATTCATCACGCGAGTGAAACGCAAAAATAAAGAAATTACTGACATTTGTAAGTAAAAAATAGACATATATTTATATGTCTATTTTTCTGTTAAGTATTGTTTAAACTGAAGCAATTTATTAGAAATGTATGTTAAATGAGCTGGTAAATGGTTTAATCATGCACACGATCATACTATATAATCAAAATAATATTGACATACGTATGTCTATTTTCAGTGTTCTTTAAAATGAAGTAAATTAATGTTGGTATCGAAAAATTTACGCTAATGAAAGATTAATTCGATGTTTCCCACATTATGGATTAAATAAGTTTTTTTATACTAGAAATTATAATGAACTTATTTTTTGGCACCATTCCAAATAACACAAAATTACAGTCTATTTAAAATCAAGATATACAGCGTTCTGGCGCGTCATATCGCCACCGATAAAAAAACTAGCGCGTGTGGAACATGGTAGGTGTTTTCCGCCACTCGCCGCCTATCATCACGCGAATTTAACGCGAAAATCAATGGAAAAATGAAGAAATATAGTTGGCTGTTTAAAATTACGTTTAAAGTTATGTAATTTTACTGAATATCGCATTGTAATGGGTTTTATTCGATGTCTTCCACCGACAGTCACACCGAAATTTATGGACCAAAATATAGTTCATGTAGGTAACTACAGTATCAGGTACATTTTGGACATGACTATATTTTTGCTAACTATACTGTAAACAGACAACTATCATTCAAATAGAGTAATTCTAGCATTGTACTGAGAAATAAATGTACAACAAGCTAATAATAAATTCGATGTTTCCCAAACACAGTCACACAGAAATTAATGAACCTAAATAAAGTTCATTTACCTGCAGTATCACGAAAATTTTTGGACAGGATTATATTTTTCTTAACGATGTTGTAAATAGACAACTATCAGTTAAAAATAAATAATTTTTGATTGTACTGAGAAATAAATGTAAAACAAGCTATTAATTAAAGGTCTGTTCGATGTTTCCCAAAGACAGTCACACAGAAATTTTCAAAAAAACATATTCTATTTACGTTTAGTATCGTTTAAAATTAGTTAATTTTAAAATTAATGGAATTCGCGCTGATTAAAGGATTTTCTTAATCGATTGTTTCCCAACAGCAGTCCCACACACATAAAACAACACACTAAATAATCGAATAAAATGTGAAATGATAAGGAATTTTTATCCCAAAGAACTCTTCCATTTTGTCAACATTCCATTCACTTTTAATAGAGAATCATAGGTAGATATGTACCCTTAGCATGAACCAATTTCGAATTCGAATAGTTTGCGAGTGCCAAATGCATTTGTCAAATGTGTACTGATTTTTAGTTCTCGTCACGTCCGTTGTGGCACCTCTATCACGGTAATAATATCATACAGTATTCTATCTTCATACAAACGGTCGGAAAGCGAGTCATACCTACGCCACTCGAGTTCGATGTGCTCTCGGCGGGCACTCAGTCGCGAATGCGCCGCCGCGCCTCAACGACGACCGAACGGTCTGAATTGTTTTTTATGCAGTTAGCCGTGCTTAAACGTGCGTTTTGTATTGTAAATATTTGATTTAATTAAGAAGATACCTAGATAGATAATATCGTACAACAGCACAATTGCTGTTTTTGGTTGAACTCTTCAATAACACACCCAGAGATATCATTTTCTAAATTACCTGAAATATTGGAAAGGTGTCTTACCTTTATAGAATATTTTTTTATATACCTATCTACTAGTACGTTATTTGTTTCTAATATTTAGGTATTTTGGTTTTTCCATCGGGCAAAATATCTGGAATAATATATAAATAAGTGGTTAGGATGAAAAAAGAGACAAACGAGTAATCTACCTACACACGCGTTAAAAATAAAACTACATAAAATACTGTAGGCTGGCGGCCCTACCGCGTGCCAACGCAGCGCTTGGTGTAGGCATTTATTTTCAAGGACAGGACGGAGTCACAATACTGTATAGATAATATTACCGTGCCTCTATTCAAGTTTCCATACAAAATTTGACAATGATATTTCGCACTCGCAATCTATTCGAATTCGATATTGATTCGTGCTAGGGGTACTGTTATGACACAGTGGCGTATGAAACACGCGCTGGTTCAGTATTATGCGCGAATCAAATGACAATATGTAATATAAATTATGCAAAAATAAAATATTTTGCCATTGACACCATTCCAATGAGCAGATTTTGAAATATTAACTGTAACTTAGTTGCACCGAGGCATTTGGTTTATAACATTCTACTTTATTACTTTGTTATAAGTTATTCAGATTATATTTATAATCGGATAAATATCTGTTGAGAGACATTCAAATGAGATTTGAGAAATTGGGCAAGGATGAGAAAATTGAGAATGTGTTATAATTAGACAGAATAGAATGAATGTACAGTGGAATAATTGGTTGGATACAATTCGAGATTGACTTCTTTAAAAATACAACACTCAGGTCAAAATTCGTATGCAAGTGTATCCAGCGATGTAGCTGTGGCTGTACATTGCACTTTATTTAAAATATGAAATATGTATAGAGTTTTAGTATTAATCTTTATCAATATTTTATCATTATTATTAGTATTAAAATTGTATCTCTTACTTATAAGTAAATATTCAAAACATTCTTCCTAAATAAGCGCAAAGCATGTCAGTTTTTTTTTATTCTTGTATAATACGATGAGTGTGAACAAAATGCTATAGTTATTTCGATACGGTCGAAATATTTTTCACAAGTTTCTGAGTACAACAATAATGTACTGTTTCTTATTAGAACATTGAAGATATCAGTTCACATTGCTACTAGTTTTTATTAATTATGAGTATTAAGTTATATGTAGGTATGTAATCATTTTATATGAATAAAAACGTGCAATTATAAATTGGTTTTATTTATGGACAATGTTGACAAAATTGTTTATGAAATTCAACTAGGTATGACGTTTACGCCAATCGCTATGCCTTTTGCATTTGGAATAGTTATGTCTTCAGCTTTGAAGAGTAAAGTGATAGGGATACACGGTGGCAGTAGGAGACGTCAATAAAATTAGGCTACGTGGAGCTACTTGATTTTATTATTATATCTAATGCAGTAGCCTTAGCACGAACCACTATCGAATTCGAATAGTTTGCGAGTCCGAAATGTCATTGTCAAATGTGTAATGTTTTTTAGTTCTCGTTACGTACTTGGTGACGCTGCTGTTCAAGTTTCCATACAAAATTTGACAATGACATTTCGGACTCACAAACTTTAAAAAGGCCTAACGGTCGGTTCGGAAATTAGGTAAGTACCTAAGAAACTGAAACTTTTGCGCTAGGCTTATGGATTTTGAATCTGAATTCCTGATCAATAAACCGTACCAATGCGCGCAGCCTTAGACATGTATGATCGCCTGGTACATTTTAAAATGCTGATGATTGATGATTTTTTGTTATCAAGGTCTGAACTTGAATGAACTAAATCATGGAGCTATAGCCGATTACCAAGCAAGGCCAGAGGAGCAATCTGCTACCTTCTGAGACTGGATACCTACTGCAGCATATTTAGATACATGCGTATGACCTTGTTCAGACGACACGCGTGCGTAAGCACCCGCGTACAACACGCTTAGAAATTGGTAGTATAGAATTTGAGTCTTATGCCACGTCAATAAAGCTCTAAATCCATCTATCGATGTCCAACAACGCATGTTACTAGGGTTGCCAGATTTTTTTCTGAGATATATAGTGTTTGGCGGTTTGAAGGATCGAAAAATAAAGTACATACAGAAAAAATTAAGTATTTTCATAATTGTCTTTATACAATTTTTATATGCATAAATATGTCTTATGTTCGTGTCACTTTTTTATGAGTGCGTTCGGAAATGTTTACGTAAACCCTAACTTAACGTCAACTTGTGATACATATTTAAAGGACATTGTTCGTTCCCCATACATTGAATGCCCTATAACGCCCAGCAATGAGAAAATGCTAGTTGTGTTCGGAATCATTCATAAACTCTAATTAAGCATTTGTTGAGATACGGACAACTTGAGGAACCGTGGCCTACTACAGAATGTATTAGATTTTAAGGTTATAATTATTATACTTAATCGTAAAAGATGTACACTTTATATACTGAATAGATTTAGTTTTTACCTCTATGTAAGCACTTAAATAATATGCATTAAATGAACATAAAATGGAATTAATAATAAAAATAATAAATGCTTATATTCATATTGATTTACGAGTGTTGTCAGTTGGCACTTATGATACCTATACCTACCTGTAGTAGGTAATAATAGATTTCTTTTCAAATGAAATGTTCAGTCTTTCCATTTACCTGTTTCTATATTTTACTATCGGTAATTAGGTACGTACCTGGTTATCAATATGATTTTCATAAAAATAAACAGATATTACATGGGATGGGAGTATAAACTATCTTTACATAATTTCAGAAATAATCTTTTTATAAATATAATATAAATACTAGTAATAAGTATTATTGACTAAGGTACCTAGTTCTATTTTTATGGTCGCCTATATTGCATTTATTAAGGTAAACAATCTTGGCACAACTTTTTAACAGAATCACCCGTTTAATAATAAAATATTAACGAAGCCAATAAACTATTAAAATAAATCGTTATTATAGACTGAAACCTATTGAATCTACTTATCAGTTGATTTTTAATGCTGTATTTTCAATAAAAAGGAGTGCCAAGTTGGATGAACAGACTGTAGTATCTAGTAACAGAACTTTAATTTTTTATTTTCTTAAACAGATTGTCCGTTTACAATGATTAATTGCTAATAAGTTAAAAAAATAATAGAAAAATAATAGTGAAGGACATTCTTTTGGGCATGCTAGGGCCGATTTCGTCGATGTCCTTTAAGTTTAAAATATAGTATTTTAGCATACTGTATGCGTTTCGTATATCATAAAGTATACAGAGGCAAAATATATTATAGTATATCTGGCAACGCTACATGTTACGCACATGCCTCGCATACGCATTACAACCGCGCGATAAACGCAATTTGAGATTTATTCATAAATAAACATAGATCATAAGACTCAATTTTATGCAATGACTGCATATGCCTTGCAACCGCGTTTCAGCTAGTACGCTTACGAGCAAAAAAACGTCGGCGCAATTCATATGAACTAGCTCTAACAATAATATTGCAACGCAATGAGGTCTAAGGCGTATGTATCCGCAGCCAGAGGCGCTTGTGTAGCGTGAGGTAGCGATGCGCGACTCTTGAATTATTTTACCTTTCGACTAATTCGCAACTACTAATTTGGCTATTCGAAAGGCAAATTAGTAGTATGCTAATGTCATGATTCGAATAACGACTACTAATTAGTAATACTAATGTCAAATTTACAAGAGCGCAACGAATAAGGTTAGGTTATTCATTCGTTCGTTCATCATTTGCCTTAGTTCAGTTAGTTTCCGTACGTTCATACTTATCACCTGCTACGATAGTCTTGTATCTGTTTTTTTTTTCAGTGAATTTGTTTATTATTACTTGATTTATATATATATATTTAATATAAAGAGTTCATATATCGATCTAATCATTAAAAACAATTAAAAGTAGTACCCGAAACTCTGCTCATCTCTTTCACTCGACGAGTTCGCCCGACCAAGCCCGAGTTGACCCGGTTTGTTCGTCTTCGTCACGTACGTCAGTCGAGAGTCGGTTAGTCGCCACCCGATACCGTCGACTCCAGTCGAATGAAATAAAGCCCAGTCGACTTGGTCGAATGATTCGTGGAGTCGAATGATTAGTATAAGTATTATTCGAAGTCGCGCATCGCTAGCATGAGGTCTCCGAAATGTCAAATGTTTTTTGCTAGTGGTTTGACTACTCGCGTAGTTCATTTCTTATTAAAATGATGTTGTCAATATTTGGTAATTACACCAATTTATTATAGCAAATATGAATAACGTGTCAACGTATCTCACTGATTTAAAAGCAGAGCTAAGAAAACTAATTAGGTATGTCCTCCTTTTTTCGGAACTGCGCAACATAACGCATGGCCGATTACGTTTACGACACGGATCTTGTATTGAAATATGATTTAAATGCAAACTTTGATTTCACGCGCGTTCTAATAAACTTTAGAAGCTACACTTCAGGATCTCACTCAACAGTGGCGCCTTCTGGTGAGACAAATAACGATAACCCTAATTCACGCAATAATATTGATAAAATTAACCGTGTAGTTGCTAATACGCATGAAGGCACGGCATGGGAATAGCAAATATGTTTAAGATAGTTAATAGATAAATTTTAGCAAAGTATATTTTAGTAAACTTCTATTAAGGGCTCTACGCACTAACCATCATCCTGGATCCAGCGCCATACACATAAAAGAGATACTGGTGTCGATTCTGGCACGATTCTCTAAATCTAAACTTAAATTTGACAACAGTTATGTCAATTCTGACACGATTCTCTAAACCTAAACTTAAATTTGACAACAGCGTATCCTTTTCATTCTCTTTATGGAATGAAAGGAAGAGATTGATGTTAAATTTAGTTTTAAGTTTAGAGAATCACGCCAGAATCGACACCAGTGTATCCTTGTCATTCTCTATACAGAATGAAATTATAAAATGTTAAATTTATTTTTAAGTTTAGAGAATCACGCCAGAATCGACACCATCTCTTTTACGAGTATAGCGCTGTCCCGCATGCCGGATCCAGCAAGATGGGTAGTGCGTAGAAGACTTTAGTTAACTATGCGGAAATTGTAAACGGGTTCAATGTTGAAATGAAAAATGGTTAATACTTTTTATACACGTTTTTATTATATTCTTTTTCATAGGACATCATAGTTGTTGTCTTTAAAAAAGCGTTTCTCTCCGCTCACCAAAAACTACATTTAACTTATTTTATATACTTACAACGTAGAAGAACTTATAAAAGATCAGTTAGTTGGCCCGTGTTACGCAGAAATGAAAAATACAAAAAAAAAAAACAATTTCATTTAAGAAAACAAAAGTGTAGTTTTCAAGTAAGGTGCTGCATAGATCATTATTGCATAACACGGTTCAATTACATAAAAATAAAAAATTAAATTAACCTGATCTTTTTAAAAATGATCTACGCTTTTTTTCATAATCATCTCCATTTTGCCTACAAATTATAAGTAAAAACTGGTATTTTGCTTGCAAACAAATGTAACATTGTAGAATCAAACGCAATAACATTAGTTCCAGTACAATATATAATTATACTTTGCAATTAGTAGAAAAAAAATTATTGAGAATTCTACACTTTGTACTTGTTGCGTCTAGAAAAATCACTTGTATTCCTCATTTGCCCCTCTCTTTGCACCCACTATCCGTTTTCGTATCCACTATCCGTTTTCGTACCACATCGTATATTCTAAGTTTATATACTCATAACGGTACATGAAAAGATTGAACGAGCTTTTGTAGAATAAAAAACTGGATAACAGCATATTATATAAAAAAAAGCTACATAATATGCACAACGAACAAACAAATTCCAAACTGTTGGGACGAAAGGCGTTCGAATGGAAAATATTTTGTGATATTTCAAATATGTTACAATGGCAACCCAGTGAATGTAACAAAAGGTTGTTCGTTTGTATAAATGGTACCTACATGATGAACTTTTCAATAATACAAAAATAAATAGTATGTTTAAAGAAAAAGTTAATAAATACAATGTTTTATTTCTATAGCAGGGACTGCCTATAACACACCATACACTCACCCACTTAAAATTCATACATTTTAGGGACGCCATTGCAATATAATTATATATACGATTATCCTTTTTCTGATGTTTTTCTGTATGTATAAAACAATAAAAAAAGAAATACAATAACAACCTTATATTAAATATACATAAATAAACAACCTTAACGATAGATGCTTAAAAGTAAAAAAAAATGTGAAGAAAAATATATTACAAAGTGTTAAAATCGTTTAAAATTACTTATTGCATCGAAACGATGTCACAGACATCACATATTTTTAATCTATGTTATTTTTTTTAATATTTTCTTTTTAATCGTTTTTTATTAGTTGATCAGTCGTTTCTGGCATAGACAAAAGATTCGCATAAATTTTACACCATAGAGTATGCGTTACAGCGACAGTAGTGCCTTAACTACATAAATTTATCTACATAAAACTAAAAATGTTTTCCGCTCCCTATTAACAAAATATTATGTACCATTTTAAATTATATTTAATAGCTCAGTGAAAATAAATGGTTATTTTACAATGAACAATATTTATTAGTAAGACAGCAATACCATAGCAGGTGTTATCATATGAAAAAAAAAATACAGACGATAATTTCCCGGTATTGCCAGAATATAAGTGAGGACACTTACTATGCGTTAAAATGTTGCCGCTACAAAATAAAACTTGTGTATTCAGGCAAGACATCTTGCATAGCACAGCACATTATACAAAACCATAACTATATAGACACTAATTGAAAATGGAATATTTTTTTTCTATCACATATTATTTTTTATGAGATATTTTTTTTCATTTCGCATTTTTTCATTTTTGTAAAAAATAATAATATATTTGCGACATTCAGTATTCACATTTGGTAAAAATTACATAAACGGTTATGTGAATTCTTATCTCGTATTAGATAGGTATCTCCTTCATACAAAAGTAGTGTGACAAAGACAAAGAATGTTTAGATCTTTAAGCTTTACTTAGTACAGAATAAGTATAAGCTATATTTTTACTTAATAAACTATTGAAAACATCTTTAATCAAGAAATAGCTATGTGAAATAGAATTGTAAGTATTTCTTGATATCAAAGGATGGTGACTTGATCGGTTTTTCTAAAAAACTATTTTTAGTAACGTATATTTAAAAAAAACAGGATTGTCTCTGGTTATTTTCTTCCTGGCAACATTTACCAATGCATTTGTCACTGTTCGTAGTTTTTAGTTTTTCTGTCCATGTCGTCGTCAGATGTTCTGTTCATTGAATGATCTGGAAAATAAACAACTACATGATTATAATGTTTAATATTTATTTATAATATATACACATAAATTAGAAATATTTCTTCCATCCGCGTTATAGTAAGTTTCAAAAAAATCCAACAGGAACTTTAGATTTTTCCGGGATAAATTATTGTAATAAAATGGGTGCCCAAATCAAAAAGACAATTTGGTTTATAATTTCGATGTTTACTGTTAGGAAGCCAACAAAAAGTGTTTTTGGCACAAGATACATGACATATTTGTTTCTAAGGTTTTCACGACATCTCACTCATTAAACAAAAGTTTCAACGGGTTAGATGTACTGATTTAATTTTTTTATTGACGTTTCGCAGCCTTTTCAGGTTTACGTTAGTTAGGATCAAATAAATAAACTCAAAATTACAAAACACAATTTTAAATATTGTAATTTATTAATTTAATTAACTAATAAATTCATACATAGACAATAAAGTTTTGAAAATCGTCCAATGAAATATCCGAACGCTCAATAAAAGTCTTTCAAAGGTAGCTCGACAAAGTAAATAAAACATCATGATTCAGACGACGCAGACCTGAAAAAGCTGCGAAACGTCAATAAATAAATAAAATCAGTACATATAACCCGCTGAAACTTATTTTATTTAAGATACATGACACATTGACGGCAACGCCATCTAGATTCTTAGTGTCGAAACCTGAACACATATTGCGAATATTACAAGCCATCTAGATTCACCTTGAGTGACTAGATGGCGCTGTCGTAAAAATAGTATTCCATGTTACAACCCATGTTATAATAAATAAACTATCTGTGCGCCAAATCCATCCAAATCCGTTCTGCCGTTTTTGCGTGATTGAGTAAAACACATACAAACTTTCACATTAATAATATTAGTAGGATTATACGTAGATAAGTACATATATCTTTAAAGAAATATATATAAACAGCCATGACTTAGGTGAAAAAGCTTGTATTCACCATACAAACATTTGGCCCACCGGGATCCGAACCCAGAACCTTTGAGCAGGCGACACGTTGGAAACTAGCGTGTATCTTTTACTGGAGTTTTATTACAGAAACTGGTCTTCATTATCAGGCTATTAATGTCCCCACTGCTGGGGCACATGCCTTCCCTATAGTTGGAATAGGGAGGTTGGGCTGTGACCCACCCCGCGGGCCCAGTGCGGATTGATGAGTGCTAACGACTGCACACCCAGCCGGGACCAACTGCTTAACGTGCCTTCCAAAGCACAGAGGAGTTCCAGATAGTCAATTTGCGGTCACCCATCCAATGAACGACCACTGCGAAAGTTGATTAGTTCTACGATCGCAGCTGAACACACTAACCATTCGCGCCATCGAGCTTCTCAAAAAAATCACTAACGAAACTGGCCATTAATGAAATTATTAATTTCTTACCATTGTGCGGCATCTTGGGAACCAATACGACGCTGCCATCTGCCGCCTGCTGTAGAGAATACTGCTGCGACGACAACGGCCTTCCTTCTGGGTCGCGAAGATTCTGCAACAATATATAAAATAAAATAATAAATATTTCCAACAAACACCAATTAGCCTAGCCCCAACGTAAGCACTGTAAGGATTGTGTTATGGGATGCTAGGGTAACGGATAGAATACATATAGTGTACTATAAGTATATTTATATAGAAATACATATTAAACATCCATGACTGAACTACAAGTGCTCATCATTTTTATCTTTTGCTGAACATTTTGGCAATGTGGACTATACCAACTTTGATTGTATACCCCTCAATTAATATTTATGTTTTTTTTTCTTTCAGCAGCGACTTCATTCAAAAGAGCCCCCGCTTAAAGGTCAGACTGTGATCGGCAAGTTCACAGACGGATTACACTACAGGGCTCTGTGTAAAAGGACCAATGTGAAGCAGAACAAGTATCTTCTCGAGTATATTGAGTTCTGTGAGTGATATTAATTAAATAAATAAATATTTCCAACACTCACACCAATTACCCTAGTCCCAAAGTAAGCACTATAAGGCTTGTGTTATGGGATGCTAGATTAACCGATAGAATACATATACTGTGCATATAAAAGTATATTTATATAGAAATACATATTAAACATCCATGACTGGAGTACAAATGCTCGTATTAATCACACAAACATCTGCCCCCACCGGGACCTCTCGAGTCGGCGACACCATGAAACCCGGCGAACTAACCACTCGGCCACGGAGCTCGTTAAAAAGTACGTAGTGACTCTACTTTGTAACTTAATCAGCTAGTGACGTAATTTTTGTGACCTAATCCCCAAGTGACGCAATATCTTATTTACCTTGTTTTGATACGAAATTTCCTTTCGCTAACACACATTTTTAGTGACCTCATCTCCTACTAGAGGGTGTGAATGTGATTTAAATACCCGGGAAGCTCTCCTTAACTCGTTTCCTACGGTTCGAACATCTTCCGTTCTGACGCTATCTTTGTACTTAGGACTCACCTGGAAAACGTGTCTGTATAAAGCCGCGAATCTCTCCTTGACTCGTTGCCTATCAGCCAATAGGGTGTGATGGTCTCGCTGCGTTCGTTGCTTCCTGTCGCGTACGGTGCGCACTTCGTCCGCTAAAGACGTGATCTGATCGAGTTTACGCTTGCGACAGTTCTGTGCTGCCACCTGGTGGGTACAAATAATTATAATTAAATGATAAATATTTCCAACACTCACAACAATTAGCCTAGGCTCAAAGTAAGCACTGTAGCCTTGTGTTATGGGATACACACTCTCGGGTAACGGTTAAAATACATATATAAGTATATTTATATATATCCGTGACTGAGTTTGTACTCATTTAAAACGCTATGTTATTTAGGAAAAATTTTTCCTTATCATTAACCCTTTCGATGGTTTGATTTTACAAAAATCTGTGAATGCAGTTCTAGTTATTATTAAAAATAAAATGATGTTTTCTTTCACTAAAATATCCTATCCTCAATATTTAATATACTTTCCCTCCGTGTGACAAAGCCGTGGGACGCCCTGTATATAGTCGTGTGACAAACTGGTGGGACGCCCTGTATATAGTCGTGTGACAAACCGGTGGGACGGCCTGTATATAGTCGTGTGACAAACTGGTGGGACGCCCTGTATATAGTCGTCTGACACTCGTGACGCATTTCCGTTTCATCTTTTCCAGAGGATTTTACCATTAACAACCCGTTCGAAAAGAAGTTTCATTTCAGAAAATCTGAAGTATATAAATTTCTGGTAACCGACCTTGTTCTTTCCGCGTCTCCTGATGTCCCTTATGAGAGACAACTGCGCCTCGCTCAAGTCGTGCTTTGAAAGTCTCTCATTGAATTCATCCATAGGCAAGTTTATTATATCATGCACTTCCAGTGGTATACCTGTTGATAAAACGTTTGTTTATAGAGAAATGGTCTTTATGAGGTAAGCAATAGGGTTTATAGTGGTAAAGTTGATATGGAAAATTATCTGATTCTCGGTCTCGGAACAAGAACTAAAGCATAGAGGTCATGAAGGTTAGAGATAAGGAGAACTACGTACTAAAGCATTAGCCCGCCTGTCACTGAAAATTTGTAGAATTTATAGTACATTTTTCAGCCACCAGCCGCGCTGATCTTTGTTCATAATTTAGAGGCAGGGTTTATGAAGAGGCAACTGCAATTTGTTTTATCCTTATGTTATATTAAATGCACGATTAACCTCATATTTATATAATCATATAATTATATTTTTATTTATATGTATTTATGTATAAATACCTAATTATATTTATGTGTTGACACATGCATTTTTATGTTAATGTTAAATTGGTTTTCCTTGAGCACCTAGTTACATATTCAGATGGATTCGATGTTACAAAGTGGATGATCTTAATTGGCCTCCAAAATTTTTATAAATATTTTTTCATGTAGAAATATATCGAGTTGTGATTGTCTTTATAATAAATAAATGAATACAAGTAGATGGAGTTAGTTGAATAATGTACAAATTTTCTTCGCGGCATTGATCATTTCAAATTAGCGCACAACAGGCCGCTTTTATTGAGACAACTTAGCGATCGCAGCGCCTCACTTATTTTGTCCATATTTCTGGGACACAATTTTCTACAGCGATCGTTCTCTTTCTCTCTAACCTCCATGATAGAAGTGATGCAATCACGTTTGAGCGTACACTTCCGCAGAGACTATACGTATTACCCAACCAAAAAGTATAAGTGGCATGTTGGCAGGTTGTATTTGATATTAGATCGCCATTTGATTCGGTATCGTAAAGGTAACCAAGGCGTACCAAGATCAAAGTTATCCAATTTTATGTTTGTATAGTGGTACGCACGCTTTTCATAGCAACATATACACTGGCCTGCAAAAATAAGACACTTTTAAAATTTAATTTTTTTAAACTATAGAAGTTATAAATTTAAAAAAAAGGTTTTATAGCAAATTTTATCCGCTTTTTTGAAACGTTGCCCTTAGCAAGAAACATTATCGAATTCCAATAGTTTGCGAGTGCGAAATGGCACTGTCAAATGTGTACTAACTTTTAGTAGTTCTCGTTACGTCCTTTGTGGCGCTGCTGTTCAAGTTTCCATAGAAAATTTGACAATGACATTTACTGTAGTACAATATTAAACTTTTTTTCGACTCTTTTTTTATTTCGTTAAAATGTCTTGTGAACTCAAAAAGTTATCGCAGTTTTAAAAGTGTGATGCTTATTTTTACAGGCGAGTATATTTGTCTCTTTTCTGGGCTATATGTAAAAATAAGATGACTGTATGAGTCGTCTTTAAAAGTTGAATTTAAACTCCTTCTGTGGTTTAGTTCTTGTTCTGAGTACTAGGTCACTTGTAACGAAAAAACTCTATCTGGCATATTCCAAAACGTGGACTAAACTTAGAACTATTGCTTTAAACCGTATATGCCTTCTTTGTCTTGTTTAAGCAAACAAAATTAGACTTGATATAAACACACTTTTCTTTAATTCATATTAAAATCTATATGCGGAAGTATGTCCGTTTGTCTGTTATCTCTTCACACTTAAACCGCTGAATCGATTTAGATGAAATTTGGTATAGAGATAGTTCGAGTCCCGGGAAAAGGCAAAGGATAGTTTCTATCCCAGAAAACCTCTTTTAAGGGGGTTAAAGAGGGGGTGAAACTTGGTATGGGAAACTAATTTAATCCACTTAGATAAAGTAACCCAGTAGTGTATATTTGACTTGTAAAACTCTTGGCTTATCACCTCTAGTTACAATTAAGTCACCCACACACAAGTATATATCTCAGTTGTAACACCCTTTTTCTCTAATAACCTCCATTTACAATGAAGTCTCCTACCCACTAGTATATATCCACTAGTAACACCCTTTTTTGTCTAATAACCTCCAGTTAAAATGAAGTCACCCACCCACTAGTAAATATTTGATTATTAACCCACTTTTTTTCTATAAACCTCAACTCATGCATATCGTACCGTGTTTCTCTAGAGCATAGACAACATTTCTCTGTTTCCACTCACCCAGCGCCTTGGCCCTCTTCTCGTCTCTGGTCATGTGACCACCGCTAGTAGAAGAACCGCCATCTGACATGCTGCCATCTGTCATACGACGAACTGTACAAAACAATGCGTATACTTAGAAACAAAACTATGATAAAAATTACAATGAATTAAAAATATTTGTCAATAGTGTAGTAGTCGTTTAACTAAATTAAATTGAATTTGCGATATTTGATTATGTTAGGTTGGGTTTTTTAAACCTGTAGCTGCAGTAATATCTTAAAAAAATATACTAAATTTAAAGCAGCTGGATGTTTTATTCATGGTCAGTCAACTTTAACGGACTGAAACCCCGAATGTTCGGGTTATCGCGATTAATGCGGCATTACAGTAATTTAGTGCAGTGTATTGTATCGTGGGTTAGAATCGTGCATTACAGTATAGTGTTCTGTAGTGAAGCTAGATATAGAATAATGCAGTATAGTACCGCTGTTCAGTAAAGTACCCTAGACACGAACTGTTATAGATTTAAAAGAGTTAAATTCGATCTCGATACGCTTTAAGTAGTGAAGTAGTAGCGTCACGCGGCGTAGTGTGGTCGTGTAGTATAGTGTAACGGTCTATTGTAGTGTGGTCGTGTAGTATAGTGTAGTGGTCTATTGTAGTGTGGTGGTGTAGTGTAGCGTGGTGGTGTAGTGTAGTGTAATATAGCGTAGTGGTGTAGTTTAGTGCGGTGGTGTAGTATAGTGTAGTGGTCTAGTGTAGTGTGGTGGTGTAGTTTAGCGTAGTGGTGTTGTGTAGTGTAGCGGTGTAGTGTAGCGTAGTGGTGTAGTGTAGTGTAGCGTAGAGGTGTAGTGTAGTATGGTGATGTGGTGTAGTGTAGCGTAGTAGTGTGGTGGTGTGGTGTAGTGTAGTGTGGTGGTATGGCGTAGTGTAGTTGTGTGTCAGCGACTGACCCCTCTTGTCCCGCGCGGCGGCGGGGCGGTGGTGCGGGTGGTGCGGCGGGGCGGGCGGCGCGGCGTACGTGTGGTTGTGTCGCACCACGGGGCCCGCGCGACCAGATATACCGCCCTATAAAGAACAAACATAATGCAATCACTATAACCAATTCTGCCGCGATTCTCTAAACCTAAACTTAAATTTGACAAGAGTGTATTCTTAGTATAACTTTATACAGAAGGAAAAGGAGAGTTTTGTATCCAATTTAGATTTTAAGTTGATAGAGAACCATGCTAGAATCGGATAGTATAAAATGAAATCGCTTTTTGCGTTTTCCTACATTTAATGGGAGAGTTCTTGTTTGAGACTAAAATGCAAATAAAAGAGCCAAAGTATGAGAACGCAATAAAATAAATAAACTTCGAGAATTATTTAGTATGATTCACTGTTGTTGTACTTTGGTTATTAAATCTCAAACTCAAACAAGCACCCTATGAAAAGCATCGCAATTTCCTTATAACCGAATTATTCCATAGATAATCACAAAACCTAAAATTTCTGCTTATGCTTACAAATGAGACAACTATTCAAATAAAATTTTAAATATTTTCTAATAAAATATTTTTTTAAATCAAATAATTTAATAATTCATTGTACTCTACACAAATTACCTCGCAAGTGTATAAAAGTGATATTAAGTGTATAGTGCAGTGTATACATACCTGTAGTAACGCATGGCTAGAGTGTGGCGCGTTCAGATCCAAGGCCGGCTGCAACACGCCCGGCCCACCGACTATCGGGCGTCCACCGAAATCTATGGTACAATCATAGGAAAAATAATGAACACCGAAAGTTATTTAACATGATAGGAGAACTATTAAAATGACCCTCGAAAAAACATATTGCAGAGTAAAAATATATAATTGCCCATCATATAAAGGTTAGATTAGATGCTCTAATTTATCAAAGGAAAACATTTAAATGTTCGTCCAAAAAACCTAGAAATTCAGAGCATGTTACGACAGCGAAATCTAGCCACTGTAGGTGAATCTGGATGGCTTGCAAACTTTGCATAATGTGTTTAGGTTTCGACACTTAGAAACTGGATGGCGTTACCAACAAACTATCATGTTAAAATAGTGAAAAAATTGGGGTTTCAAGACACTTTTCATTGGCTTCCGAGCAGTAACCATCTCTGATAGGCAAATATTGGTGTCGATTCTGGCACGATTCTCTTAAATTTGACAACAGTGTTTCCTTGTCATTCTCTATACAGAATGAAAAAGAGAGACTGATGTTAAATTTAGTTTTAAGTTTAGAGAATCACGCCAGAGTCGACACCATTGTCTTTCAAATGAATGGACACCCATTTCATAGAACAAAAAACACAATTTACAATATCAAGGTTAAGTTAAGGTTAGGTTAAGAAATCTAATTTATCAAAGAAATATTGAAGATCAAACTACTCAATAACCTACTATCGTTTCTCATGCTTTCGAGTGCTTCAAAAGGCACGTTAAGCCGTTGGTCCCGGCTGCATATGCAGTCGTTAGCACCCACTGAGCTCGCGTGTTCGGTCACGGACCAATCTCCCTTTTCCATCCATAGGGAAGGCCTGTGCCCCAGCATTGGGGACATTAATAGGCTGATGATGATGATGATGATGATTTGCTAATTGACAATGGTATGAGTACGCGCTCTATGGTAGCTTGTTGATTGCGAACTAACTTATAAAATAATTTTGTTCAATAATGTGTGCAAAATGAGGTCAAGTTAAAAATGCTGATGCGGGAAAATGCATTGTTTGAAGCTAGCTCGTACAACGTGATTCTCTTTAAAAGGGTTGACTTCAGAGTCTCACAGTGTACATTATAAAGGCTGGATTGCATCTCTTATGTTGACTTACCAGGGTGCATCTGCATTGGGTCGTGGTGGTAAGTTTGTTCAGGGCACTCGTATTTGACGACAGGCGGGTTGGGGCGTGGCGGTAAGGGTTCCAATTGGGGCGGGGTTTGCTCCTGTAGGGGGGAACATAAATAAGTATATTTATGACTCAAGAAAACTACTTTTCAATGGGTTTAAAATACGAAAAAAAATGAATTTTAAACCTGTTGAAAAGAATTTTTAATTAATGGGTGGTGTGCGTAAAAACATAAGAAATAAATATAATTAAAACTATTATCTGCTGTTACAATAAATATGTAAGTGAATTACTATCGAGATTACTTAGTAGCGCTCTTTGAGTCAATATTTACATGTGACACCCGGTATTGGTAGTATTATTTTTGCTGAAAGGAGCGAGTTTTAAGTTAATAGTTGACAAAGAAGTACATACGTAAGCGGAACCAAAAAAAAAACAGAAAAAAATATAGATAGTATATAATATATATAGAAATTTACATTATTATATCCTACATATTCAATTTAATTTTGACGAGTTTTAACTCTTTTTCTTTGATGCTAAGAGTGTTCATTTATCATCACCTTTTTATAATAAGGGTGTTCTGGAATGACTGTCGCCAGGTGGCAGCACTGAGACAAAAGATCTACTTATCCGTCAAATCACATAAGTCGTCATAGTCTATGGATCAATTTCAATGCTCCTTCGATTAATTCACGCTAAAAACTTCTTAAAAGAGACCTCAGTGGCGCCAACTGGCGGCGAAAACTCTCCTAAACATCCTTATTAAGACAATGTTATTTTTAGATATTTACCCGAGGAGCTCGATGGCGCAAGTGGTTTTGCGCGTTTGGCTGCGATCGTTGAAGTTGCTAAACTTTCGCAGTGGTCGGTCATTGGATGGGTGACCAAAAATTTACTATTTTGAGCTCCTCCATGCTTCGGAAGGCACGTTAAGCCGTTGGTCCCGGCTGCATCTGCATTCGTTAGCACCGAGTGATGGGTCACGGCCCAATCTCCCTTTCCTTTCTGATGATGAAGATGATGATAATTACCTGGAAGCACCTTTTCCCGAACATATGATGTTTCTTCTGAGGCTGATGGGGGGCGCTCCTGTCTCTGCCGTAGGCGGCTTCGTAAGGCCGAAATTTGGAGCTTATGTGGAATAGAAAAAGCAATATGAAACAATCAGGAAAGTGAAGCAACTAACGGAAAGGTCAGGTTTGAGATGGGTGAGCGTTTTCTTTTTAAAGTTATTTTTTGTGTTGAAAAAGAGGATCTTGATGGCGCAAGTGGTTAGCGCGTTTTGTATACAACTTTCGGAATGGCAAAAAAGACTGCATCTAGATTTCTTTAACTTGATCTTGACTTCTTCTGTTGGTTTTTTTTTAAATAAATTTGTAATATTACTTTCAATTCACGTAGCTACAAAGAGCTTGATAACGCGGTTCGTAAGCATGTTCTGCGATCACGAAAGTTAAGCGGTCGGTCATCGGATGGGTGACCAAAATTTGAGTTTTATCTCGAGCTTGGAAAGGCACGTTAATTCGTTGGTCCTGGCTGCATCTGCAGTCGTTAGCGCCCACCCACAGTTACCGCGTGGTGATCAATTCCCGATCTGTGTATTCCATCAATTGGGAAGGCCTGTGCTCTAGCACTGAGGACTTTAATAAGCTGAAATTCATTACCTGTGGAATTCCTGTGCCGAGTCATTGCCGTCGCACCATTCGCCGTCGGAAAGCGACGGAACCCTTTCTGAACCCATGGACGAAACAGCGCTATCAGATGCAGAGTCGCGCTCTAAAACAAACGCAACCTTATCAGTACGCAGATAAGGTGGAATTCGCCTAGTAACGATGACGAGTGGAAAAATTCACAATATGTCATGATTAGTAGGCAAAAAGTTTATTTATAATTTACGCGATAAGAAGTAATCTTTGTCCAATATTCAAAGTACAATATTTCAGAGCGTATTTTTCAATATCTACCAATTAAATTGTAATCCGTAATCATTGATATCTGTTGTAGTTGTTCAAAGTCCACAATATTAAAAAAACAAATAATGTCGTGGCTCCATTGACGGAGCTAAATAATATGGTAACACCAAGCGTCAGCGTAGAGCAGGTATTACCATATTTAGTGATAGGTTAGCTATACTTATTCTCTTTTTACGCAGAAAATGACAATCATTTGTGCCTACCCTAATAACTTCAAACAATATCGATAAAAGCCGTACGTGTCGGACTTTTAATATTTAAGTTTCCGTAGCAAATATAAAATTTCCAAAGAAAAAAAAATCTAAAGGAAAATAACTGATTGAGAAATATATATAGCGGTATTTGTAAGTGGAATATGCGCAATAATAAAATTTATCCATATCACAAAAATTTTAGGTTCATAGGTCATCCACCAAACCGCAACGTGTCGAAGTTTCTCTAGTATTTATTAGACTATACGTAGTATATTGTTTTAAACTTTCATGGTCACTAACATTATAGCTATTAACGGGATTGTTATCATGTACATTGATTTTTATGAGTCTCCGATATTTCGGCACTGTTGCAAACGCCATGATCAAGGAGTAACTGAAGTTATTGTGGGTAGATGTTATTGGCAGACATATCGGTCTACCCTCTGAAGTCGTCTTTTATTGCGTTCGATACCCCTACCACTGGTCACATTCTCACTATTCACTCGCATTTGTTCCCGACACACAATACTTACAGTATCAGATCAGTATCAGATCGCGAAAAGACACTTTTTTGATTTTTGTGGTTTTTACACATACGACTAGATTCCAAACACTTCACAATTTAAACCCATCCTCACGATTAAAATTCTTGCAACAGTGCCGAAATATCGGAGACTCATAACAAACAAGGTACCGAGTAACTGCGGGTTACTTTGCCCTAAAATGTGCACTTTTTTTTCAAATAAAATTGTAGCTTCTCTTTGTGATGAATATGTCACGTTTATATCTTTCCATTGTGAACTTTAAAGTATAAGTTACAAAGTTATCATACGAAAATAGGAAAAAATAATATTTAAGGGTTAATATACATTTTTTTAATTTTGGGCCAAAGTTGGCCTTAAAGAGGGTTACTTTAGCTCGTTGAGTTTTCTCTGTGAAAAAAACTCATTTTAAGCCATGTTGGGGTTAAGTAACCCTTATCACAGATCACCATTAGCATACTGAATACACAAATGGATGTTTTTTCCCAAAAATAACTTTAAATTTAGAAAAAATATAAACTTACCGAAAACCACAGTTTTGAGAAAGTTTGCGCATGAACTTGCGAACTATTTTAGTTACAAAAAATCCCGCATTACAATGACAACTTGATACAGGAACGATGTCGGTAAAACAACACCACACTACGCGCCTATATGGCTATCTGTGATTTTCAACTGGAACTATTACGGTCACCCAAGAGATACTGATGGGGCGGCAAGTTCAATATTTTTTCTGATTTGGGACAAAGTTACCCGCCCGAGTTAAAGTAACTCTCACTTACGGTACATGGTAACAATCCCGTTAATAGCTATAATATACATAGTATACTAGCCAATCATGTTTAAGCCTTACATCTGTATGATACTTTAAAACAATTGACGAAGATGGAGTGAGGATCATTACAAGGTCAGCAAATCAACAGTAAAATGATCAATAAGTTTTTTAATTAATATACATTTTAAATCTTCGAAATCGGTTCATTCGTTGCGATTTTATAATTTTATGGTAGCCAGTATTTACCGGAAACCGAAACGTGTAACGTCACAGAGCTGGATCATGGTTCACTCCGGTCGAACTTCAATAGCGTCTCTACGTACACTCGCGCCCGCTTTGGAGCTTTGTGACGTCACAGCCACCGCGCGGCCAGCCGAAAATTCGTTTAGTAATTTGGTCATAACTTCGTCAATATTTGTCGTAGAACAAAAATTTAACCGCTGTATTTTATGGAAGCCCCAGCTCTATAAATCTGCATTATCAACTAAAATAGTTACGGATCCTCATTAATGAGTGTCTTGAAGAGGATTAACTCTTAATGGAATTAAAAATGTTGGTGCAAATGCACCAAATTAGCTTTGGATTATAATAGTGATAATATCACTAACTGACCTGCCGTCATCATCATATGGGTGTGATTGTGATGGGGCGCCGCTGCTCCATCCAGCATACGCATGGTATACATCCCTGCAAAAAAAATACAAGTATTAAGCCTTGTTAAGACGATACGCGTGTTATTTAAACTTTGATTGTTTCTAACTCCGGAGCTAGTGACAATTTTGAGCAATGAGATTCGGAACGACGGAGTTGACGGCTTTTTAGAAACCCCTCAAGCGGCAAACGGCCGACTGTCGGCAATTTTTAAGAAAAAGCCCATAGTTTTAGTCTACACTAAGGTTCGCACAAATGATCGACGGGAGTCAATTATCGACGTTTTTTCTATGATCGATGAAAGTTGGAGTAGGTGACCGATCGCTAAATGTGGTAACACCGAGCGTCTTTAGCTCGGTGTTGCCAGATTTAGTGATCGGTTCGGGACCGTGATTAATCACGGAAGGAAATATCCATCATTGGTTTTCGTTAGTTATTAATGCCACTATTACCTTAGTTGTCGGTTCTGATTAAGCTGAAATTTCGCTTCCATATGTAAATAAGGTTCCATTGCAATATTATTGTAATGCTTGCTGATTTTATAATAAATCCGGAGGGTTTCCAAGTCAATGGGATTTACAGAGACACTGGGATAAAACGACGCGATCTCATCGATATTTTATGTTTACCTAAATTTTCTTGACAAGAGCTCAGAAAATATGTTGCCATTACTGTCAAATTTACAAAAAAAAACAAATGTTTGCGATAACAAAAGTTTGTGATAAGTTTTTTAAACTGCCAGCATAAAGTTAACTTTCATTGTATCATAATCGTCACTGTTTCGACCTTCTCAAGCTTTCATACTTTTAATGCCGTAGAGTGGGACACAGCATGAAGAAGTTCACGATACATCGATAATATAATCTATTTTAACAGCCCCAAAACGAGTTAGAACCTTTCGATAACAAAACAAAACTGTTTGAAACTTTTACAAGCATTCGCTGACGTCAGTGCGGAAGTGATATGCTACCGCGGTATTGTGAGAGGTACAGTTATATATGTGACCTATTAAAATTTAAAAATTTAAGTCTAATTTTGTTTTAGACAGCCCGTGATACGTGCGTATAATTATTGAATATTGTCACCTGTTTCTCTCCAGTAGTAATAGATAATTTTCGAATCACTCGCGGTGAATAATTTCGACGATGTGTTTAACTTTTGGTACTAAAATATTTTTCGTGTAAGGGATTATTCAAATGGATCCTGATTAATTGGATAGAACTTATCTATTTTACAGATAAGTTTATCTTTTTCATATTAAATTTACATTTAAGTTTAGATAAGTACTGATTTTTCATAATGGAGAGGTCCGAATGAACTTACCATCGTAATAACTGTGATAGGGGCTTAAATACTCCGCCGGATCCGGATACAGTATTTGGCTGGTCAAATATGACGGGATGTGATAGAACGGCGTGTACGGGAAATGAGCCACAGCCAAATTCATTTTCGTAAAATATCCTTAAAAATCCTCGTGGGCCTTAAATTATCTCAGTGGGTTCTTCCACAAATGAGAATAATTGCAACCGTGCGCAGTGCACAACTCAATATTTCCGTATTATCAGATAAAATGATATATACCTCCAGTGACGTAACGTTATCATTCAAATCGATGATCGATACAATCGATAAAGTTCCTCATCACTATCAGAACTGTTTATTTACCAGCAGTCTTCCTTCGTAATTTTCTGTGACGTTAACAGCTTCACAAACAACAGTAACACCTCATATAATGCCACAGCAAATACACACAAGATTGTCCCATTGTAGGGTGCGTTAAATTATCTCTATTTGATATTTACAAAGTCTGTTTTTAGCTGTATTCACGTTCGAGAAGCGGGGTTTGTATTTGAAGGACCACAGACAAAAGTTGTATCGTTTCAAAACGTCCACAGAAACTTTTGTGAGCGCGTCGCAAGAAGTTTTCGGCGATCGTAAGGAACAACAGAATCTGCACAAGCATGCGCCTGAGTTGTTATGCACCTTTCTACTCTTCGCCGTGCGGTTGTGCAGGTAGAATGGCATATGTAGGCTTTTAAAACACAACTCGGTAAATATCGATACTAATAAATCGAAAGCTTCGGCACAACACTATTTTAATCAATCTTTTACAATTTTATTATCACTCTTCAGTCACTTGTTTAGAGATTTCTTATAAATGTCTTTGGAAAGTTTAAAATGTAGGTACAGTTTTTCGCGTTCATTCACGTATATCACAGTCGTTTCTACGAAGTTTTACACTTCATACATCACAAATAATCTGTAAACGTATGAATATATTCCCATATTGGTAGCGATTCCTTTGACAACAAAAAACTCAAATTTAAAAAAATATGCTTTTTAAATTTAACACTGTGACTGGAGCGCGTATTCGAAAATTTCGAACGCAAACGTCAGAAAGGGCGGAAAACAACACAATGGCTGCCGCGAACCTTTCCATCGTTTTAAAAAGTCTCTCTTGTGTAAATAAAGTTATCATGTTGATTCGAATAAATAACAAGATAAGGTTTATCATTTGTTCAGTTAATACCTCAGGTTTTTACGGAGTGGTTTATGCAAATGTAAAACTATTAATAGAAAATTTTATTGTGGCTTTTTAAAATTATTTGCTTAGCAAGTGGCAATGTGACCAGTCCATTCAGCCAAGTATTCAAAAAATTACGGCGATTTTCACTGTGTTGCTATTTGTCGTAGTAGACACAAAACTACACTTTTTTATCACTCAATATTTTTGCGCCACACTTAAAAAAGTTCACTTGTTAAATTGTTGAATTAGCGTTCAGCCAATTTCTATATGCGTCCGCGCGCGATTGATCGTCCAGACATTATGACATAATTTTTGTTAATACGTCATTTGAGACGGGTCATGTTTTTTAAGATAACGTTTTAGGTATGTACTTAAATAACTATTCAATTAAATTAATAAATTCAACGTTTGCTTGTTGCTAACACTATTGTAAGACTGATTTTGCTGCGGGTTTCGCCATCACACATAATTCAGTAAATATAAATGCTGCAATTTTTCTTACACCTAATTTGGGGTCTATTTCTAAATCTACAAAAGTCTTTTTTTTTATTTTTCTCCATTGATTGCATTATAGATTTTTTTCATAAGTCCATATTGTACACTGACTGTTATCTGCATATCGCCAATGTTTGCAAATTGCAATGCAAATTTTTAATAATGTATATTAATTAATTAATTACATTTAATTTATTGTATAAAACTATGTGATTTAGTTTTGATTGTTTATTGTTATTATTATTTAAAGTCAGTAATGATTATATTTTAATTATTATTGTTTGAATTTGATAATGATTGTCATAATAGTTAATTGACGATTTGTGATACAATTATTTAAATTTAAGAGAAGATGGGACAAAATGCAATTGTACCTAATTGAAATTTTTCAATATGGGTTATTATTGTGCCTGAAATAAACATTTATTTTTATTATAAATCATGATATGTAATAATGCCTTTCTACGGCTCCTGCCACTCCGGGCCGTCAAGGCCTTTTTGGCCCTAGTGTTGTCAGTAAGTCACAAAAAGTCAAATGGTGTTAACGCATGTCTATTTACACTATTAGGTTTGAGTAGCTAAATCGATTATGATGAATTTTTGGTGTGGGGATGATAGGTTGGCTATTTTTTGTTGCGAAAACAAAACCAAATAATAAATATAAAAAATATATAATAATTCAATAATAATAAAATAATTATTATTATAATAATATTATATATAATAATTATTGGCATGTGTATTTAACAAGAAAATTGAGAGCGAAAAAGTATTTCTTAATATTACTAAAAATAATTATGGAATAGATTATTTTTACTATTGTCACGTGACCGAAAAGAAAACGCTTAGGATCGGCGAAGCCTAAAATGACGTCACCAACAACATGCTGTTGAAGTGACTTTACTTTGTACTGTTTGACGTTTTAGTGATATGTATATGACGTCACCTGCCTGTAAACACGCCATGTTTGCTAGAGAAACGTTTCGGCGGCATATTTGAAAACAGATTTTTTTTTTCTTTTTTTTATTGAATACGCAACAGAATTATAAATATCCACTTTCTATGGAGTCACTATACACTGACAAATAATGTATGAATGTTTTCAAAGACTTGTCAAATAGCCTGCTGTTCCACGCAGACAAAGCCGCGGGTCTCAACTTATAGGCATCTCTTCTTATACATTTAATTACACCTATTATAAATAAATCTATTTGTATTTATACTGTGTGACATAGCAATCAAACTGCAGGTGAACAATTAATGTATAATTTCACATTATGTAATGAAAGGTGACATCATGAATCATCTCTGATGTCATTTTTCAACTGGACGACTCTGTAAATAATAAAACAGGGAGAAAAAAACAGCCCTTGCTGAGTTTTTTGCCGGTTCTTCTCAGTGCAAGGTCTCCCGCCGTAGATTTACGAACCGATGGCGTAGCTTCTAGACCAGTGTTTTCTAACCTTTCCAATAAGGCTACCCCTGTAACCTATTAGGAGAACAGATTTTACCCAGACTTTAAAATGTTATCATCAGGCCAAGAAATTCCAATTTGGCCGCTACATCTTCGTCTCTAATAATGTCATCATCAGGAGAAAATCTCGCCCCGCTTCCCATACTCAGCACCCCGCGGGCTCGCTAGCAAGAAGGAGCGCATGCTCTATTTAGTAGTATTATATAGTATATACTAAGTATTTAGTTTTGACCAAATAATTAGGTTCTTTGTTACCCCCGAAGTATGGCTAATTTACCCCCGGAGGGGTAATTACCCCCAGGTTCTAGACATTCATATGTTCTTGTAACAGCCTAAACTGAATAAATGTTTTTGATTATGATTGATTATGATTACTTAACCAATATTAACTGTTCACATAAACAGCACCGGCAGGGGACATAAGAAAAGGTTAAAATTGAACGTAATATTTTTACTATCAGTTCGTTGACACTGTTACAGTTATAAAAATGCATTAAAATAATTTTCGTATGTCACTGTTATCCATGAAGATTGACAAAAACATGTTAATAAATGTGAGAATTATTCAGATATTTAGGACAGTAAAATTATTATGTAATGTAAATTGACGTAGTTAGCCGCAAATATTTATCATTTTAAATATATACAATTTATACTACTAATCTTTTTAGCCCTTTTTGCGACACACACTTTCATACGTACTCCATTTCACGTGAATGATATTAGTAAGATTAAAGTATTTATACAACGATATTAAATACCCTAGATACACCACGAGTGCTCAAAATGTGTCCCAATCAAGTCAACCCAGTAATCTTGAGTGGTTTTCAATGCTTGAAAACCACTCAAGCACTTCTTGGTTTACAGTCACGCTCGGACCGTTTAAAAGTAAAGATGCCGTAGAGCTCCGTGAAATAAATAGTTTTATTATGTAAAGTGTCGGTTTTTTCGACAGGTATTTAATCAATGTTTGTTCATTTAACGCAAATTTTGTTTTAATACTTATTATAAACTGATTTACTAGAAAATATTTGTGATATTCAAACAGTCCATCAATCATTCGCAGTCCGTCCGTGCTATTTTGATAACAGCGCATTCAGAATTGCGCGTAGAGACAAAGAAATAAGGCATATATTCCTCCGCATATAGAAATAAGTCGTATAACATTACGAGCTTGCATTTCGAACTGTCGTATCTCTTTGACGCATGCGTTTTAATTAAGACCTTTATACAATATGCATTAAAGGTGACTTTCAATGTTTAAATAATGCCTTATGTTTGTTTATTGTTACGCGATCATCTTACGGAGCTCCGTGTATCATTCAATGTACCTTTTGGACAGGTTTCGGCCACGATTTTGTTCGTGTTGGTGTATCAAGTAGGGTATTTAATATCGTTATATTTATAGTATAAAATGATGTTGCTCGTCAAGTTTGTTTGTAATTATATCTGTTATATTCTCCTAAACCACGTCACGAATTTAAGACACTTAGGGTATAGCGGATTTCCCGCTCGAATTGGAGCGCCCGTCTGGGGAAGTAACATCCACCGTACAGACGACCACGGTAAGATAACACTACCTTTTGGTGGTGTTGTGTTTCTGACGGTAAGGTTCCAGGGTTCCGCGGGGTAGGGGATTGGGTCAGGGTAGGCAACGATGCGAGTAATATTTTTGGTATAGCAAGCATCTATAGGATATGGTGACCGCTTACCATCAGGCGAGCAATACGATTGTTTGCCATAATTTTAACATAAAAAAAAATGCTATACACGGACCGCACATCTGACGTGAAATTTCTTTTCTTAAATAACCTAACATAAGGCGGTGCATAAGGCATAGAGGAATGGAGCAGCGCACGTATCACTCATATTATATGTATGTTGTCGCGTGTGACGTTTGTGACGCTCGTAGCTTTTCAGCCTTCGCCGAGTTACCCTCCAACTTTCATGCTCGTCGGGAAGAGTTGTGCACGCATCCCACACACACACACACTATATATATATATATATATATATGATCGTGTGATGCTCGTAACGCATTTCCGTTTCATCTTTTCCATAGATTTACTTCAAAACATAATGATGATGATACCCAAGTATATTTTTCCAGAAATGCTCGTCTGATTCAATGTTCGTATTTATCATACAAAGATTTACCCCAGCCGGGATTCGAACCCACGATCTCCTAGTAGGCGACACCTTGGAAACCGGTGCACATACCCCTAACACCAAGGAGGTCGACAATTATTTGCCTACTGTAAACATTTCACAACGAGCAAGCTATTAAAATATCACATGAATTGAACAAGTTAAATCCAGTTTTTCCTAGATATATAATATATCTATACTGATAAGTTATTATTACCTACACTTTCAGCCTAGTGATAAAAGCAACATACCTTCTTATTTAAATAATCTCGATGAAATATACTACATATGTTATCTAATTCTTATACAGTGTCATATGACTATTGGCATCATTAATGGCATGTGTTATGTCACTGATGTTGAAATTTGAAATATATATATATAGAAATTTCACTGTCTTCATTTTCATAGTCATATTTTTCATCATCAGCCTATTAATGTCCGCACTGCTGGAGCACAGGCTTTCCCTATGGATGGAATAGGGAGATTGGGCCATGTCAGTTTCTCCGTGCTTCGGAAGGCACGTTAAGCCGTTGGTCCCGGCTGCATCTGCAGTCGTTAGCACCCATTAATATTACTCACAGGGTGGGTCACGGCCCAATCTCCCTATTTTATCAGGGAAGGCCCGTGCCCCGGCAGTGAGGAGATTAATAGGCTGATGATGATGATGTCTTACCTTCGTTCATCGCCATGTCCATGAGCTGCAAGTCCTCATCGTTGAGAATGGACTGCAGGAAGCCATCTTGGGGCGCCGGTGGCGCCATCTCGCTGGTAGAGTTCTGAGAAAAAGGTCAAGTTTTAAATTTTTCTTAATTTATTTGTTTCTTAGGTTTTCACGCACATCACTCATTAAATAAAACTAGTTTTTACGGGTTAATGCACGAAACTTAATTTATTTATTGACGTTTCGCAGCCTTTTCAGGTCTGCATCGTCAGAATAATGATTTTTGATTTAAAATTGTCGAGCTACCTTCGAAAGACTTATATTGAGCGTTCGGTTATTTCATTGGAAGATTTTTAAAATTGTATTGTCTATGTATGAATTTATTATTTAATTTACTTAATAAAGTATTTTATTTAAAATTATTGTTTGTAATTTTGAGTTTGTTTATTTGACCCTAACTACCGTAAACTACCACCGGTTCCAAAATTGGGAGACCTTCCTGAGAAGAACCGGCGAAACAAACTTATATAGAAAGCCTCTCTTGGGTTTTTTTCGCCGGTTCTTCTCAGGAAGGTCTCCCAATTTTGAATAAAATAAAAAATAAAAACAATTTTTAATAAAAAATCATTATTCTGACGATGCAGACCTGAAAAGGCTGCGAAACATCAATAAATAAATAAAGTTTCGTGCATTAACCCGTAAAAACTAGTTTTATTTTTCTTAATTATAATTTTTTTAACGTTTTCCCTGCTACAGTTAGAACTCGTAAATTTACATCATAAAATTATTCCCAATATTCATATAAATTAGCTTAACCCAAAGTAAACACGGTAAGGCTTGTATATATATATATATCCCATACACACAAACACACACACACACACACACACACACACACATATATATATGTGTGTGTGTGTGTGTGTATTGAAATTTATATAGACAGCAACGATATTAAATACCCTAGATACACCACGTGCGCTCAAAATGTGTCCCAATCAAGAAATGCTTGAACACCACTCAAGCACTTCTTGGTTCACAATCACGAGCGGACCGTTGAAAAGTAAAGATGCCACAGAGCTCCGTGAAAAAGCAAGAAAACAATACTTATAGTAACATTAAATGTCGTTTTTTCGACAGGTATTTAATCAATGTTTTTTTATTTAACGATTTAATAGAAAATATTTGTGATATTCAAATGCATGGTCGGTAATGTAGCCGTCTCTTTTCCTTCGTAACTGCTATTTTGCTAACAGCGCATTCAGAATTACGCGTAGAGACAAAGAAACAAGGTGTATATTCTTCCGCATATAGCAATAAGTCGTAAAATTTTACGAGCTTGCATTTCTAACTGTCTTATCTCTTTGAATGCGTTTTAATTAAGACCTTAAATAATATGTATTAACTATAATATGTAGGTGACTTTCAATGTTTAAATAATGCCTTACATTGTTTTTGACCACACGATCATCTTATGGAGCTCCGTGGATCGTCCAATGTACCTTTTGGACAGGTTTCTGCCACGATTTTGTTCGTATTGGTGTCTCTTGAGTATTTAATATCGTTGATAGACAGCCATGAATGCGTATTCACCATATAAATAAACATTTGTCCCGGCGGGATTCGAACCCAGGAACCCCTGAGTAGGTGACACTTTGCAAACCGATGTACATAACTACATACCACTCCACTACGGAAGTCGTCAATATAATCAACTTATTCATTTATTTATTTTTAAATTACTAAATATTTTTCATATTTACTATGTTTTTTTTTTAAATTCTAATCGAACATATGGCTTGATTACAATTGATAGTTAGCCCGAATACGAGTGCCAATGGAATTCGGGTAAACGTCACGGAGTCGAGTGGGTGCCCGAACCCAAGGCAATAGCTATATTGAAGTACGGGCTAGAAGACGGTGTCGAGTAAACAAAAGGAAATCTGCCCGAATACGGGCGTACTCGACTCGATTTGAGTTATGACATTCACGCACCCGAAAACGGGCTAACGACCAAATGTAATTTGCGTCATTAATCACAATAAAGTATATCGCCTCATGTGTCTCTAAACACTTCATCTTTCTGTATGTGTTCATAAAACCACCAAAAAATGTATTTCAAAAAAATATATATAATTAATATGGATGGTTAAGTAGGATTTATTGCATAATAACCTGATAGTAGATAGGCTCATGTTGCTGGGGATGATGGGCAGATTCCACCTTGTAGGCACCCTCCAGGGGAGCCGCGGCTCCCGCTAAAGAAAAGAGTATTTTTTTAATATAAAATTTAAAAAGTAAAAATGCTATGTCAATTGTTAAAATAAAAGGACTTTAAGCTATTTGAATAACAATTATCTTAACCGACAAAGATTACAAATAAAATCAAACACTCAAATTAGAAGTATGTATGTACAATTGCGTTTGTGTGTTTAAGGAAATTTTCGTCACCAGTTGGCGCCACTGTGACATGAAGTCTTGTAAGGCGCGAATTAATCGAACGAGCGTTTTTTATCTTTAGACTACGACATATGAGATTTAACGGATGAGTAGACTTTTCGTCTCAGTGCTGCCACCTGGCGCCCGACATTCCAGAAAATCCTCATTAAGTACCCTTAGCACGAACCAATATCGAATTCGTAACGTTTGCGAGTCCGAAATGTCATTGTCAAATGTGTACTGATTTTTAGTTCTCGCTGCGTACTTTGTGGCGCTGCTGTTCAAGTTCTCATACAAAATTTGACATTGACATTTCGCACTAGCAAACTATTCGAATTCGCTAATGGTTTGTGCTAGGAGTACTGTACTATTTAAACTTAATGGCGACTGGGAAATTAACGCAAGTGGAAGCGCAGTCTTTTAAACTACCCAGCAGTTGGGGCCTCAACTGCCAGGTAACCAAATTGGGACGTCATCAAATGGCGTTATTACATGTTGTGGTAGTGCTAAAACGTGTTCCTAGATGGCGCCGCATTATATTTTAATTGATAATCTAATAGTTTACGAAGTCATGTTAAGTAACCATTTATTTTGCGGATCCTTACCACCTACATTTTTATTGTCTGAAACACAGGGTATCCTAGTTCAGGGTAAGTTAATATAACCTTGTTATCCTTAGATCTAAGAAAATTATTGTAAAACCGATTTTGAGTAAATATTTATTATTTATTTATTTCCATGCTATATCCAAGGGCTCAACAGCTTGTAAGGTCTCAACAATTTTATTCGATTAGTATATTTCAACGCCATCTAGGGAGAATTTTTAAGAACTATTACAAGATCAAAACAACGCCATCTAACGACACTAAAATCTTTCTTGAAGAGTGTGTGAGTGGAGCTTTACTGGAGTGAAACTGCGCATAGCTGCGCTCGCTGCTAACTTCACTTCGCCACAAAGTTTGAATCTAGTCAAACAAAGAAGTAAAAACTAGATGAACGTATTGTTTTAATTTATATAAGCGCGAGACATAGAGCATCGCGGCCTATGCGGCCAGGAGGGGTGAAAGGCATACACAGCTTTCCCCTCTGTCGAGTTGGGCATACAAACGATACATGTGTGCATTGGCACAATGTATTGTGTCATTCTTTATGTGTGAGTGTCATAGTTACAGTTTTGTTTTATATGCGTGTACGTTAAACTGCGTTTGTGTTTTGCTCTATGGCGAAAGGGTATCCTCCGTCCTCGCGTGATAATAACTTCTCAGTGTTCGTCTGGTTAGGTCGGTGAACTTGGTGCAATGGACGGCCATAGGATGGGTGACCAAATATGTATCTTTTACTCCACCATGTTCCAGAAGGCATATTAAGTGATTAGAGCCCACCAACTGTGTTCACCCCTGCAAACTTCATGAGCACCGACCATAGACTAGGAAGTCTGCGCAATAGCAATAGGGATGATGACTATTTTTTTTTCATTTCTTTCGTTTATCAGGTATATTATCAAAGAGTATTGGATACGTATTTTTTCTTTTTTCACATAATATAAACATCGCAGAGATATATTGATTTGAAAAGTCGCATGACGTCACGTTTTGGTAGAATTTTCACTTTAAAGTGACGTCGCGAGCCCTTACTCCCAAACTTTGACGCGCTGTAACTTTGTCATATTTTGGTTGATTGCACAAAGAAAATAAACGTGTCCATTATTTTTTGATCATCTAACTGACGGACTAAATAGAATTTCGTTTACTTTACCCCGTCATCATGCCTATTTTACATATACTCTTCGTCTACTGCGCAAGTTTATTTGTCTGTGGCTTTGTCCAGGAAGCTACGCGACTGCTGATCGCGACCTGGGGGCATCTACTCTCTTTCTCCGAAACGAACTTTCAATAACGAAGTTCAAACGAAATTTAATTTCGTCAATTTATGGTTAATACTTAATTTGAAAGATAGGCGGCTTACAAAATCTGCACCTCAATCTATATTCCGACGACGAATATTATTATAGTAAAAAACGAACCAGAAACTTAAGAAAAGTGCGAAGTTTGGATCGAAATTTTGTTTTTCGTTGAATTAGAGTAGGCCTCCTGGTGGTCAAGGTTTAGTCTACACCAGCCATAGAGAAGGCCTGTGCCCCAGCAGTGGGTACATAAATAGGCTGGTGATGAATGCCTACCATAGTGATCAGGGTGCTTCTCAGGAACTGATGGCAGATGATGAGTATGGTGGTAGTTCGGGGCGTAGCCCCCGACTGCACCATGGGCGCTGTGAACAAGAAATCATAATATTAAAATAATTGACCACATTAGAATGGCAATGGCCGGGGCACATAAAAAAAATATATTTCCTAACACACACCAATTAGCCTAGCCACAAAGTAAGCACTATAATGACACAGTCGGTTGCCAAGCGACGCGGACTTGGCGTTTCGTTCTCGCTGCGTTGAAGCGTACATTTCTGTCTCGCTCGCACCATTGCATTGTGCCTCAATTTACAGAAGTGTGCGTATGTGAGAGTTATCTATGTAGTGGAGCCAGAGCATATATTATTTGAAGTTAGAATGAGCATACCGTATCTTCCCTTTTTGTTTTTATCTAAGATTATAAGCGATTCTATTTTAACGTGTTGGAGGATGCATGGTGTGCCATACTCGCTATATATAGTTTATAGTAATCTGTCATATTATGGGCTTGACACATCTATCTATCTATATACATATATAAAACTCAAAGGTGACTAACTGACTGACATAGTGATCTATCAACGCACAGCCCAAACCACTGGACGGATCGGGCTAAAATTTGGCATGCAGGTAGATGTTATGATGTAAGTAAGAAAGGATTTTGATCAATTCTACCCCCAAGGGGATAAAATAGGGAATGAAAGTTTGTATGAAACTTTGTAAATTTTAAACCGATCGCGCTGAGACTTTGCATGCAGGTATAAGAAGAATCATAGATGAATGTCATTGTGTATAATACAAGCTAGAGAACAAAAACTGTAGTCTACACTTCAGCTCTACATCGAAGCGAAGCTAGGGTCGCTAGTTGTACATATATTCAGTTGTTCGGAAAAATATACCAGAATTAGCAGTACGCGTGCGTTTCATTCAGTTTTAACTGGTCTTCAACTGTGTACATATTTATTTAACTGGTAACACCATAGTTTTTCCATCATAACGGACAAAAGTCCCTATTTGTCTAATAGTCACCTCATATTGTGTGGGGGCGGGGGCGGGGGCGGATGATGGTGGTGCGGGTGGTATTGCTCCGGGGGCGGCGGGATTGTCAGCAGGGAGGCCAGGTCCTGCCAGCGCTGCTCCACCGACATGGAGCGCATCAACGACTGCGAACAAAAACATTAAATTAGATACATTCTTTTAAAGATTCTCCCTTTTCAGGGAAGGCAAAGGGAACAGTGCCCATACAGCCAAGTCTAACTTGTGGAGATTCAATAAGCATTTACAAAAAAATCAAACATATAGGCCTAGTATAACTACTTATTATTCTATGGGTAAAAGCTTCGAGAGCCAAACCTCGAATTTTTAAACGTTAGCTACTGTTGTCCCTATCGCACGCAGGTACCTATTTCTCTAATGTCTCTCAGCTCGCGTCCGCTCTTAAAACCATCCTACAAAATAGCGGCGAAATTTCCGCAAATAAGGTTGGGGCGTATGGATTATCATACAACGGCATGAAATGCCTCAAGAAATAAAAATAAAACTTGCGGTTCTAAGAGACTACGCAAAATTAAAAACCACTTTTTTTCTCTATTTGAGTACACTACAGTCGTTTGATATTAAAGTTGTTAGCCTACATAATAGTATACTTAAATCCCGTTTGCATCAATGAAAAACCAATTGATATGACCAAACACAATGAATTAACAAGCAAAGATTGTGAAGTGCGGTCAAATATACCGCTAGCGACCGCCAGAGGTCAACTCTCGGCTTTTTGTCAATAGATGGCGTTGTATTCGATATCTAATGAGATTTTAAAGCATCACAAGTCGCGCTCGTTAATTGCTTCTAATCCTCATATCTATTGTTCTTTTCATTAGCAAGAAAATAGAAGATAGAACAACTGCTTTAGTAGTAATGGAAATTTGGTAAATCGTTAAGCTTTGAGATCAAAACTTGGAAAACAGAAACAACCGCACACAAAGAATTAAATTTAACTTTTAAGTTTGACTAAAGTTGTTAGTGTGATTTTCTTTGTGATAGCAATAGAATGAAAGAACACGTGATTTAATGAAGTATAATAACATTCTGAATAAAGTCCTATCAGTGAAACTGGCTGGCCGGTTGTGTATTGCATCAGTATAAATTAGTTTATTTTGCTCTGGTTGAATCAAAACTTCGTTACAGTATTATGCTCTGGGGCAATAGTTACAAATATAATATTTTGGCAGCATTCGTCTTACAAAAGCGTGCGATCCGGACTATGATGCGTATCCCACAGACAGATTCGTGCAAACCACATTTTGAAGCATTAGGTATTATGACAGTCCCTTGCTTATATATTTTAGTTGTTTTATCCCATTTAGTAAAAAACCTGCACAAATACGAATCTGATATAGACAGAAAAAAGAGGGAACTAACTCGTCGAAAAGATTTGAAAAGTGCCTTCAGACCTAAGCTTAACGTTGTCAGTCACTGCGTGAGATTCCAAGCTATCAAGCTATTTAATGTTCTCCCTATAGAATTGAAAACCATTTACAGTCCATATAAATTCCAAGACAAACTTAAAATGTTCTTGTTGAAGAAGTGTTACTATTCCATAGAAGAATATTTAGATGACAGAAATTTAAATCTAATATGAAATTTCTTTGACATGTTTAAATTATAGTCGATTTATTTCAAATTGTAGGCTGTCATTTTAATAATATTTAATTTTATTAATATTGCATGAAGTAGTAATTTAATTGTAAATTGTTTGATTGACTTTGAAATGTTATTATATAAGATTTTTTGTAATTTTATGCTAATCATAATATTTAAATGGATTGTAATTTTAATTTTATCTAATAATTTTATTGTAAATTGTTTGTGATTTCCAATACGATGAAAATTGTTTAAGGAATAAATGACTATGACTATGAGTATGAGTATTTAAAATTTTAAATTACCAATATAAAAACAACATGATACTGATAAAAGTATCTATTTCTCAGCTTTTCAATTATAAATTAAGAACTTGGAATAACTTTAGAATCAAATAAAACAGAGTAGTATTAAGTAAGTATTTTGTAAAACCCCTTTCATAAAACAACATTAGAAAACAAAAAAAAAGCAACGTAATTATTTATTACGCAAACCAAAACGCTTAACCATAATGTTTGCACAGAAAGTTAAGGCAGCCATGTTTGTTTCTTTTTTTCAAATTCAGATTTCAAATTTCGAACAGCTCTCATTCTAGTCGCGTGCCAGCAAATATGAGCATGGACACGCATTGTTTACGACCAGCCTGTGTAGTGATTCACAAGTGTTGTGCTAACATTTACGTTGGTTTTCACCTGCTCTGTGCCCGGACGGGCGCGGAAACTGTTCGAGTGTTTACCTTATCCATGGTTTATGAAATTAAAGCCAGTTTTAGGCAAATGATCGACTACTGTACAGTTAAAGATTACGGTAATCTGTAGTAACCCGATTTCATAGTTTCTTTACAACTAGTAAGTAGTGTCAAATCTTAGTCGAGATGTTCAATATAATTTAATCGAGGAACTCGATGGCACAAGTTTTTAGCGCGTTCGGCTGCGATCGTTGAAGTTCACCAACAGTCATTGGATGGGTGACCAAAAATTTATTACCTCGAGCTCCTCCGTGCTTCGGCAGGCACGTTAAGCCGTTGGTCCCAGCTGCATCTGTAGTCGTTAGCACCCACCAATCCGCACTGGGCCTGCGAGGTGGATCATGGCCTAATGGCATGGCATTGGGGACATTAATAAGCTGATGATGATTGAAGCTATTTTTTTGTTCTGTTCTATTATATTACTATTATATTCAGTCGCGAATCCGCTATACCCTAACCAATTGAATTTGGACACCGCGCCGTTGATCAAGGTACACACTATAGGGTGCCTTTATCTACTTGAAAAATACTCAAGTAGTAGGAACCTTCTCTGAGATATTCAAGGATGGTAATAAATTATACTGGGAGCAAAGTCAATAATAACATCCGTTAAATCTGTTGTGGAACTTTATTTCTGAGCACAATTGATGGAATCTTTAAATAGTTACGTAGAGATTAAATTTTAATGCTGACTTTAAAGAAACATATTATATAAGAACATGAAATATCATTCCACCATACTTACCTATAAACAAAATCAAAACACGAAACAAAAATAGTAAATGCCAATGAATAGAAATTTCAAAAATTTGTTTAGAGAATACCCAAATTGACTTTATAAATCATTCATTTTCTTTGGCGCCAACGTCAAAAACCAAACTAAAATGAAATTCTAAAAGCAAAGAGCACAATTCGGAATGCTCGTATTTTCCTCTACCTACATGTGTGGCATGGGCATTAACAAACACGCAGCCTACACTTGCTTTCGAATATCGACCGCCTCGAGATAAGCTACTTTCATCCGCAAATATTAAAAAACAAACCAGCTTTATTGACTTTTTAACAGTAAAAGTACACAAGATTCCGCATTTTACTACCATTACGGAGCGTCTGGAGACAAATTGTGATATTTCGTTGCTACTAACAAAAACGTACATAAAAACTTTTTTAAGTTTACTTTTTAAATAACCGATAGAAGATCTGTCACTTTTTGGTTTTTTTTTACCGGTGCTGTTATTTTTTTTGTTAATTAAGTTTTATTTAATTATCATTTCCAAAAGTCTTTGTTTTTGAAAACTCCTAAAATCCAGGATTTCTTTTAAGAAACGAACGAATACATTTCTTCCCGAAACTCGTTTCTTTGTTTACTTCTTTGTTGTCTTACATAGTTATTTAATTTGTGCGAGTTACAAAAAAAAACATTTATTTATAGTTTTAAAATAAACTTAGTGACTTACTATAATTAAGCATTAACTACTACTTTTTATTTGATGGAATACATTATTGAATTGTTTATATGATGAAGTTGTTTAAGAAAAGAAATTAATAAGATATATGTCAATTAAGATAAGCTAGACATTCAGCAAACTCTCTCGTGCGGCTTCTTTCACTGCAAGACATTGGCGAAATTTCTGTGTAAAACGGAAGTCGCTAAAGACCATAAACAAAAAAAAACAAGTAGAAATAGAACTCTTTAGAAAATGATTGAAAGCGTGTTTATTCAAATTCGATGGACGGTACAACTACTAATGCTAATTTATTCAATGCAAAGCCGGTTGTACGTCATTAAAAATACGAATAATATTGTCAGTCAGAGCTGATCTCTCGTATAATAATTATGGTGACACCAAATTAGTAGTTTGCCTCCCAAAATTTGGGAGAATTCAAGTAGGATGGGAATTTAATTCTTTGCCTGTGCATACAGCCATAACAACAGAATGAAGATAATTTATAACGTCACAGACAAGAGGGGGACTTAAGGAGAGGTAGGGCACAAGGGATTTCCCGCTTGAATTGGAGCGCCCGTCTAGGGAAGTAAACCCCACGTCACAGAACACCATAGTAAAACATAAACAGTTCCTTTTGGTGGTGCTGTGTCTCTGTCAGTGAGTAAGGTTCCACGGCTCCACGGGGTAGCGGATTGGCTCAGGGTACGCAACGCAACGGCGGGAATGAGATTTATTTGTATCGAAAGCGTCTATAAGTCTATGGAAGTCTTAGCCGCTTATCATCAGGCGGGCCATGCGTTTGTAAAATTTTGACGTTGTAGCAACATAACGATTTGTAAATGTATATTATACTTAAAAGTATATAATGTTGTGGAGCTTTTTTCGCTCGTTTTGCTCCGCAGCTAAAATATATGTCCAATAACGAGTGGTAGGGAAAAAAATTTGGATGATTCAAAAGAGTTGTATTAAACATCCAATTTGAATAAAGATATATTGATTTCTGATTAAATAAAAATAACAACCAATTCTTATCTTAGCGTTCACTATAAAAAGAAACTAAATATTTATGCATATATCAGGCCTCAATTACTAAGCACGTAGCTAAAGAGCTGCTATTTCAGGTAAGAGAGTTCTTACTTAAGGAGGTTTTAAGGGCTTTAGTCTTTGGGAGTAAATAATTTTGAAAGTTAGTAACACTAACACCAGGTGACACCATGGAAATGACAGATTTTATGATCACACACTCGGTCACCAGTACCATGCACAGAAGAAATTTGGGTCTATGGTTTGAACAGATTTAAAAAAAAAGGCCAACAACCGCCATTGT